TGAATTGACGACTCTGCTTTCGACTTCTTCAAAGGACTTAAAACCAAATGAGAGAATAAAGCTGAGAGAGCTGATACACAACTATCAGGACGTCTTTGATGATGGACAAGAAAAGAAGGGTAGGACAAGAATTGTCCAGCATAAAATTAACACCGGTGATGCACAGCCCATTCGACAGTCGGCAAGAAGGCTACCACTTGCCAAGCGAGAGGAAGCTGATAAAATTGTGCAAGAAATGGAGAAGGAAGGGGTGATCGAACCATCCAACAGCCCATGGTCTTCCCCAGTGGTGTTAGTTAAGAAAAAGGATGGATCAACTCGATTTTGCGTCGATTTTCGTCAGCTGAACAACGTGACGAAGAAGGACAGCTACCCTCTACCTAGGATCGATGACACCCTGGATACATTGGCTGGATCCCAAATATTTTCGACTCTGGATTTGAAAAGCGGTTACTGGCAGGTTGAAATGGCACCAGAAGATAGAGAAAAGACGGCGTTTACCGTGGGTGCTGGACTGTGGCAGTTTACTGTCATGCCGTTTGGACTATGTAATGCCCCTGCAACTTTTGAAAGGCTCATGGAAATGGTTTTAAAGGGACTATCCTGGAAGACATGCTTGGTGTACCTTGACGACATCATTGTGGTTGGGAAATCATTTGAGGACCATATGAAGAACCTGAAGGAAGTCTTTCAGCGCTTAAGAAGTTCCGGCCTGAAGCTAAGCCCGAAGAAATGTCACTTGTTCCAGAGGGAAGTGCAGTATTTGGGCCATGTTGTTTCGAGTCAAGGAGTGGCAGTGGACAAACAGAAGGTGAAGACGGTGCGGGAATGGCCAGTACCGAAAAATAAACATGACTTAAGAAGCTTTCTTGGATTATGCACCTACTACCGGCGGTACGTACCTGGATTCGCAAAGGTTGCTAAGCCTTTGACACGTTTAACAGAGGGAGAAAGACGATTCCAATGGGACGAAGAATGCCAAGAAGCCTTTAAGAACCTGAAAAACGCGTTGACCAGCTCACCAGTCTTAAGTTATCCTCTTCCGGATGGTGAATTTATTTTGGACACGGACGCAAGTAATGTGGGCCTGGGAGCTGTTTTGTCGCAGATTCAAGCGGGAAAGGAGAAAGTTATTGGATACTTCAGTAAAACTTTATCCAAACCAGAACGAAATTACTGTGTTACTCGACGCGAGCTGTTGGCAGTGGTAAAGGCAGTCGAACACTTTTACAAGTACCTGTATGGAAGAAAATTCTTGCTAAGAACGGATCATGCTGCCCTAAAATGGCTTTTGCAATTCAAGAATCCTGAAGGACAGGTAGCAAGATGGATTGAGAGACTACAGGAGTTCGACTTTGACACAGAACATCGGGCTGGGACCATCCATAGAAATGCTGACGCCTTGTCAAGAAGACCGTGCCTGGAAGACTGTAAACATTGTCTCAGGGCCGAAGAAAAGGATGTGTTTGTTCGCAGAACTACAATCGTGGATGATCATTGGCAATCCGCTGAGGTTCAACAAGACCAGGAAAGGGATCCGGATTTGAAGCTTATCATCGATTGGAAGAAGAACGACCGTAAACCAACGTGGCAGGAAGTCGCCCAATATTCGCCGAATGTGAAATCGTACTGGGCCCAATGGAATTCCATCATCTTAAGTGACGGGCTTCTAAAGCGCGTTCTGGAGTTGCCAGAAGGGGGGGAAGACCGGAAGCAGATAATAATCCCCAGAAATAGGATACCAGAAGTGCTACAGGAAATCCATGATGGAACTACTGGAGGACATCTTGGGGTGACCAGGACGCTCGGAAGACTTAGGGAACGGTTTTATTGGGTCAACAGCCAACGAGATGTGAAGGAATGGTGCAAGAAGTGCGCCGTTTGCGCGGCAAGCAATGGACCCCAGAAGCGCCCAAAAGCCCCAATGCGACAGTACAATGTGGGCAGCCCATTTGAGAGAATTGCAATCGATGTGGCGGGTCCATTTCCGGAAACAGAATCTGGAAATAAATACATCATCGTTGTAATGGACTACTTCAGCAAGTGGGCGGAAGCGTACGCCTTGCCAAACCAGGAAGCTGCCACAGTGGCCGATGCCCTTATTAAGGAGTGGATTTGTCGTTTTGGTGTGCCAATGGAGATGCATTCAGACCAAGGCAGGAACTTTGAATCTATACTGTTCCAGAATGTCTGTAAAATTCTTAACATTCGGAAGACGAGGACGACTGCATTACATCCGCAGTCTGATGGAATGGTAGAACGAATGAATCGAACGATAAACCGGTACCTGTCCAAGGTAGTCTCTGATCACCAAAGAGACTGGGACCGCTTCCTTCATCTGTTCCTGTTGGCGTACCGTTCTTCTATCCACGATACAACCGGCCAGACACCCGCTAGCATTGTTATGGGGCGTGAACTTCGTCTACCTTGTGACCTGAGGTTTGGTTGCCTACCAGGGGATGATATTGCTGGAGAAGATTACGTCAACAATTTACGTAGGAAAATGAGCGACATTTACAGCCGAGTTCGTTTAAACATCCAGAGCGCCAGTGATAGAATGAAAGAGGCATACGACATCAAGGCGGAAAATGGAGGATTTCAACCTGGAGACCTAGTTTGGTTATACAACCCTCAGCGCCGTCGTGGTTATTCACCGAAGCTGCAGACTTCTTGGGAAGGACCATACGAAGTCATGGATCGCATAAATGACATCATCTACAGGATCAGGAAACAACCAAGAGGAAAGCCGAAAGTGATCCATTTCAACCGATTGGCCCCTTACGCTGGAAACAATGCTCAAATAGACGATGCTAGAGTAAGGAGAGTTAATCCGCCGGAAGACGACTTGCCTTTTGAAGACTTCATGTATTTATATTCGAGCGGTAAAAAAGCTCGGTATGGTGTCACTCGAGAAGAGCAAAAAGATCTGTTCACGGTTTCGGCCGATTACTCCCTGGCTCACTGTGTTGCGGAAGACCTTAGGATGTCCAGGGGAATAGCGGTTGTCTTTAAAAACAAGTTTGGACGGGTCGACGAGCTACGAAGGCAGAGTCCCAAAGTTGGAGAGGTGCTTGAAATGGTGGATAATGAGCAGATAGGTAACCGAAGTATCTTCTATCTGGTAACGAAGCAACTCTCCAATCAGAAGCCAAATTACCGTGACGTATGGAATGCCTTAAATAAATTGAGGGATATCCTTTTGTCCAAGGACATCATGAACCTGGCGATACCGAAGATTGCTTGTGGACTTGACGGCTTAGACTGGAGAATAATTAGAAGTATGGTGGAAGTTATCTTCAGATTTAGTGGCATACACATTCTTGTCTGTTGCCACAACCCTAAAAGAACATCCGGAAGGAAGACCGTAGACTGCTACTTCTATAGGACGTCACAATGCAAGTTTGGATCTCTATGCAAATATCGCCATGGAACTGAGGACCATTTTCGGGACGAAAATGTTTTAAGACGGGGGCAATGTAGCGAGTACCGCTCTGGATATCGGAGTGATGACTCATCGCCGGTTAGTCATCGCCGATGAGTCATCGCCGGTGACTCAGCGCTCGAACAATCGAGAGTGTGGAGCTCGCTGGAATGTTCCAGAAGACCTTGGCGCTGAATATATAAGAAACGGAGCAGCACACGGCAGTCAGTTAAGATTTGGTACTCGCGGCGAAATAAATAAATATAAGTGCAAATAAATAGACTCTTGAACAATAGTGATATATAAATAATTAGTAGTTAAGTGTTTAGTTATAACTATAGTTTTATAGTGTTTTAAGTGTAGTTAAGTTATTAAATAAATAGTTAAGTTCGTTAATTAACCAGTGCGTGTTTTTATTCACACTACGAACAGTTAAAAACGTTACAATACTTTTCGATATACTGGTCACAGGCTTCCAGTTCTGCTTCAAATTCTTCCTCTACAACCTCCGCCTCTGCCAGCTGCTCGAAAATAACTTTATCTAACGCTTTCAATTCCTCAAATCTGTCTTGCACCAACCGCCACTCGGCCTCCACTGTTACCAAATCAAGAGGCTTTTTACTCAAAGCCTGTTGCAACTTGGTGAGGTTACGCGTAACTGAACTTCTAATCACAGTGCGACTTCTTTTATTCACTTCCATTTTACTGAGCTGCACTCAATAAACGATAACAAATCTTGATACTGCGAATAAGAGACCCGTAAAAAACACTTTTTTCCAACCCGTCCTGTCACGGTCGCCAAATGTTCCAAATCGAATAAATTCGTCTAATAAATCGAACTAACTGTTGTCTTTATTATGGGTCGGATGATTTTACAAGGTCTTAACTACTTTATGACATCTTTTTTCTTTTATAATTTTTCTGACATTTTTTCAACAACTATCAAAAACATTAATTATTTTTAAAAAAACAAAAACCAAAATTAACAATAACTTTTTCGTATTCCCTCTGTATGTTGCAACATGACGTACGCGGATTTTTAAAAAAAAAATCGAATTTTGATACATATTTTTATATAACTTTATGTGGAATTATAATTTTAAACCTTAAACATGTTACAGTCACTGTAATACACTGCAGTGTAAAAGATGAAACCAGAATTAATGTCCGAAAATCCCAAATATTCATAAATAATTAATATTTCTTGGAATAAAATTCCAAAAAATTATACAATTATAATTTAATATTACTTCCTATAAAGTATTTAAGAAAAAAGTGTATCATTTCCAAGATAAGGACAATCAATGACTCATACAATTTTCAAGAAATATTATAATTAAATTTAAACCAAAGGGGTCAACTATAGAAGAAATATAAAATCGACCAAATAAATCCTCGAACTATTTCCCGCTTTGTTACTTATAGAAATTACATGGTCGACTACAACACGAGAGATAATACAGCACTCCAAACATTTTTCGCTGGCTTAATCAGTTAATTATCTCCAGTATTTAATTGTGGGACTGGACGTGACCGTCAACCAATCTGGTATATAAACAAATTAAGTTAAAATTTAATTCATTTGTAAGATTGCTTTTGTCGCGTTAACACCGATAAGAAGTTAATACATAATGAAGAAATTTTTCGCAATTTTTTTGTTGTTTTTGAGTTTTCATGGGGGCGAATTTCACTCCTACCATTTGGGGTCATGCCCAAATATAGAACCAATGAGGGAGTTTAATATGGATAGGGTAAGTGCATTTTTTAATAGTTTATATTAAAATTAATAATTTTAGAACATATTTTTGAAAATATATATGTTATTTAACAACATTTAATAAAAAACCGTTAAAATTTGTACAAGAATGTTAAAGTAAGTAATTTAATTAAAGATAATAACTTAATTACATTAAAGTTGACAAACAAGATATTTAAAACAAAGAGACGCATATATTAATATTGATTTTTATTGAAAATTAAATCATAAATAAAGGAAGATATCTATGTAACCAATTAGAACACCGCATTCTCTACCACAATCTAGTGTGCTATGTATAATGCCGTATTCTGATTGGCTGTAGACATTTCCAATGGATACCACTTTCCTTACAAGTTAAAAATACCAACAAATGCAACAAATACACAACAAGGTCTGTTTTATTTAGCAGAACCCACAAATTAACCTTAAAATTGAAATTTGACAGTTTGATGACGGCCCTGATAGAATAAGGTTTATTGTTTACAAGGGAGGTGTAAAATGGTGGCCTTTAGTACTTTAAGGCCTCTTTTAAGGCTTACAAGAATTGTAAAGAAACTTTGTGATTTTTTGTGTGGATTGTAAACAAATGTAGTTTATAATATTTTTGGGACACCTTGTACCTATAACTGATATAATTACGGTAATTAAATTACCTATTTATTGCATATCTGTGTAATTATTTATAATTATCTTTTATAACTTAAGTTATTTAAATTTTCTTATAAACAATGTTCAATATTCTTCCAAGGTCATTTTACATTTTGTTTTTGGTTTTCAGCTAAGTGGATCAAAATTTTTTGAAATTTTAAAAAATAAGGGAAATACGAAAACAAAAACAATTATTTGCTGTTAGGCTCAACCTTTTTGTGAAAAATCTAGTTGATTTTCCTGTCTTTAGCATCCATTTGGTTTAAAAAAGATAAAAAGATAAGCAATAATAACGAAACTTTTTCTTCTTTCAATTTGCAAGTTACAATATATACATTATAATTATTATCAAGCCACTACAAGTATTAACAAAATTCACCATTGGAGTCCAATGATTGGACAACATTCACGTGTGTTTACATAAAATTTTAATTTCTTTTATAATATATTATAAATTCTTTTCAAAACGAAGGTTATTATCCGCTAGGTTATTAATCTATGGGAATACTGTCTCTCCTGGGCCGTAGTCACCTATATTTAACTACTTTTTATATGATTTTACACATCTCCGCACCACCAAAGCCAAATTAATTGCATTTTTAACTACGAATTTTGACAACTCAACTTGACAACCGTTAAATGTAACCTACAATAATTTATACATAACCACAATTAGATTTATAACTAGCTTAGTTTGTTTTAATACATGCGACCAACTTGACAACTGTATTTACTAAAAAAACCCTAAATTTGCAACGTTGCCGCAGTGCAGATAAAAAAATGAACTTTACATTTTTATATTTTATTACATAGATGTTGGGGATTTGGTATGTAATGGAAAAAACTAGCACAGCCAGCTCCTGTATCACCTACAACTTCACAAAAACCGACGAGCCAGGTGAATACAGGGTCGAACAGGTTAGCCAACATTTCCTTCTAGGGTTGACACCCCTGAAACACGGTTACCACTACACGGGAATATTGAAGGTGCCAGATAGCTCAATTCCTGCCAAAATGACGGTCAAGTTTCCATTAAGTATGTTTATAACAAGAAAATGTTTTGTACCGTAAAATAATAATTATTATTTTTTCAGGCGTTGCTGGTACAGCATCATTCACCGTCTTTACTACAGATTATGACACTTTTGCTGGTATTTATTCTTGTCAAACTTTAACCACGATTGGTAATAGACAATCTGCAACTATTTTGTCTAGAACTAGGACACTGGACAAAATGTATTCTGATAAAGTAAGTAAAATTTTGTTTTCCACCCCCACCTTTATCGTACATGATGAAGTTAGCTTTAAGTTGGTTGACAGCTGTCAATTGTAATGCAACTGTCAAAATAACAATCTCTTCACTTCTATTTTGGATTTAAACGGTTATTTTTGCACTTTCAGATAAGATCAAAATTGACATCTTTCCATGTGGACCCATTCGATCTGTCAATAATCAAGCAGACTGAGTGCCCTAGAAACTTGACTGACAGCTACAATATCAACATCGACGACGAAACAATTTCGGCGAAAAACGCCGCTGGAATCATCCGTAAAGCTGGCGAAAAAATCGGAGACGGGGTGGAGTATATCTCGGGAAAAACGCAGCAAGTTTATCACAAAATCGCAGATAAAAGCGAGGGCGAAAAAGACAGAGTCGGCCGTATCATGACTGCCAACCCAAATTCCGAATGGTTGCCTTAGGTTGGCGCCGCTTTTGGGGTTTCACGTGCCATTTAAATGCTATACAGTATGATAGATTTAGGGTCTATGTAATGCCTTTACCAAAAATGTGATTTTTAGGTTTTATTGACGATTTTCAATAGTTTTAGTGACTGATTTATTTTATGTAAATAAATGTGTAAATTTAGATTGATTTTTATTATTTTATAATTTCAAAAAAAAATGTAGGTATAGAAAAGCAACGTTGCCAAGTATTTTTACAGTGTTGCCAAGTCAATATTGATTTTTTTAGAGGTATGTATAAGTAAAATTCATAATTATATTCTCTTGTAATATAGGGTCTTATAAAGAAAATATCTATATTGCTCTCCAAATTTTTTGAAAATTAAAGCAGCGTTGTCGAGTAATTTTGCAGTGTTGCCAAGTCAATTTTACTTTTATAATGTTAGTAAAATTTATAAATTACGAAGACAATTTTAAAAAAATAAATGCAACGTTGTTAAGTAATTTTACGGTGTTGCCAAGTCAATTTTACTAAATGAAATTTATAATTTTTTGTAATATAAGGTCCAGTAGTGGGAATAGCCCATATACCTATAATATATATATATATAGTTATAGGTATATGGAATAGCCACGTTGGCCACTAACAAATTTTTTTTTAGTTTAAAGCAACGTTGTCAAGTATTTTGCAGTGTTGCCAAGTCAATTTTTTTTAAGTGAAGTTAATATATTTGTTTTGTAAAATAAGGTATTATAAGGAAAATGGTTACTATATGCAATTTTTTATATCAAAGCAACGTTGTCAAGTAATTCTACAGTGTTGCCAAGTCAATTTAACTTTTTTACAGTTTTAAGTAAAATTTATATATTATTTTGTAATGCAGGGTCTGGTAAAAAAAGTTTTTTTTAAAAACTACTAACACAATTAAAAAAATAAAAGCAGCGTTGTCAAGTAATTTTGCAGTGTTGTCAAGTCAAGTTTTAAGTTAAATTTATATTTTTTTGTAATAAAACGTCTATAGTAAAGAAAATAGCCATGTTGTTTCAAACACAATTTTTGAAAATTAGAGCAACGTTGTCAAGTAATTTTACAGTGTTGCCAAGTCAATTTTACTTCTATACAGTGTTAAGTAAAATGCATGTATTATTTTGTTATAATGGGTCTAATATAGAGAATATCCATGTTTCTACTAACACAATTAAAAAAAAATAAAAGCAACGTTGTCAAGTAATTTTGCAGTGTTGTCAACTTGACAATGTCAAGTCAAGTTTACTTTTTTAGTTTTAAGTTAAATTTATATTTTTTTGTACTAAAAGGTCTAATAAATAAAATATCCATGTTGCCACCAACACAATTTTTTGAAAATTAAAGCAACGTTGTCAAGTAATTTTGCAGTGTTGCCAAGTCAATTTTACTTTTTTACGGGTTTAAGTAAAATTATTATATTTTTTTGTTATTAAATGCTTAATAACGAAAATAGCCACATTGGCCTCCAAAACATTTTTTAAATTAAAGCAACGTTGTTATTTTAAGTAAAGTTAATATATTTGTTTTGTAAAATTGGGTCTTGTAACACAATTTTTTGAAAATTAAAGCAACGTTGTCAAGTAATTTTGCAGAGTTGCCAAGTCAATTTTACTTTTTTACAGTTTTAAGTAAAATTAATATATTTTTTTGTTATAAACGGTCTAACAAAGAAAATAGCTATGTTGACACATTTTTTTTAAATTAAAGCAAAGTTGTCAATTAATTTTGCAGTGTTGCCAAGTCAATTTTAATTTTAAAATAATATTTATATATTTTTTGTGATGAAAGGGTAATAAAGAAAATAGCAATGTTGACACCAACACAATTTTTTTAAAATTAAAGCAACGTTGTCAAGTAATTTTACAGTGTTGCCAAGTAAATTTTACTTTTTTAGTGTAAAGTAAAATTTTTAGATTTTTAAAAAACTTATTTTTAATACCGCCCTGCAACTAATGTGGTGCATTCCTATATGTGTTTACTTTACGCAAATACTGTTAAATTACTAATATAAACAAACAACATTACATTACAAAGAAGTTTCATAAATAAAAAGTTAAAAGTTGCTTATAATTATAATAACAAAGTTATGATAATTTAAATTTAGAATTTTTTGACACAAATGTCAGAAAATACATCTGTCAACCGTGTCAACAATTTAGATTTATCTTAAGAAAACACTTAAGAAAACACTGTGTTGCCAAGTTTTTCAAATTTCAATGCTTAAAAACTTGAAAATTTTAAATGGTTGATACCTAACCCGAAATTTACTTGTAATATTAGAAAATATCCTAAAACAGCTTTAAATGTCTTTAAAACTATTTTAAAATATAATAGAAGTGTAAAAAAACAAATTACCCATACACCCTGTATAAACTGGTTTTCAAACATTTAATAGTAAAAGAAACACCCCATATATTATGCTATTTTTACATACATTGTGCAACATGTCAGTTTTTTTCTTAATTTCCATTATTGAAGTGATTGTTGGGTTTATTAAACGTCAAATATCGTAAACACATCAAATTTACTTTATTTTTCTTACCTGTGTAACAAAAAATCCCAATGCGGCTAAATTCGAGCACGCACTGCGCAAGCTCAGACACGCCCCCACTGCGTGACGCCGAAAACGCCGCCAGCTAGAAAGAGACAGTGAAAGAAAGCACGTCTGTACTTACGGCAAAGTGTTATTCACTTTTAGTAATGCTTTCGCCTTCCGAAAGGTTGGACGTGTAAAAAATCGTGTTGCCGTGTGAAATAATTACGTAGAAAAGTGAAAAAATGTCGGAAAAATCACCTGCGAAGCGGCGTCAGTGCACAAGGCAGCTGGTAAGTGATTGTCCACGCAATTTTTCGTCGTTTTAAGTCGGCCATAATGCCTCGTATAACCCACACGTACGTGTTTTGTTTTGTGCAGTTTTACAGAAGTGGCCATGCCTTTTATAAAAGAGCACTCTTTGATCAAGACTTAAAAGGTGCATAGAGTAAAGCGTTTTTGAGTTATTTTTTAGTTTTAGAACTACTTTGGGGAATAATTGACAAGTAATAGTAAAAATAGGTTATGTTTTCTTATTTTATTTGTATTTTCTCGTCTTCAAGTGAAGTATATCGATTATTTATAGAGGAACACGTTATTTTTACATAAACTTCTTCTAATTAATTCTAAATACCTTCAGCACATGTTAGGTATTATTAGGATACAGGTAATAGTAACTTTTACCTTTTTTAAACAATTTGTATGAAATGTTGATTTCAGAAAAAGCCATTTGCGAAAGTATTAAAAAACCCTTTGAAAATTAAAAGTTTTATGAACCTTCCAGCTTAATAAAGAAAATAATTATTAAAATACCCCAGGCCCGGCCAAAACAATCTATTGTTAGTGTTCTAAATAAACATTTGTTTATACTTTCTTTGGGACTACGATTTATATGGAATATACAGGGTATATAAAAACTTGTTATAGTTAAAAAACATTTTTTTTAAAGTCGCATCTAAAAATACATCGAAATCACCCGTGAAGCATTTAACTCTGAAAAAACTTGGCAACACCGTGTTCTTACTGCGCTGTATGTCACACATCTAAGAAGGGTAACCCTTCAAGGGTTGTCATGGAAACAAAATAAACAATGCATCCAGAGATAAACAGAGATAGTTGACAGACGTATCGTCATAGCTTTGTTATTATTAACAAATTTAAAGTTTTTCTTTTGAAATGTCATTTAAAAATTGTGTTGAACTAATCCTTTTATAGTGGGTATATAAAGTAGCAAGTTTTATTAACGCCATTAGTTGCCCAATTTTATTTGACATCTGACAACTGTCAAGCGGGTTTAACCTCACTTTTTTCAAATCTGACATCTGTCAAACAGTTTTAACCTTATTTTTTACGAATTTCAACTTGAAGTTGACTTTGGACTGCGGCTGAACAGCCCGAGGGGCGCTGCTGCCAGCCCCAGCCCGTGACTAAAACGCCATAAAGTCACAGCTTGTCAATGCGTTTTTAAAAGATCACTTAAAATGTTTTATCATTATTATTATGTTGGAACTTTTAATGCATATTTTTACAAAATAAATTTGGAGGTAGAGCAGTTGCCCTGTTGTCAGATCGTTCCATTAATTCGTTAATATCTCAAACTGGACTGTCAAATTTTTTTGTTTTGTGCAGTTTTATAGTAGTGGCCATGCCTTTTATTAAAGAGCACTCTTTGATCAAGACTTAAAAGGTGCATAGAGTAAAGCGTTTTTGAGTTATTCTTGAGTTTTAGACCTACTTTGGGTAATAATTGACAAGTAATAGTAAAAATAGGTTATGTTTTCTTATTTTATTTGTATTTTCTCGTCTTCAAGTGAAGTATATCGATTATTTATAGAGGTACACGTTATTTTTACATAAACTTCTTCTAATTAATGCAAAATACCTTCAGCACATGTTAGGTTTTATTAGGATACAGGTAATAGTAACTTTTACCTTTTTTAAACAATTTGTATGAAATGTTGATTTCAGTTTTAAAAAGCCATTTGCGAAAGTATTAAAAAACCCTTGAAAATTAAAAGTTTTCTGAACCTTCCAGCTTAATAAAGAAAATTAAAATACCCCAGGCCCGGCCAAAACAATCTATTGTTAGTGTTCTAAATAAACATTTGTTTATACTTTTTTTGTGACTACGATTTATATGGAATATACAGGGTATATAAAAACTTGTTATAGTTAAAAAACATTTTTTTTAAAGTCGCATCTAAAAATACATCAAAATCACCCGTGAAGCATTTAACTCTGAAAAAACTTGGCAACACCGTGTTCTTACTGCGCTGTATGTCACACATTTAAGAAGGGTTGTCATCAGGGTTGGGTCAGTAGAAAACCTTAGGTAATTTACCTTGGTAGAAAAGGGTAGAAAACTTGTTTTCGACTTGCGTCGAAAACCTATAGGGTTTTCTACCTACGTAAATTACCTTATTCGACCTTCTCCTTCCACTTCTCTAAATTTGCCCTCATGCCAAAAATTATGTTGGGGTCTTCCAACCAAACGTGGCCCTTTTTTCCCACCATAATAATGTTAAAAAACTCCAAATAACTTCAAATTTATGGTAGGTGTCTGATTTTTCACAACATTTAACAAATCATAATAAACAACAAACTTGCATAACCTCACATTTTTTGATATTTGACAATATTCTACTTTTTTACGTTTTCTACCGTCGAAAACGTCGAAAAAGGTTTTCTACATGTCGAAAACAAAAATGTAGGTAGATACCCAACCCTGGTTGTCATGGAAACAAAATAAACAAGGCATCTAGCAACATAGTTGACAGATGTGTCGTCATAGCTTTGTTATTATTAACAAATTTAAAGTTTTTCTTTTGAAATGTCATTTAAAAATTGTGTTAAACTGATCCTTTTATAGTAGGTATATGAATTAGCAAGTTTTATTAACGCCATTTGAGTTAACAAATTTTATTTGACATCTGACAACTGTCAAGCGGGTTTAACCTCACTTTTTTCAAATCTGACATCTGTCAAACAGTTTTAACCTTATTTTTTACGAATTTCAACTTGAAGCTGACTTTGGACTGCGGCTGAACAGCCCGAGGGGCGCTGCTGCCAACCCCAGCCCGTGACTAAAACGCCATAAAGTCACAGCTTGTCAATGCGTTTTTAAAGATCACTTAAAATGTTTTATCATTATTATTATGTTAAAACTTTTAATGCACATTTTAACAAAATAAATTTGAAGGTAAAGTAGTAGCCATGTTGCCAGATCGTTCCATTAATTCGTTAATATCTCAAACTGGACTGTCAAAATTTTTTGTTTTGTGCAGTTTTATAGTAGTGGCCATGCCTTTTATAAAAGAGCACTCTTCGATCAAGACTTAAAAGCGTTTTTGAGTTATTCTTGAGTTTTAGACCTACTTTGGGTAATAATTGACAAGTAATAGTAAAAATAGGTTATGTTTTCTTATTTTATTTGTATTTTCTAGTCTTCAAGTGAAGTATATCGATTATTTATAGAGGTACACGTTATTTTTACATAAACTTCTTCTAATTAATGCGAAATACCTTCAGCACATGTCAGGTTTTATTAGGATACAGGTAATAGTAACTTTTACCTTTTTTAAACAATTTGTATGAAACGTTGATTTCAGTTTTAAAAAGCCATTTGCGAAAGTATTAAAAAACCCTTTGAAAATTAAAAGTTTTCTGAACCTTCCAGCTTAATAAAGAAAATTTAAATACCCCAGGCCCGGCCAAAACAATCTATTGTTAGTGTTCTAAATAAACATTTGTTTATACTTTTTTTGGGACTACGATTTATATGGAATATACAGGGTATATAAAAACTTTTTATAGTTAAAAAACATTTTTTTTAAAGTCGCATCTAAAAATACATCGAAATCACCCGTGAAGCATTTAACTCTGAAAAAACTTGGCAACACCGTGTTCTTACTGCGCTGTATGTCACACATCTAAGAAGGGTTGTCATGGAAACAAAGTAAACAAGGCATCTGGCAACATAGTTGACAGATGTATCGCCATAGCTTTGTAATTATTAAGAAATTTAAAGTTTTTCTTTTGAAATGTCATTTAAAAATTGTGTTTAACTAATCCTTTTATAGTGGTTATTTGATTTAGCAAGTTTTATTAACGCCATTTGAGTTAACAAATTTTATTTGACATCTGACAACTGTCAAGCAGTTTTAACCTCATTTTTTACAAATTTCAACTTGGACTGTCATTCGTAATTATTAAAATAATATGAGAAATTTAAATATCTTGTATAATGAGGGTGAATTTCATAAAAAAAAATTAAGGAGGGATTACAGTGCAGAAAGTTCCTTATGGAGTCGAAAACGCTTCAAAGGGAGTCCGTTCTATCGTAGTTGGCAGTGTCGACGGTAAATCGTAGTCGGCGACGTGACCGGGCGGTCGAAAACGCTCTGCCTGCTGCGATCGGATTTCAAGAGTCTTGAAAGTTGCGCGCATGCGCAAAGGGCCCCAGTCCTTGAGGCCTTCGAGAAACCACAGGCCGAAGTGAGCTATTTGATTGGAGTTTTTTCGATTTCTCGCATAGTGATTGTCTTAAACTAATTGGTAATCATGATTTTTTTTTCAATATTAAAAATATTTTTTTCTACTGCCACATTTAAAACGCCCTTTATCGAACATGTTTCCGTGACACTAAGTGACCTTTTAAATACACATTGACAAGTTGTGGCTTTACGGCGTTTTAGTCACGGGCTGAAGTTGGCAACAGGTTTTTAGTCACGGGCTGAAGTTATTTTTAAATTAGTTGACAGTTGTCAAATGTCATACAATCGTTAAAATAAAGTGCCTTTCTTGTAAAATAATACTAAATGTGAAAATTATTTTATTATCTCAATACAAAAATACTAAAAAACAGAAAATTAAAAAAATCTGAGTGTGGCGTGAGAATTTGGGGAGAGGGAGGTCAAGAAAAAAAATCGTATACAAAAGAAAAATCGAACAAAATTGATTTTTTTTCATTACAGCGCCTTCTATTACAAATATAAAAATAGTATATTAAAGAACTAATGTCATTAGACGTCATTTTGTCGCACGAGGACAATTTATAAAACGAGCGACGAAGGAGCGAGTTTTGTAATGGACGAGTGCGACAAAAGGTCTTATGACATGAGTTCTTTATGCTATTTGATCTATTTTGCAAACATTTCATAAAACAAATTAATTTTATACCTTATATTTAATTTGGTCGAATTTTACTTTACATAGTTGGTATCTCAGTTTGAAGTTTGAAAGGTCATTAACCTTTCAAACATTATCACATTCTTTCGCTATAGCGTCCTTAATTTACAATAAGTATTTACAATAGGCGGCTGTTAATGTTAAAGAAGAAAAAAAGGTTTTTTCTTTGGTGTTAAACAAAATTTATTGCACGAAAAGTCTCGTAAGTACTAGAAAACAAATCATAAAAATATTATAACCTATAGGTATTCAAAATTGTATTTTACCAGTAGCCAACCTATAAAATCAAAATTTTGGGTGGAATAAAGTACCTCATTAAAGAACCAAAAGCGGTGTTATAATGAAGTCATTATGAAACCAAAATAGATAAAATGTTTTAAACAAAATCTACCTATTTTTAGTCGAAAGATCCGAATCTGCAATAAAAAATAGGGTGTTCCATTGGAAATTTTAAAGTTACCCCCTGTCCCCCCTATAAGGAGGAGAGTATGAGGAGCAATTTTAGTACTGATTGATTTCCCCCTCGAATCATTTAATTTTTATTTTAAACATTTTTTCGTAAATCAATGCGGCCTAACTTTCCCACGCCAGGCCTTGAATCTAGCTGGCATATCCACAGCCTGCCTAGTCCTCTGCTCTTCAGTACCCGAAAATGGCGTTTAGGGGTAAAAAGCGTCGCTTCCGCGTTGAAGACGACGACGACGTCGGCGACGCCAAAATCGACGCTCGATCCGGTTATCTCGGCCGTATGGTATGTCGATTTTTTTTACTACCAGAAGTGCGTACGTTGTTTTGTTTTGCTACTACAACAACGTTTTAGCGAAATTATTCGATTTTCCGTTTATTTTCTATCGATCTTGCAACGAAGTGTTATTTTATTTATCCCGTGTTTTTCCCCAGAAATCGCATTCAACAGCGTTCACATTTTTTTCCAGTGCCGTACCGTTTATTTTTAACAGTCAAATTTGCCAATTAATTTTCCTACAAACAATGAAAAAGTTTTTGTTGTCGAAGCGCGAAAGCTTGCGGCATTGAAAAGTTAGATAATGATGGTTTTAATGCCATTACTTTTTTTGTTGTTGAATCCTTCAGCTTATTCAACAAGCTTTTTATTGCACTTCAATCTATCAAAAAAGTTTGTGATTTATTTTTATAGCTTTTCCCACAAGTTTTATATTAATATTCAGTGTGTAATTTCCAGATTCTGTCAATAAAAGTTGCCAAATTTTGTTTAAATTTAGTTTAATCACAAAAATGACAAAATCAATTTTTTAAATTGGTACTAATTTTTCTAATCACTTTTGTATTTGTATTAGGGTGATTCATTTCCGCAAAGTTTTTGTTTTTTTTCGGTGCTCAAGCAAAATATTAATCTGCATATAGGAAAAAACATTCTCACCAAGTTTGAGCTCTTAATATTAATTTTAAGCACTTACTATTTAAATTTAAAGTTTTACCGTTTAAAATGCATGTAAAAAATATATATTTTTTTTCAAATTTCTAATGCTTACCTACCCACCTTTGACAATATTGCAAATCGTTTTATTACACCTTATGGGGAATTTCACGCTCTTTCAAATTGCTTTTGAGTTTTTTTTTGTAACTCGCATTGGTTCACCAGTAGGAGTCGTCAAAGGACAGTTTTTGAAATCGTTTTTTTTTTTTTTGAGCAAATCGCCAAAAGTAGTGAGAAAAAGGGCTGATTCATAAAAAAAAAGTTATCCAACCAATATTTAATGAATTTACTGCCATTTTTATAACTGAAAACGTAAGAAATTGATAAATACCAACCCATAATGTTATTTAGATTGATTTTTTCTATTTATTATCATTATATTTCCCTACACTAAGAACTTTTTTAAAATTATTATGATTTCTCACTCATAATGAATATGAAAACAACACATAAATTCATAAAAAAAAACAACAAAACTTTAATCGGAATATACAGAAGGTTATGTAACATATTTCAAATTTCGCTTCAAAAAATTAAATAATCTTCATTTATATTATTTTGCTATATGACAGAAATGTTGAAAAATTGCAAAATCCACGTTACAATTTTCTTATTTTTTTTTATGAATTTATCTGTTGTTTTCATATTCATTATAAGTGAGAAATCAATAATTTTAAAAAACTTCTTAGTGTAGGGAAATATAATGATAATAAATAGAAAAAATCAATCTAAATAACATTATGAGTTGGTACCTAATTATCAATTTCTTACGTTTTCAGTTATAAAAATGGCTGTAAATTCATTAAATATCGGTAGGATAACTTTTTTTTATGATTCAGCCCTTTTTTCTCCCTACTTTTTGCGGTTTGTTAGAAAAAATTAAAAAAAAAAGATTTTTTTCAAAAACTGTCCTTTGACGACTCCTACTGGTGAACCAATGCGAGTTACAAAAAAAAACTTAAAAGCAATTTTAAAGAGCGTGAAATTCCCCATAAGGTGTATTAAACCGATTTGCAATATTGTCAAAGGTGGGTAAGCATTAGAAATTTGAAAAAAAAAATATATTTTTTACATGCATTTTAAACGGTAAAACTTTAAATTTAAATAGTAAGTACTTAAAATTTATATTAAGAGCTCAAACTTGTTGGGAATTTTTTTTTCTATATGCAGATTAATATTTTGCTTGAGCACCGAAAAAAACAAAAACTTTGCGGAAATGAATTACCCTAATTTGTATATTATCAACTTAATTTCAGCCCGTGACTAAATTTAAGCGCCATAAAGCCACAATGTGTATTTAAAAGGTCACTTAGTGTCATGGGAACATGTACGATAATGGCCGTTTTAAGGATGGGTGTAAAAAAAGTTATTTATTATTAATATATATTTTGAATTGTTACACACCAGTATTTTTTCGCTACATGCTTGACGTCATAATTAGTTGCCTATCCTTCAGGCGTTTAGCTATACCCTCGTAAAAATACAGATTTGGAGTTATGAAACAAATTATTCCATATAAACGAAATTAAAAACGTATTTTTAGAAACACTTCTTTAAAAAGTCTGTTTTAAATTAAACAAATATAATTCAAAATGTCTAAAATACATTAGTAAAACACAATTCAGAATGCCATTAACACATTCTTGAGTGTTAAACACATTTTTATTTTTAAGAATGCTCCTTTAAAAATGCCAAAAACAAAATTCAAAATGTCTGAAAACTCATTATTAATTGTTAAAAACCCATTTTTGACAAAACACAATTCAGAATGACGTTAACACATTCTTGAATGTTAAAAACCCCATTTTTTCCAAAATTAATACATGTGGGAACATACTTTAGAACGTTAAAAACACATTTTTGGCAAAAACACAATTCAGACTGCCATTAACACATTCTTGAATGTTAAAATACATTTTATTTTTTAAAATGTCTGGACTCCTTCAAGAATGCCAAAAAATATCTAAAACCATATTATTAATTGTTTAAACACATTTTTGATAAAATAAAACAATTTGGATTGACGCTAACACATTCTTGAATGTTAAAAATACCTATTTTAATGTTAGAAACGCCATTTAGAATGTAATTTTTTTCAAAATTAATACATGTGGAAACATACTTTAAAACGTTAAAAAGACATTTTTTGCAAAAACACAATTCAGAATGCCATTAACACGTTCTTGAATGTTAAAATACATTTTTATTTTTAAAATGTCTGGACTCCTTCAAGAATGCCAAAAAATGTCTAAAAACACATTATTAATTGTTTAAAACACAAATTCAGAATGACGTTAACACATTCTTGAATGTTGAAAATATATATTTTAATGTTAAAAACACCATTTAGAATGTCATTTTTTTTCAAAATTAATACATGTGGAAACATACTTTAGAACTTTAAAAACACATGTTTGGCAAAAACACAATTCAGAATGCAATTAACACATTCTTGAATGTTAAAACACATTTTTATTTTTGAGAATGCCTAGACTCTTTAAGAATGCCAGAGACAATTAAAAATGTCTAAAACACATTATTAATTGTTTAAAACACAAATTCAGAATGACGTTAACACATTCTTGAATGTTGAAAATATATATTTTAATGTTAAAAACACCATTTAGAATGTCATTTTTTTTCAAAATTAATACATGTGGAAACATACTTTAGAACTTTAAAAACACATGTTTGGCAAAAACACAATTCAGAATGCAATTAACACATTCTTGAATGTTAAAACACATTTTTATTTTTGAGAATGCCTAGACTCTTTAAGAATGCCAGAGACAATTAAAAATGTCTAAAACACATTATTAATTGTTTAAAACACAAATTCAGAATGACGTTAACACATTCTTGAATGTTAAAACCTTAGCGATTTTGCTAAACTTGACTACTTCCCGATTTAAACAAATATTTTTAGAATTTTAACAACTTTTTTTTCTATTTTTTTTTTGCTGCAGCGGGAGCGAAAGCAGAAAAAACTGTACTCGGAAGACTGGGCCTTGGGCGACGAGGAAATAGAAGGGCGGCGAACGTTCAATCTACAAGAAAAACTCGACGATCCGGCGTTCGCCGCCCACCAAATGATCAAAGAAATGCACGGCACCGAACTGACTGTAGCCTACTTCCAGAGATACGGCTTCAACACGCCGCTGCTTTTCAGGGAAAAGACTGGTTTAGGTGAGTAATTGTTTTCCACGAGTATTAGTGATATTTTAAAGGCCCTGTAGAAAAAGCGAGATAGGCAAAATGAACGCCTTTAATTTTTTTATTATTTGACATTTATTTTGTTGGGTACCATTCCACTGCTTCCTTGTGTAGGCTCCATGGATTTCTTTTTCGATCGAAAGTCATTTTCACAAGTTTTAAAAATACAGTCGAAACACAATTCAGAATTACGTTAACACATTCTTGAATGTTAAAATACATATTTTAAAGTAAAAACACCATTAAGAATGTTGAAAACACAATTCAAAATGTCATTAACACATTCTTGAATGTTAAAACACTTTTTATTTTTAAGAATGTCTATACTTCTTTAAGATTGCCAAAAATAAAATTTAAAATTTCTAAAAATATGTACATTATTAATTGTTTAAAACACATTTTTAATGAAACACAATTCAGAATGACGTCAACACATTCTTGAATGTTAAAAATGCATATTTTAATGTTAAAAACACCATTTAAATGTCATTTTTTCCAAAATTAATACATGTAAAAACATACTTTGGAACGTTAAAAACGTTACGAGTTTTTTAGTTTTAAAGTATTTGTGATATTTGAAAGGCCCTGTCAGGGGAGAGATAAGCAAAATGAACACCTTTAATTTTTTTAATATTTGACATTTATTTTGTTGGGTACCGTTCCACTGCTTCCTTGTGTAGGCTCCATGGATTTCATTTTCGATCAAAAGTCATTTTTACAATTTTTAAAAAATACAGTCAAATCATAATTCAGAATTACGTTAACACATTCTTGAATGTTAAAAATACATATTTTAATGTAAAAACACCATTAAGAATGTTATTTTTTCATTATTAATACATGTACAATACAAACATACTTTAAAACGTTAAAAACACTTTTTGGCGAAAACACAATTCAAAATGTCATTAACACATTCTTGAATGTTAAAACGCATTTTTATTTTTAAGAATGTCTATACTTCTTTAAGATTGCCAAAAACAAAATTTAAATGTCTAAAAATACATTATTAATTGTTTAAAACACATTTTTAATGAAACACAATTCAGAATGACGTTAACACATTCGTGAATGTTAAAAATGCATATTTTAATGTTAAATACACCATTTAGAATGTAATTTTTTCTAAAATTAATACATGTAGAAATATACTTTGGAACGTTAAAAACACAATTTTGGCGAAAACACAATTCAGAATGCTATTAACACATTCTTGAATGTTAAAACACATTTTTTTATTTATAAAAATGCCCAGACTCCTTTAAGAATGCCTAAAACAAAATTTAAAATGTCCAAAAATACATTATTAATTGTTTAAAACAAGTGTTTGATAAAAACACAATTCAGAATGACAACACATTCTTAAATGTTAAAAATGCACATTTTAATGTTAAAAACACCATTTAGAATGTTATTTTTTTCTAAAATTAATACATGTAGAAGCATACTTTAGAGCACATTTTTGGCAAAAACACAATTTAGAATGCCATTAACACATTATTGAAAGTTAAAACACATTTTTATTTTTAAGAATGTCTATATTTCTTTAAGAGAACAAAATTTAAAATGTCTAAAAATGCATTATTAATTGTTTAAAACACATTTTTTGATAAAACATAATTCAGAGTAACGTTAACACATTCTTGAATGTTAAAACACATTTTTATTTCTAAGAATGTCCAGATTTTTTTACGACTGCGAGAAACAAAATTTAAAATGTCTAAAAACACATTATTAATTGTTAAAAACACATTTTTGATAAAACGCAATTCAGAACTACGTTAACACATTCTTGAATGTTAAAAATGCACATTTTAATGTTAAAAACACAATTAAGAACGTCATTTTTTCTAAATTAATTACATGTGGAAACATACTTTAGAACGTTAAAAACACATTTTTGCGAAAACACAATTCAGAACGCCATTAACACATTCTTGAGTGCTAAAACACATTTTTATTTTTTAAAATGTCTAAAACACATTATTAATTGTTTAAAACACAGTTCAGAATGATGTTAACACATTCTTGAGAGTTAAAAACACATATGAGAGAATTTTCACACAAGCTCTGTATTTCAGGTATAAGAGTGCCGACGTCTAACTTCTCAATCAACGACGTCAGGATGTGCGTCGGTTCGCGACGTATTTTGGACGTCATGGACGTCACGACTCAAAAAAACAGCGAAATGACGATGAAAGAATGGCAAAAATACTACGAAGACCCGAACAAAACCAAACTTTTAAACGTGATTTCCTTGGAATTTTCCCACACGAAACTCGAAAATTACGTGCAGAGTCCAACAGTTGTAAGGTAATAAGATTCCAGTAAAATTACCCAAGTGATAAAAAAAAAATTTTATATACATTTTTATTAGGCAAGTAGATTGGGTGGACAACGTATGGCCAAGGCACTTAAAAGAGAGCCAAATCGAAGCCACAAATCTCTTGGAAGACATGAAATACCCAAAAGTTCAAAAATACTGCCTTATGTCGGTTAAAGGCTGTTACACAGATTTTCACGTCGATTTTGGCGGGACGAGCGTGTGGTATCACATTATTAAAGGTGAGTTTACAAATCCATGCTAAAAAAAATTCATCCCCTTTATTTAGTCTTCTTGGCACAGCCACCAATTTCCTACGCCACTCCACGATTAAGAGCCTATTCAATTATTTCGTCTATAGACGCATGCGCTCAAAGAATTTCTTAAACACCCACGTTTATAAATGTAATTCGCTATTCCGTTTCCAAAATTCGCTGTTTGGTGAACATACGTGACGTTCGAAAACGTATGTTTACGCACGCTTGCCTGAGAGGTGCTGTTAGCCAATATTCGAGGTTTTTATCTTTCATTAATCATAAATTGCGGCGATGTTTGGTACAGTATTCGGTACAGTATCGTTATCAAGCATAGTGATTGTCTTAAATTAATTGGTGATCATGAATTAATTACTTTTTCATAATTAATACCTAAATAATATAATTATAAATGATGAATAATTATTTATAAATGGAATAGGATATATCACATAAGGGGTCACACCAAACAAATAAAAAAATTTTTTTTCAATATTAAAAATATTTTTATTGTTTGCTTTTTAATTATCATAATAATACAAAAATACAAATTTTTCTTTAATAAATTGTTTAATAAAATTAATTAATTTAGAAAAAACAGAAAATAAAAAAAATCTGAGTGTGACGTGAGAATTTGGGGAGAGGGAGGTCAAGACTTTGACAATATATGTTACAAGGAGAGCAGAGTATCTAAAAACGACTAAAACACATATATATATATTGGTAGAATAAAAAATAACTTAGAAAAAATATATTTTATTAAAAAAATACAACAAATATAAAATATCAAATACCTATGTATGTAATATTATTACACACAAATAAAGACAGAAAATTAGTCAAACAAAACAAACTTCAAAAAAATATGCATCTAAAAACTCATCTCAAATTTTGTCTTCAAATGGAAGCTAAAACTTTTTTGTTTAATTTTAAAATCTTCTAGGTTTTATCAATACCTTTTAAAACCTCTACACCAAAGAACACTCTACACCTTCGCTACTCATCGCAGTTTGAGTTGGACTTTCTCTCGGCCTCTTTTTGCCTCTCTGTTGTGGAAGGGGCCCTTCCACACGGCCTGCGTTGACCTTAAAGGCCGGTCAATGCAGAGTTCAAAAGGTGGTAATCCCTCCACCACTAACTTGCCTGTTAATTTAGCCTCAATGGCATTGAGTTGTTTTGCTGGCTCCTCGACATTGCCAGTCTCCATGTGAGAAATGCCCTTTTCCTTACGTGGGCCTTCAAGTCAATAAAAGTCTGTGTAAATGTTTCAACATGCGCGAAACAGAATAGCCTTAAACATAGGTGAATAAGACTCTTAAAGCATGTTAAAAACTATTTTTGTTTTGTTAAGGTGGCAAAGTTTTTTGGCTCATCCCCCCAACGGAGCACAATTTGGCTCTCTATGAGCGTTGGGTTCTATCCGGTAAACAATCGGATATTTTTTTCGGCGATACTGTTGAAAAGTGCGCTCGAATAGAGCTAAAAGAAGGCAACACGTTTTTTATCCCTACCGGGTGGATTCATGCCGTGTTTACCCCTACGGATTCCCTAATTTTCGGAGGCAATTTTCTGCATTCCTACGGAATAGACAAACAGCTGAAAATTGCCCAGGTCGAAGACAATACCAAGGTTAGTGACGGTGGAAAAATACCGGTCTCGATATTTAAGTTTTTCTTCTTGTGTAGGTTCCTCAAAAATTTCGTTATCCCTTCTTCACCGAAATGCTATGGTACGTTCTAGAGAGATACGTTTTCTGTCTACTGGGTAACTCACACCTTACCACTGGGCAAAATAGCGCCTTACCAAACAACAAACCACACGTCCATTTGACGCAAGCTGAGCTTCATGGCCTTAAGGTGAGTCCCAAGGTTACACAGCAAACGGAAAATTATAGAAGTGTATATACTTCTTTGCTGAAGAGATATAAGCAATTCAATAACCAAAAACAAAGAAAAAATAGGTTTTATTGAAATTTATGTATACATGTATGTAATTTGATTCAACAACTATATATTGCTTATATCTCTTAAACAAAGCACTTTAGTGATATGAACGTAAAACCTTTTTTTGTCAAAAATTAAATTTCCCACAACTTTTTTATTTGAACTTTTTCGGTAAACCTAGTCATTCGCTCGATTTTCTCAAAAATATGTGAGAAAAAGTGAAAAAACGACTTTTGGAGCTACTACAATCAACGTAAATAAATAAAAAACAAAATTGATGCAGGGCCTTTCAAAAACCGTGAATACTATGCAGAAAATTATGGTGATAAAAATTATAATTCAAAACCCGGCCAAAATATAGAAATTTAAAGTAAAAATGATTAAAAATACATGCTGTTTATATGGAAAAACTACAAAATTAAAAAGGAAGTACTTAGAATAAAAGTTAAGGGCTCAAATTTTCAACCTAAAAACAAAATTTTCATGTGTCAGCAAGAAAAAAAAAATTTTCGTTTTAAATGAAACACCCTAACCCGTATACACTTCTATATTTTTTCGTTTGCTGTGTTGGAAGGTGACTTAAGGGCGTAATAAAAAAAAAATTATCACAGGAAATAGTGTTTTATCTGCACATGCTGCCGCCGCAGAAGAAGAACGTGCCCGAGCTGATAAAAAACCCGGTGTCGCTGATACAAGACGTTCGCACTCTGATCGGTCTTCACCGTCAAGACAGCCGCGAGCTGGCGATATCGGGTCGCCCGATCCTGGCCAACTCTGACGAGCTCGAGCGGCGCAAGCTGGCGAAGACGTCGCCGCTGGTCAACAGAAACAGCATCAACAGGTTGCTGAAGCAGCAGCAGCAGCTGAACAGGTCGCTGTTGCCGCCTGTCGCGAGGGACCTGAATCGGGACGTCGGTGCGGGTGCGCAGCCTTTGCAGCAGAATAGCGCGCAGCACGGGAGCACGAAGTTGAGTCCGCCTTTGGATAAGGGTGGGCCTAGACGAAGACGGACAAGGTAAGTGTTTTTCGATCGATTTTTATTGTAAATACATTTGGTTTTCTGTTAAATTATGTAAACCAAAAATGTCTACACTTCTAAAATACATTATTAATTAATTAATTAAAAGCGTAGAGTGACGTTAACACATTCTTGAATGTTAAAACTGCATATTTTAATGTTAAAACACCATTTAGAATATAATCCAATATTAATACATGTAGGAACATACTTTAAAACGTTAAAAACACATTTTTGGCAAAACACACAATTCAGAATGCCATTAACACTTTCTTGAATGTTAAAACACATTTTTATTTTTAAGAATGTCCAGACTCCTTTAAGAATGCCAAAAACCAAATTAAAAATTCCTTAAAACAAATTAATAATTGTTTAAAACACATTTCTGACAAAACACAATTCAGAATTAAGTTAACACATTCTTGAATGTTAAAAACAACATTTAGAATGTCACTTTTTCCAAAATTAATGCATGGAGAAACATATGTATTTTAGAAGGTAAAAAAACACATTTTTGACAAAACGCAATTTAGAATGACGTTAACACATTCTTGAATGTTAAAAATGCACATTTTAATGTTAAAAACACCATTTATAATGTAATTTTTTCCAATATTAATGCATGTAAAAACATAGTTTAGAACGTTAAAAACACATTTTTGGCAAAAACACAATTCAGAATGCCATTAACACATTCTTAAATGTTAAAACACATTTTTATTTTTTTAAATGTCCAGACTCCTTTAAGAATGTCAAAAACAAAATTAAAAATGTCTAAAACACATTATTAATTGTTTTAAACACGTTTTTGATAAAAACACAATTCAAAATGCCATTAACACATTCTTGAATGTTAAAACATATTTTTATTTTTAGGAATGTCTAGACTTCAAGTCAAAAACAAAATAAAAAATTTCATGAAACCAATTATTAATTGTTTAAAACACATTTTTGATAAAACACAATTCAGAATGACGTTAACACATTCTTGAATGTTAAAACACATTTTTATTTTTAAGAATGTCTGGACTTCTTTAAGATTACTAAAAACAAAATTGAAAATGTCTAAAACACATTCTTGAATGTTAAAATACATTTTTATTTTTAAGAATGTCTAAAGTCCTTTAAGAATGCCAAAACATAATTTAAAATGTTCAAAACATAATTGACGTTAACACATTCTTGAATGATAAAACTACATATTTTAATGTTAAAAACACCATTTAGAATGTCATTTTGTCCAATATTAATGCATGTAAAAACATAGTTTAGAACGTGAAAAACACATTTTTGGCAAAAACACAATTCAGAATGCCATTAACACATTTTTAAATGTTAAAACACATTTTTATTTTTTAGAATGTCTAGACTCCTTTAGGAATGTCAAAAACAAAATTAAAAATGTCTAGAACACATTATTAATTGTTTTAAACACATTTTTGATAAAAACACAATTCAAAATGCCATTAACACATTCTTGAATGTTAAAACATATTTTTATTTTTAGGAATGTCTAGACTTTAAGAATGCCAAAAAAAAATTAAAAATTTCTTGAAACAAATTATTAATTGTTTAAAACACATTTTTGATCAAACACAATTCAGAGTGACGTTAACACATTCTTGAATATTAAAAATACACATTTTAATGTTAAAAACACCATTTATAATGTAATTTTTTCCAATAATAATCCATGTAGAAACATACTTTAGGACGTTAAAAACACATTTTTGGCAAAAACACAATTCAGAATGCCATTAACACATTCTTGAATGTTAAAACACATTTTTATTTTTAAAAACGTCTAAATTTCTTCAAGAATGTCAAAAACAAAATTCAAAATGTTTAAAACACATTTTTGACAAAACACAATTCAGAATGACGTTAACACATTCTTGAATGTTAAAAATGCACATTTTAATGTTAAAAACACCATTTATAATGTAATTTTTTTCAATATTAATACAAGTAGAAACATACTTTAGAACGTTAAAAACACATTTTTGGCAAAAACACAATTCAGAATGACGTTAACACATTCTTGAATGTTAAAAATGCACATTTTAATGTTAAAAACACCATTTATAATGTAATTTTTTTCAATATTAATACAAGTAGAAACATACTTTAGAACGTTAAAAACACATTTTTGGCAAAAACACAATTCAGAATGCCATTAACACATTCTTGAATGTTAAAACACTTTTTTATTTTTAAAAACCTCTAGATTCCTTTGAGAATGCCAAAAACAAAATTCAAAATGTTTAAAACGCATTTTTGACAAAACACAATTCAGAATGACGTTAACACATTCTTGAATGTTAAAAATGCACATTTTAATGTTAAAAACACCATTTATAATGTAATTTTTTTCAATATTAATACAAGTGGAAACATACTTTAGAACGTTAAAAACACATTTTTGGCAAAAACACAATTGAGAATGCCATTAACACATTCTGAATGTTAAAACACATTTTTATTTTTAAAAACGTCTAGATTTCTTTAAGAATGCCAAAAACAAAATTCAAAATGTTCAAAACATACTTTAGAACGTTAAAAACACATTTTTGGCAAAAACACAATTCAGAATGTTATTAACACATTTTACATGTTTAAACACGTTTTTATTTTTAAGAATGTCTAGAATGTCGAGAACAAAATTCAAAATGTCTAAAACACATTATTAATTGTTTAAAACACATTTTTGACAAAACACAATTCAGAATGCCATTAACACATTCTTGAATGTTAAAACACAATTTTATTTTTAAGGATGTCTAGACTCCTTTAAGAATGCTAAAAACAAAATTAAAAATGTCCAAGATACACTATTAATTGTTTAAAACACATTTTTGACAAAACACAATTCAGAATGCCGTTAACACATTCTTGAATGTTAAAAATACACATTTTGATGTTAAAAACAACATTTATAAGGTAATTTTTTTCAATAATAAGTGGAAACATACTTTAGAACGTTAAAAACACAATTGAGAATGCCATTAACACATTCTGAATGTTAAAACACATTTTTATTTTTAAAAACGTCTAGATTTCTTTAAGAATGCCAAAAACAAAATTCAAAATGTTCAAAACACATTTTTGACAAAACACAATTCAGAATGACGTTAACACATTCTTGAATGTTAAAAATGCACAGTTTAATGTTAACAACGCCATTTATTATGTAATTTTTTTCAATATTAATACAAGTAGAAACATACTTTAGAACGTTAAAAACACATTTTTGGCAAAAACACAATTCAGAATGCCATTAACACATTCTTGAATGTTAAAACACATTTTAATTTTTTAGAATGTCCAGACTTCTTTAAAAATGTTTAAAACACATTTTTGACAAAACACAATTCAGAATGACGTTAACACATTTTTGGATGTTAAAAATGCACATTTTAATGTTAAAAACACCATTTTTTATGTAATTTTTTCCAATATTAATACATCCTTTAAAACGTTAAAACACATCTTTGGCACAAACACAATTCAGAATGCCATAACACATTTTTGAATGTTAATACACATTTTTATTTTTAAGAATGTCTAGACTCCTTTAAGAATGTCAAAAAATTGTTAAAACACATTATAAACAGTTTAAAACACATTTTTGACAAAACACAATTTAGAATGACGTTAACACACTCTTCCAGGTGTAAAAAATGCGAGGCGTGCGTACGCAACGACTGCTCCGAGTGCAGTTTTTGCCTGGACATGGTGAAATTCGGCGGCCCAGGACGGGCCAAGCAAACCTGCGTGATGCGCCAATGTTTGCAACCCATGTTGCCAGTGACGGCGGCCTGCGCCAGCTGCGGTCTCGACGGCTGGATGCAGACTCCTGTCACGCCACTGCAGAAGGGTCCGCAACGTTGCGAGAGCGCCAGCAACTTGATGGAGTGCTCGGTAAGAATGTTTTCGTTTTGTTTACGTGCATTTTGTTTGTTTGTTTTAACACAGGAGGTGGACGGGTTTTATTTTTGTTTGTAATATTTAACAAGGTTTGTTCTATTTCGTTTCAAATTAAGAACTTAGGCAACCAATTGTACAGACTTTAACGGCAGCCATTTTTATGTTGTTTAAAATTATTGTGCTTTGGGTTATTGCTGTTTATACAGATTTAAAACTCAAATGAGGCCTTAAAGTGCCAAGTACAACCATTTTACTTCTCTTTTGTAAAAAGTAAACCTTATTCTATCAGGACTGTCATCAAACTGTCAAATGTCAATTTTAAGGTTAATTTCCCCAAATTTTAGAAGTCTTTAAAAATTAAGAAACTATTAAAAATCATTTAGAAAATTTTACAAAAATTGAAAATTTGAAGTTTTAAAATTTTTGAATAAATCAATTTTTTTAAATTTTCAAAAATTTTGGAATCTGAAAATTTCAAAAATCTTGCAAATTTAAGAAGTTTCTAAAATTTAAGAAAATTTTGAAAATATCAGAAATCATTTAGAAATTTTTGTAAAATTGAAATTTTTTTAAAATTTTGAATTAAAAATTTTGAAGATTTTAAATTTTTTGAATATTTCAATATCTTTGAAAATTTCAAAAATCTTGTTAATTTGTAAATTATAGAAGTTTCGAAAATTTAAGAAATATTCTAATATTGGATTTTTTTTAAATTTGAAATTATTGAATAGTTCTATTTTTTTATGTTTTAAAATATTTCATTTTTTTGAAAATTTTAAAAATTTTGAAATTTTTAAAAATATTCAAATTTCAAAATTATATCTAATATTTTTGAATTTTTCAAAATTATTTAAATGTTTCAAAAAAATTATAAAGGATAGAGAATATTAAATTTAAAGTTTGAAATTATTGAAAATTTTTGAGTTTTTTTAATATTTCAATATTTTTGAAAATTTCAAACATATTGGAAACAAAATTTCAAAAATCTTGTAAATTTGTAAATTTTAGAAGTTTAGGAAAATTTTGAAAATATTAGCAATCAGTTTGAAATTGGTGAGAATTTTTAAAGTTTCGAAAATATAAGAAAATTTTGAAGATATTTAAAATCATTTAGAAAATTAAGTAAAATTAATTTTTTTTAATTTGTAATTTTTGATAATTTTAAAATAATTTGAAAATTTCAAAAATTTTGAGAACGGAAAATTTGAAATAACTTTGTAGATTTTTGAAGTTTCGATAATTTAAGAAATTTTGAATATATTAGAAGTAGTTCACAAAATTTTGTAAAATTAAATTTTTTTAAAATTTGAAACTAAAAGTTTGAATATTTTAAAATTTTTGAAAATTTCAAAAAAAAATTGGAAACTCAAAATTTAAAAAATCTTGTAAATTTGTACAGGGTGATCCCCTATAATGTCGCCCCCCTTTAACTTTTTTATTTTAAGTGTCCCAAAAAATTTAAAAGTGTGGTTATGTAGGAACTAAAAAATACTTTTTTTCTATGTATAAAGAAAATTGGAAAATTGATCAGTATACAGGGAAAAACAAAAAGTTTATTTTTTTTCAATGGATCACCCTATATTTGAATTTATTTTTCGATTCCTTGTAAAATTCTGAGCATAATTTATATACAAACCATATACCTAAATTCAACCGTTTCTGAAATATTCGCATTCGAAATGTCATCATTAAATGTTTTTTAAACTGTTAAAAATCAAGAAGCCTCAGTATACCAAAATTTTTATTAAAAATAAATTACTATAGTGACATTATGTCAATAAGTGTTGTTAAATAAGTAAAAATGGCGTACTCAGACAGAGAAAGACAAACTATTTCAACTTATTGTCTTAAAAATAATTTAAATATTTCAGAAACGGTTGAATTTAGGTATATGGTATGGTATATGAAATATGCTTAGAATTTTACAAGGAATCGAAAAATAAATTTATATATAGGGTGATCCATTGAAAAAAAATTAACTTTTTGTTTTTCCCTGTATACTGATCAATTTTCCAATTTTCTTTATACATAGAAAAAAAGTATTTTTTAGTTCCTACATAACCACAATTTTAATTTTTTTGGGACATTTAAAATAAAAAAATTAAAGGGGGGCGACATTATAGGGGATCACCCTGTACATTTTAAAGATTTTAAAAATTTAAGAAATTTTGAAAATATTAAATGAATATATGAATATTTTTTGAAGTTTGAACTACCGTGCGAATTTTTCCTATTAATTTTTAAATTCATCCCACTGTGCAAATTTTTTAAACTTGTGCAAAAATTCAGAAAATTAAAATTATTTAAAAGTTAAAAAAAATTGAAATTTTTATAAAATTTAAGAAATTGATTGCCCTGTGCATTTCCCCCCTATTTTTAAGTTTGAACCACCGTGCGAATTTCCTACCATTCATAAATTTATCCTATTGTGCAACATTTTCCCACTATTTTTTAAATTTACGCCACTGTGCGGATGTGTCCTAAAATCTATGCATGAAGGACAGTTTTCAGTTATCCAATTTTGTTTGAATTTGTGCAGATTTCAATTACCCGGTTTTAATTGTCCAATTTTATTTATTTATTTATCTCAATTTACCATACCCAAAAATTGACATTTGACTGTTTAATGACAGCCCTGGTAGAGTAAGGTTTGTTTTTTACAAAAGAGGAGTAAAATGGCTGTATTTAGCAGAATTAAATCTGTATAAACAGACAAGTCGTATTAAAATATTTAAACAAAATAAATTTAACTGAAGATTTGTATTATTTATTGTAAAAAATGATACGACAATTTGGAATGTCTTTAACACGATTTTTATTTATTTATTTTATTTATTTATTTAGGAATCTGAAAGCTGAACATATTTAAAAGTATCAAGACTTATTTAAGAAGGTTGAGAAAGTAAGAAGGTTCAAGAACAACGTTTTAGAATGCTGAACATGTTTAAAATTATCAAGACTTAAGTTGTTTAAGAAGGTCAAAGCTTATTTTAGAACGTTCGAACCGTCGTGGGGAAGAATTTGTTTGAATTTTGTGTGTATGTGTGTATCGGTGGAAAAACGTACGTCGCGCTGCGTAAATAATAAAACGTGCACGATTTTTTGTAGGTGTGTTACGAAATAGCCCATCCCGCCTGCATTCAGCGCCTCTGCCCGGACATCCCGGGCTACATAAACGAAGACATGCCCAACTCGTGGGAGTGCCCTGTTTGCTGCAAGCTAGGCAAAAATACGGACTACAGGCCGAGGCATTTTCGCGCGCGTCAAAAGTCCTCGGACATGCGCAGAGTCTCTATCAGTTCCGATGCCTCGAGCGCTTTTGAGAACAAGTTGCAGCAGGACAACCTGTCGGATTCCGGCAGCGAAAACGAGGGGAAAGATAGGGGAAGCATCGCCAAGGATTTGCTGCCCATCAAGAAGAGGAGAAGTAGCGAGGGGAACGAGGTGAGTACACATGTAACAAAGTTTTTTTTCATGGAATTTTGCCATCGATTGTCCGTAAACATTGTTTACATCGTAGGCAGCTCTATTTCTGTTTCTTCCCATTTTTTGCTACAACAAGCTTGATAATTGGAATAATTTGGTTCAGGAATTGTTGACAGTATTTTTATTGCACAATTCTTATTGGTTATATTCTTCAATGTACCTTCTTCTACCATCTACAAGAAGTGCAGCAGATGTTCTTCTTAATCAATTTGTTAATTTCAAAAATTCAGCCTTATCTTCAGGCACAATCACAGCTTGTTGACATTTTGCATTTTTATATTAAAAAAAAATCTTCCTTCCCAATTATTCTTCATTTTACTTCCTTAAATATGCCTGAGTTTCATGAATTCGCTGATGTCTACTTTATACTTGACATTAAGTACTCATTGTATCATTGAATATTGCGACCACATTGTCAAATAATAAGTAATAAATAATATTACTAACTAGTTAAATATTTGGTTTATTTATAGTCAATGTAAACGCTTAAAATAACTTTTATTTACCTATAGAGTCATTCCAAATAAAAACACCAAATGGGGTGCGCTGCTTGATTTTTTATTGTGATAAAAAAATTGAGGATGATCTTTTAGGTATCAAATATGAATATCCGTTGCCGTTTTAATTTTTGGATTCTTTATTTTTATTCGGCACCCTATAGAAATCTGAAATCGTGCCAATTTCTTACTCTCTTATAGTGGGCCAGAACTTTCTTTTTGTGACAAATATTGAAATGATTTTAATTTTGTTTTACTGTTCAGTAAGTGTGTTTTCGATATAAATTATTAGTATAAAGAGGTACAAAATTATGTTCTTGCATTTTTAATTGCAATTAAATTCACGAATCTCGAACACTCCGTCATTTATTACACTTGCAAACTTTTTGAAATTACAATTTAAATACGCACAAATAATATTTTTGACAGTTCTGACATTTTTCTACCAAACATGAATTGACTAATTCAAAGCCATCTAAATTTTAAATTATTAATAAAACTAACAATATCGCTTCTTAACTGCATTAAAAAAATTATTATATCTTTTACATGGATAAAAATAACAAAACAAGACTTACTAGACTGAAAAGATGAAGGTGGGGACTACATTTCCTGAAAGTTTCAGATTTTTATTTTTTCCTCAACATAATGATTTTTAGGGCAAATTTGGCTAATTTTGAAAATTATCAAGTTTCAATAATTTTTTAATAAAGAAAATGATAGTCTAAAAACTTAAAATAATAGTTACGTTTTCTATTGTATAAGTACTTGATACCTGAAAAAAGCAACTTTCTAGATTTAGCAGATTAGGCACAGGAGCAGGACAAAAATCACAAAAATTGGCAAATTATTACAAATATATAGTGGTTTAGTATTCTTTTATGAGATGAACTAATTAGATAATAATAATTAATATTAAAAGCATACTTACTAGGCAGTTTTAGCCTCTTATAAGAGAGTAAGAAAATGACACGACTTCAGGTTTCTAAAGGGTGCAGATATGATACCTAGAAGATCATCCTCAAATTTTTTCATTAAAATAAAAAATCATCGCACTTTTAAATTATGTTTTGGTGTTTTCATTTGGATTGACTCTATAGGTAACCTTAAAAAATGTTAATGGTTGAACCAATTGGTTAATTTACTTAGAATGCTACCTAGTTAATTATTGAGTGTCACCTTCAAATTTTTTAACTGGTCCAGATCATTTAAAATATATAAACATTCTATAAATTCGACCTCAAACTCTACAGACACAAAAAGTGACAAATTATCTCCACAGGTGGAGACGAAATCGCAGCCCATCCAGCAGCCCGACCCGCCGCGCAAGACCGCCTTCCGCATGCAACTAGCTCAGCAAATCGCGAGCAACTCGACCAAGCCGATGAAAAAACCGATGATGGTGGTGCGCCCCGCCCCCTTGATGCAGTGCAACCCGCTGCTCACCAACAACTTGGCCTTGGACAAGCGGTGCCTGCTCAGCGTCTTCAAGCACTTGACAGGTACGTTTGTTTGACATCAGAAGTGGGATTTAGGTTATAGTCGCGGCCAAATCTGTATTCGACGCGATATTATGACGTCAGCATTACCAACTTTGAATTGCAAAGTTACTGAAGTTAAATTTCCTATTTTAAGTTTTAAAAAAATATCAAGAACTGTAACAATTTCCCTGTTTTTACGAAGTTATGTAGATTAAGAGATTAAGGAACTAAATTTTAAAAAAATGTTGGGGGCATATCCAGTTATCAAATACTGAATTTTCATAATAAAAATGAAATTGAAAAAAAAATTATGATATTATTTTAGTATGAAAAATCGCTAAAATTGATGTTGAGTTGAACTTTGATATTTAATATCTTTTTAACCAATTGGTTTAGCAAAAAATCATTTTGAAGAGCGTTTAATAATTTTCTATTATCTATTTTGCGTTCATAATGACTTCATTATAACACTGCTTTCGGTGCTGTAATGAGATACTTTACCCCACCCAAAATTTTGATTTTATAGGTTGGCTTTACTTTAAACAGCATAATATTTTGCATGTTGGTTATTTTTTATGATTTTTCTAGTACTTTTCTGGCAATAAATTTTGTTTAACACCAAAGAAAATCCTCTTTTTCATCTTTAAAAAAGTAAATTAAGGACGGCATGGCGAATCGATTTTGACATTAACTGTCAAACCAATGACTGATACCAACTATCTAAAGTAAAATTCCACCAAATTAAATTTAAGGTATAAAATAAATTTTTTTTATAGAATTTTTGCAAAATGGATAAAATAGCGTAAAGAACTCATGTCATAAGGCCTTTTGTAGCACTCGTCCATTACAAAACTTGCTCTTATGAGATTAGTTCTTTAATATACTATACTATACGTATAAATAGACCTTAACGCTGACGTCATATGCCATGCAGATTTGGCCGCGACTATACGCTAAAGAAGTATTGCTAGTAGCGCCACCACTCGGCTGTTATCATCCTAACAAAAGTACAACTTTTGATAATCAGCTGTCAAACGCGTGTGTTACAAACGAGTGTTTTCGAGAATAAAGCCGGAAAATGTTAAAAAATATCGAAAAAAAACCGTGGCTCGATTTGTTGTGTTGTTGGGTGTATTTCGAGAGGAAATCCTGGGTTGAGTTTTTACCGGTTTTCCAATAAACAGTGTTAATCCGAATGAAGAAATAAATTGCATACAGTCTCTGTAAATATAAATTGCACCTATTAGATACAATAAATACACATTTTAGTGGTGATTAACGTGAAAAGTGTAAACATTTTAATTCAGTAAAAATCGTCAAACAAATAAGTCGTCTAAATTTAAACAGCATTTAGCATCTTTAAAAGCGTTGATTAAGAAAGTCTCCATTCAACGGTAAAATACCATTATATTATGTATTATATACAGGGTGTTATGTAATTAATGTTATATATTAAAATACTGAATACCTTTTTGACATGAGGAATAAAGAAAAAATATTTTAAAAAGCATTTTTCCAAAGATAAAGAAAAAATATGCATTGGAAGTTTTTTATATTTTTTGTGATACGCCACTGGTTACACACTTGTTTATCTCTGCACACCTGTATTTTGTGAGTACATAGATACCAACCAACAAAGTAGCTATGCGTTGCCAGATGTAAAAAATTGTTACTAAAAATGTTTCTTGCAAAAAGTAAATAAAAACTCAATAAATACAAAAGTTTTATGCCCTTAAAGCTCTAATACCCTTCTGTATTTATTTACTGATACAGCTATTAGCTTAAGCAATGATTAGAAAATTTAGTACCTTTGAAATTTGAAATCCATAACCACAAAATTAATTTTTTCATCAGTTTTTTTCTCTGTTTACTCAGATGAAATTGGGACCAGTTCACAGGTTAAACTTTAAACATTTAATTTGTGTAAATAAATCCAAAAGCACTTCCCTTAGTTAAGATATTTACAATTTGAAAACATAACCTAAAATTTAAAAGAAATGCACTAGATTCTGTCATAAAAGTTGTCAGATTTTGTTTGAATTTACCTTCAGTGCAAAAATGAAATAACCAACAATTAATAAAAACGCCAAATTGACAATTTGCATTGTTAATTTTGTCATTTTTTTAATTAAGCTAAATGTTTGTCAACTTTTTTGAGAGATTTTGGAAACTGTTGTTACCAACCATAACATAATAAATCCACCAGATTAACCTAAAGTTCCTAGTTGATCAGTGGCGTACTTTTTGGTAGGATAAAGGTTATTATAAATTATTTTTAGACTTTGGAATTTAGCAAAAAAAAGTTTCAGGTGCTTCTTTATGGACCCTAAGGAACAACCCATTTTAATATATAACATTAATTACATAACACCCTGTATAATATTATGTTGCCATGAATTTTGTTGTTTAAAATGCAGTTGTCGGCGTTTTTTAGAGAACTCAAACATAAAAATGGTTGATTTTAAGGTTATGTTTGTGCAACAATAATTTTTTTACTAATTTCTTAAAAATGTCCGAACTTAAATATAAATTATATTAGGTGAAGTTATCATTAGTTAATTCTGCACCGACAAATGTACTTACCGATTTGGCAAAACATGAAAATGCAACGATTTAATTACCTATTTATTTAAAAATGCGAAAACCCGAATCTTCTTTAGCGTATGTTTCGATTATTTCAGGTGTTGATCTGGCCAAGTGCGCTCTGGTATGCAAAACTTGGGCCACCTACTCCATAGACCCGAGTTTATGGAAGGTGATGGAGTTTAGCAGAAGGCACATCAGCAGCGATATTTTAAAGGGTATCGTTAAAAGACAACCGGGGGTTTTAAGGGTGGATTGGTGCAACATCAACAAATTTCAGTTGCCCTGGTTGATACAACGGTTACATCACTTAAAGGAGTTGAGTTTGGTGGGGATAAACATAAAGACCGCTATTTCCTTAAAGTCGAATTCGTGCCCGTTACTGCAGACTTTGGACTTGAGTTTCATATCGGATTTTTACGATTCTGCTTTGAGGGACATTCTGGGGCCTAACAACGACTCCAGAAGGGGGCCAGATGAGAGATTTCGCTTCAAAAACTGCAAAACTTTGAGGTTATCCGGCACCGACATAACAGACATAGCTCTGCGCTATGTAACCCAATACCTCCCCAGTTTAGAGCACCTAAATCTATCCCTATGTCCTCGGATATCCGATGCGGGGATAGCCCAGTTATCCACCAAACCTTCCAACACGGTTACATCCCTGATATCCCTGGATTTAAGCCACTCAAAGTTGGTAACGGAATCCTCCCTCGATCACCTGTCTAAGTGCGAGAATTTAGTGAGGTTAGATTGCCGACATAACCTGCAAATATCGACGCAGGCGCTCATAAAATTCGCCGCAAAGTCCGATAAAAATTTGCAGGTTAGGGACATCAAGTTGGTGGACGTGCGAAAAGTGCAATGATTTTTGGCGGCTAATTTAAAAAAAATAATTTTATCATAATATTTATGATTTTTATGCGATTTTTTTTACCAAAATCCACTCAACTAAGTTTCGCGCGTACTAAAAATCACTGCAACACTCAAAATCTAACCACAAATTGACATTTGACAGTTTTATGACAGCTCTGATGGGTTAAGGTTTATTTTTGTACAAACTTGTGATTTTTAGTATTTGCGAAACGAAATAGGGTGGATTGGGGAGTTGACGTGATTTTTGTGACGTGTTTTAATTGTACAGGGTGCCCGAAAATACGAATTAAAAAAAAACTTGACAAAACATGAAACCTCAAAAATTATGAAAATAAGGCAGCTGAGGTTTACATGGTTGCCAGATGTATTTTTAAATCATTATTACCAACAAACTTTTTATTTTTTAATCGTCCTTGAAAAATTGTTTTCCATGCTTTTTTATAAATAAAAACTCTCAAAATTTAAAAATAACGAAAATAAAGTTTATTTTTAAAACCTGCAGCATTTTAAGACCTACAAGGTCGGTTATATAAAAAAGTACAAACCTTTAAAAAAAATTATGAATTAAAAAAAACAGTGGTTCTCAAAATGTTTGAAAAAAACTAAAACCTGTCAAACCCAAAAATCGTAGTAACTTTTTTATTCCTGGGAATTTTGAAAAAAAAGTAAGTTTTACATGTAAACATACGCATTAATCTACGTTTTAATCCAATTTTTTCGCTACTATATTTTGAGTTACCATCGCCATCTTTTGTTTTTAATTTAGTGGTTACTCATCAAAATCTGGTGGGTAAAAAAATCACAATTTAAATAAAAATGTAGAAAAAGTGCATGTTTATTCTTTAAACTTAATTTCTTTCAAAATTCACATGAATAACGACTTTATTTCGCTTTTGACAGGTTTCAGTTTTTTTCAAATATTTTGAAAACCGCTGTTTTTTAATTTATAATTTTAATTTTAATAGGGCTGTAATTACGCAACTTTTCTCTAACTTAATCGACATTGCGGCTTTTCATATAACGCGCCAGTGGCGCCACCAGCGTCAAAGTTTCAAGAGTGCAAAAATTGAAAAAAGTAAGAAATATATTTTAAGTAATAAAGGAACATTTTAACATCTAATCAACAAACTCAAACAAAATATCAAACGTCAAAATGATGAAAATAAGGCGGCTGAGGTTTACATGGTTGCCAGATGTATTTTTAAATCATCATTAACAAAACTTGCATTTTCGGGACACCCCGTATAAAAGACGTTCTTATTACCATAAAGATGGTACAATTTTATTAATTCAACCAATTGCAACTGCACATTTTTATTTTATTGAAAAGACTTGGATCTATCAAATGTAATATAAAATAATTATTTAAGTGTACCAAAGCCATGTATTTTTTAGTTTTTCTTTGATAATATTGTGATTGTATACATACGTAAAGTATAAACTTGTACATACAAATATAGATTTTAATTTATTTAGTAATAAATAACGCTTGAATATTTTCTCTACTTGCGAATGTACAGGGTGGCTTAAATTTATGATTTTGCGCCACACTGTAGAGAGTGATGAAATATTTTGTTGATTTTCGTGTCGGAAGCCATATCAAAGTAATTATTATACCTGGTTTTGATTAATTAATTAATTAATTAATTGTACTTTTATGGCTATCAATTATAGTGCAATTATTAATTATGATTTGCACGTTTTGTATGAAGTATTATTATTATGATAATTATTGTAAAATAAATATTTTCGTTTACTTTTTAAGATTTATAGCAAATACATTTTTTCTACCAATGTTTGTTTTATTTTGACGTCAAAGTTTTAAGGTTAAAAAAAAAATTAAAAAAGTAAGAAATATATTTTAAGTATAAAGAACATTTTAACATCTAATCAACAAATTCAAAGTAATTGGGATATATTATATCCAAAGGCACTTCTTTTTTCAACAAACTAAACTCATTAAGACTTTTTGGAACCACACCTTTTTCTATTAATTCAAATGAAGGGTACATGTATAAATATTTAACTTTTGCCTTGTATTTTCCAAACCGAATACGATTTTTAATGTTTTCGTCCTCCTTGCCTATAATTTTTGCTACCTTATCTTTTATAAGAATGTCATTTACGTAGTCGCAATGATGGTGACACAATTCTCTTATTGCAACATGTAATATGCTATTTTCCCTATCAATAAGGCAAATTTTTGCAAATAAGCTCTTTTTTCCTATCAAATTCCAAAAATAGCCTAAATCGTCTATGGTCCACATTTGACCAGTACCTAAAAAAATAGGAACATTTCTCAGAAAATTTTATTCTTGATAAAAGTTTTGGCTTTACTTCAAACCCACATAAAATATTTTTTTTCTTCTGTTGGCCTTCAGCATTAAGCAAAAATCCATGATATTTCAAAAAAATGTTAAAAGCACAAAAAATACTTACTATAAGGGCAAATATTCGCCAACATAGCCCTCAGGGCGAACCTAGGCACACTGCAAACGTGTTCATGTATATAATAAACATCCTCAATCGATATTGTCATAATTATTCCATAATCAACATAAAAAACTCTTATTTTATTACTACTCATCAACATGTTTTCTTGTACCACACACCGGTAAAAAAAATTGTTTGTTTTTACCAGACACGCTTTCCCAGCCTCAATTTGACTGGCAGGAATTCTACTAAGATTTCTTGGATCATCGTAAAATAACCGCCAATGTTCTTGAAAGTAACCTAACTCTTTGTTTTTTATGACCACCCAAAACTTGCTTAAATCGTATACATACTCTATTTTGCACTCATAGTAGTCACCTTCTTTAATACTCTCATACAAATGCGGTTTAAATTGGTCATGGTTATCGAACACTATTTTTTCCTTTATATCATTGAAAACATGTTTTTTTAACTTAACACTTTCAGATCTTATTGTTATTATATCGCTTAAACTATTAAACAAATTTAACAAATTATTGCACTTAAACATCGTAGGGTCCAAAGTTTTGCCATATTTTTCTTCATATTCCTCGACAAAATCATGAAATTTTAACCCCTTTGGATGCAATTTTAATAAATACTTTATTTGGTTTTTAACTAAGTCTAAATTCTCTTCTTCAACCATTTCAGTGGTAATTTTATCGTCAGTCATTCTAATTATTAGTTTTAAATACCACAGAATTTAAGGTTTTTTATTTTGATAACAAACTCACGCAGTGTTGCCTTATTTTCACATTTTTACAGTTATCCTCCCTCAAAATTGATACCACTGAAACATAGGCACCTCAAAAACCCTCATTGTTCAATATACATTACATAAACATCAATATAAATACCGATTTTATATCTAAATACAAAAATAAGTCTGAAATTGCGCACGACTTGGCAACGTTGCAGACTAGGTTGGCCACTGCAAGGAAATAAAAATTCGTTTTTTAAAGTAGCCGCCGCAGCAGTGCACACGCGCATTACGCGATAAATAAAATCCCCCAACTTTTTAGGGTATTCTTTGTCACCAGAAATCGATGTTGGTAGACGCGCTATGCATTGTGGGTAATGGCGTACGTCTATTGAAGTTTATTTGGGAGCTCTTTAAATTTGATTATGCCGCGATCTAAGAAACTTGTAAGTTGATTATTTTTAGTGCAAATTGTAGCGTGTATGGTGGTTTATGTTAATTAAGGGTTTATGCGGTGCGTAGAGTTGTAATGCATGCGACGGAAGAGTTTTAAAAATGGTAATGTCATTTTTTCTATGTTGCATTTATTTTGGATTTGAACGTGTTTATTTTTGCCTGTTTTACCTTAAATATGCTTTAATTTAGCGCAAATATACGGTATGTAATCAGTATTGGTGGTGTTTTATGGAGTAAGTAGTCTCATTGGGCGTTATTTGGTTTTTTAAGGGGGATATAGCTTATTAAAAATTTATAACCAAAAAAACAAAAAAAAACATTGGTAGAGGACTGTTCAGTCTGTTTAAGTATTGATAGGCTTGGATTTGTGGTTTATTATTTAGTTTTTGTTATGTTAACGCCCCGTAGAGGCCATATTTGCTTTGAAAACAAAAAATTACTTATCATGTAGGTAGGAAAAATCAAATAATTTCCAGAAATAAAGTTTATTGGTTTTTGTCAAACAAAGAAAACCCGTCCACGTTTTTGGAAATTTTTTAATCTAAATTTGTTACGTGTTTTTAACTTAAAAAATATAGCGTATTATATAAATTTAAACAAATATAACCCTACTTTTAGAGTTAAAAAAATGTGACAGTTTGCCAACACAAAATGCAAAATTTCTTTTTAAAACTCGGTAATATATGTCTAAAGAATGTCAATTTAAGCCTAACAAAACTGTCTTAAGAATGTCAACTTAAGTTAAGTTAACTGACTTAACTTAATGTCAATTTAAGCTGTGTTAACATAACTAAAACCTATTTTTTCAGCTTTTAAATTTTGATAGTTTTTGGACATGTAGGACTAAATTTTGACAGTTTTTGGACAAATAATTTATTTTAAAAGCCTCATTGAAATGGCATGCAAAAATTTCATAAACACTTTTAGAATTATTAGCTGTTGTAGATGGCTGACATATAATGCTTTTCGATGTTCCTTACAGTTATAATAAAGGTCGTACACAAAAAGTTGTTTTTGACAGTCTAAAAAAATCATGGATGATGATGGTGATAACATGTCGGACAGCGATTTCGGGGAGGATGAGGATCCAGATAAGATCGAAGTCCCAGGTACAACAAAAAGTGAATTGTGTGAAAAAAAATTTTGATTTAATTTTTTCAAGGGGGCGGTAAGGATTTGGCGGCTGCCGCCACAATTTTGGAGAGCAAAATAAAGCAGGAAAATAACATTAAAAAAGAGCAAAAAATGCCGATGGGGATGCACTTTGGCGGGAAAATGATGCAAGGCCCCCTCCCCACTGCTTTCGATATGATGAGAAACCCAAATAGTGAGTACATTTTGTTTTATTTTTTAGTGTAAAAAAATGCGCGGGAAATTCTTCATTGGCCACGTTTTTACTGTATTTTTATCACTTGTAGTAGTGATAAGAGTTATATTTTGTCAGTATTGCCAATACAAAGAAAATAATATTTGAGTGTTTTTATATTGAATTCTTGGCATATTTTAATGGTGATATTTTTATTTTGCAATAATTTCGTTTAGATAAGAATTATTCATAGAAATACTACAAATTTATTTCCTGAAATCTATTAAGCTGATAAGATTATCACATAAATAAAATAAAAAAATATGATAAACATTTTAATTTATTTTTGGATGAATTAAAAAACATTGAAACCTAAAAAAATAGTATTAAAACACACATTTTTTTTTAACTTTGATTATTAATTAATAATATCATTATTATACAGGGTATCGCAAAAAATGGCACTATACTTAACTCCAATTATTTTTTTTATTTTATTATTATTTTTATGTGTTATTTTATATGTTATTTTCAATTAGATAAAAAATATCACATAAGAACTTTTATTCTGCAAATTAATAATATTAGCAGATATTTTAAAATTGTGCCGCCATCTAGCGACAGAAATAGTTTGGAATACCAGGGGTGTCCAAACTTTCAATTAAAAATATCTCCTATGATATTTTTAATTTAGCCAATTAAAAATATGTGTTCAACAAAAAAATACAAATATAAGAAGGAAATATTTTAAATTTATTAAATTAAAAATATCATTTTGGCATTAAAATTAAATCTAATTTTTAACTAAGAGAATTAAAAATATGTGTTTAACAAAAAAATACAAATACTTACATTTTAAATTTACTAAATTAAAAATATCAGTTTCTAATCTAATTTTTAAATATCTATGATATTTTCAATTCGCAGATTAAACATGTTTATGTGATATTTTTTATTTATACATATATGTATTTTAAAAATTAGATCTAATTTTTATGCCAAACCGATATTTTTAATTTAGTGAATTTAAAATATCTGCTTCTCATATTTGTATTTTTTAAATGTCATTTTTTATGCTTTTTAATAAATAAATATTATTTTATGTTTTATCGCGTTGTACGCCATTTTTTGTACACCCTGTATATTATCCAATGGACTGGGCCAAAAAAATCGACTATTTTTTTGAAAAGTATTTCGAAAATATGGTTTGGGGTGACAAAAAAAATTATTGTGAAAGTTTGAGTCCATAATATTAATATTAAGAGGTCTATCATCGCAATTTTAAATGTTTTTTCCTGATCGATTTTTTGTCTTACAACTCCCAAACCATTGAGTTTAACAAAATTGATTCAGAGATATTTTTTTAAGGAAATTGAATGCTCTACAAAAAAGGTTAAAATGAAATGCCTTAAAAATTGGTATAGTTTTACATTTTGATCTTTTTACTTTTGAATTTTGTAATTCATGTAAAAATCAGTACCTACACGGAAAAAACCGATGAATATTCTTATGGGAAATCAAATGCTATACAAAAAAAGTCTCTTAACATTTTTGGCTAAATTCACTCAATCAAAAGTTATTCAAGGTTAAAGTCAAAACGAAATTCTTGTTTTTTTCCTTTACGGACGATAATTTGATTTTTTTCTTTTTAAATGTGTATTATATAACTAATTAACAATTTCCAATAAAAAACAACATGAGTGTTATTATTTAAACGATTAAACAGTGAAAATAATATTTTCTAAAGAAAAAATAGCTTCTAAAGCGAAAAAATTCTTTTAACTTACCCAAAAAAAAATCTATAGCGGAAAAAACAAGAATTTCGTTTTAACCTTGAATAACTTTTGATGGAGTGAATTTAGCCAAAAATGTTAGGAGACTTTTTTTGTAGAGCATTTGATTTCTTATAAGAATATCTATCGGTTTTGTCTGGGTACTGATTTTTACATGAATTACAAAATTCCTAAGTTAAAATATCAAATTGTAAAACTATGCAAATTTTTAAGGCATGATTGTAAGAAAACGGTTCATCTGACGGGAAATTCCAATCAAACCTTTTTTCTAGAGCACTCAATTTTCTTCAAAAAATATTCTTAAGTCAATTTTTTTAAACTCAATGGTTTGGGAGTTCTAAAACAAAAACTTGCTGAGGAAAAAAATTTTTAAATTGCGATAATAGACCTCTTAATATTAATATTATGGACTCAAACTTTCACCATAATTTCGATTAAGAAATACCTTGTTATGGCCTAGGCCGATAAAAAATTTTATGAGGCAAGTAATTAGTTCGATTTTTTCTCGCTAGGGGTATTGTTTTGACAAATTAATCCTTTTCTAAGAAATTAACGCACTAAACTGGTTTAATTTATTTATAATAAGCTCTAATTTGTTTGTTTTACTGTTAATGTTTAATATTTTTCATTAAATTATTGTAAAATTAAATATGAATAATAAAACAAAAAGTGAGGTTAGGCAACCAAGAAAACGCACGATTCTTTTTCTACGATTTAAATTATCTTTAGTTTTCAGTGAAATTAAATGTTAAACACAGCTTAAACATTTCGAACTACCTATTTTTTAAATAAAAATCCAAACAAATTGAAATTAGATACCTACCTATTTATTAAACAATTAATTGAATTCAATGTAATAGCAAAAATCCATTTCCACTTAAATCATGTTGCTAGGTATTGTCAAACTATTACTGCTTCTAAAAGCAATAATAATTATTGTACATTTAATGTAATCTTTAGCTAATGAATAAATGAGATTCTAAAAAAGTGAGGTTAGGCCGCTTTGATGTTGAATTAAATTGACCTATATAAAGTGCTTTGAATATAAAATGTTGTATGCCATTCTTGTTAACCTAATGACATAAATAACTATTTGTCACCCAAACAATATTTTCGATGTAGGTACTTTACAAAAAAAAATCGATTTTTTTGGCCCAGTCTATTATCCACACTTAAAACTAAGAAAGCTTAATAGACCAGTGCAGAAGCCTTTAAAAATGGTAAAAAGAGAAAAAAAATGTCAGTAGGATGAAACCCATTGGAAAAGGAGGGAAATATAATAAAAATTAAAGGAAAAATAAATTACGGGCGATCTGAGTTCGGGAAGTGGGAGGGGGGGGGGGGTTTAAGGGTAATTAATGGTTTATCTCGATTTCCGGCAAAACTACAAGTCCTATGGAAAAAAGTTAAATGTCAAAGTTGTAGGTACTGTCTGTCCACTCTAAGTTGGCTGAACTAAGGAATTTTGTTGTTTAGATATTAAAGAATTGTCGTACTGTGTGCTTTTAAAACAGATTTTATATTATAAATAATACTAGTATATAATATGTACTAGTATTATTTATAATATAAAATCTGTTTTAAAAGCACACAGTACGACAATTCTTTAATATCTAAACTACAAAATTCCTTAGTTCCGCCAACTTAGAGTGGACAGACAGTAATAAAAAGATCTACAACTTTTGTATTTACAATTTTTTCACATAACCTCAAAATTTATGTGAAAAATACAAAAAACCAAGTTTTTGGTTTTTTATTTTTATCTTCTTCAAAAAAAAATTTTTTTCCACGAAATTTGGTGAAAACTTACCTTTTTATGTCCCAAATACACTGTAATTTATTTGATTTGAAATATTTATTATTTCGCCTTATTTTGACTTAATATCAAAAAAGCACCCTAATTTTCAATCGAAAATTCTCGCGTCAAAATATCAGCTTTTTTCAAAAAGTCGGTGAGCTTTTTGTTCGATGAACTCTCTACTTTCTGATGGTGTAAAAAAAATATAAATTACTATGGTAAATGTTCTCAGAAAATACAAAAAATATTATAATGAATAACGTAATCAGAATGAAGTATCTAAATTCAATGATTTACATTTATTTTTATATTTTGAGATTTTCTGACATAAATGTTATTAAAATTTAATAAATAAACTTTTTAACTAAAAAAAATTGCAACAATCACATTTTTTTGATGAAATTGTACATAATGATTAAAATAAATTTTCGAATTCGAGTTTTTTTCGTTATTCATTATAATATTTTTTGCATTTTCTGAGGACATTTACCATAGTTAATGTATATTTTTTTTACACCATCAGAAAGTAGAGATTTCAACAAACAAAAAGCACAACGACTTTTTGAAAAAAGCTGATATTTTGACGCGAGAATTTTCGATTGAAAATTAGGGTGCTTTTTTGATATTAAGTCAAAATAAGGCGAAATAATAAATATTTCAAATCAAATAAATTACAGTGTATTTGGGACATAAAAAGGTAAGTTTTCACCAAATTTCGTGGAATTTTTTTTTTTTTTTTTAAGATAAAAATAAAAAACCAAAAACTTGGTTTTTTGAATTTTTCACATAAATTTTGAGGTTATGTAAAAAAATTGTAAATACAAAAGTTGTAGATCCTTTTATTACCTACAACTTTGCCATTTAACTTTTTTCCATAGGACTTGTAGTTTTGCCGGAAATCGAGATAAACCATTTTTTTACCCTTAAACCCCTCCCCCTCCCACTTCCCGAAGTCAGATCGCCCGTAATTTATTTTTCCTTTCATTTTTATTATATTCTTCTCCTTTTTCAATGGGTTTCATCCTACTGTTATTTTTTTTGGTTTCAAAAATTATCGACCCTGGTCTATAATGTTATTTGTTTGTAACCCCTAACCTAAAAAAATTAACCACGCGTGTGTTTCTTTTTCGCGCTCCCGCGTTCAGTGGCGGCTTTCGGCGGCAACAGCGCAATGGGGGGCGGCGGAGGGGGCGGGGGCATGGGCAGCGTTGCCGCTATGGCTTCGATGCTTAGCAGCCTGGGCGGACCGCTGAACATGGGCGCCATGTTCCAGGGCCCCCACGGGGGCGGCCAAGGGGGCCAAGGGGGCGGTTTCAACGCCGCGCAATTCTTGCAGCAGAGTAAGTCGAGCAAGTTTGGCGGTAATAAGCACTGTGAGTGTCGATGTGGCTTTTTTTTTATTTATTTATTAAGCTTGTGGATAAAATTATCGAATCGAATCTCAATCGAATTTCAATCGCAAATAACTTTTGTATTTGATGTCGGATTTGAACGAATATTAAAGAATATTGTAGATAAATTAATGGACAATCGCTCACATTTTTAAAAAATACTAAAAAATAGACGTACGTTTATAATATACAGGTTTAAACAAAAAGATGTTTTTTACCATAAGTTTAAGACACTCTGTAGAGTGGCAAAACCGTATATTGTTCTAAATTAAGTTTTATTTATCAAGTCACATCTATTCCTAACAGTTTTGTTTTTGATTCACCTCGATATATTTATTTTTGTGAAAAATATGGATTTTTTAAAAAAACATTGCAATTTCCAATATTTTTCTGTATGAAGAACTAAGGTTGCTATGGTCCATCCATATGCTATGGAAGATGACAGTGACAGTTTTGTTGAATCATCCCATACTTGGACATGTCATACACGGCTTTCAAAAGCTATCAAATTGTTTTTTTCAAATTAATGTTTACATTTGGGGTGTCTTCTTACTTTAAAAAATGGATATGTCTCCGACTGATGTTGCCAGAGCCATTAATTTAATCCAGGATGGACGGTCACAGTATTACGTGGCAAGTGTTTTAAACGTCACAAGAAGTAAAGTACAAAGGGCAACATCAGTCGGAGACATTTTTAAAAGTAAGAAGACACCTCAAAATTAACACATTATTTAAAAAAAACAATTTATAGCTTTTGAAAGCTGTATATGATATATGATATATGTCCAAGTATTGGATGATTCAACAAAACTGTCACTGTCATCCTCCTTAGGCTATGGATGGACCATAGCAACCTTAGTTCTTCATACAGGAAAAATATTTGAAATTGCAATGTTTTTTTAAAAAAATCCATATTTTCCACAAAAATAAATATATCAAGGTGAACCAAAAACAAAAATGTTAAAAATAGATGTAACTTAATAATTAAAACTTAATTTAGAACAATATACGATTTTGCCACTCTACAGAGTGTCTTAAACTTATGGTAAAAAATATATTTTTGTTTAAACCTGTGTATTATAAACGTACGTGTATTTTTTAGTAATTTTTAAAATGTGAGCGATTCTCTATTAATGCATCTACTGTCCGTCCACTCTAAGTTGGCGGAACTAAGGAATTTTGTAGTTTAGATATTAAAGAATTGTCGTACTGTGTGCTTTTAAAACAGATTTTATATTATAAATAATACTAGTACATATTATATACTAGTATTATTTATAATATAAAATCTGTTTTAAAAGCACACAGTACGACAATTCTTTAATATCTAAACAACAAAATTCCTTAGTTCAGCCAACTTAGAGTGGACAGACAGTACAATATTCTTTAATATTTGTTTAAATCCGAAAACAAATAAAAAAATTATTTGAATTATTGAAATTCATCGAAAATTTGTGTGGATCGATTATTTTGCCTGTGAGTGTATATAAAAAAAATTCGATAATTTTTCCATGAGTGTATACTTTAATATTTTTAATCAATGGATTTGCGGTAAATTAACAAATTCTAAGTAAAGTAGAAGTGCATGCCAACTCACTATGATTTATTTTTATCTTCTATCTTCCAATCTAATATGATTTTTTTTCAAACCTGGTCTTGGTTTTTACTGAATTTTTATTTCGACATAATCTATGAATTTTCCATTAAAAAACGATATCGCGAAATCTACTTCTAAAATTTTAAATATTATTTTGTATCAAGAAACCTGTGACGGGTGACTTGGGGAGCACGGTACATGTAAAATGTATTTTAAAACATTTTACATAATCGAGGAGAAAATATTTTATCTTTGACATTCCAACCTCCAATTTAGAATAACAGCGACATCTGTCGAGAGAAGCTCAAAAAAACGTTTATAAGTCACGTCTGTGATAGTACAAGGTGTCTCTAAAAAGCCTGTACAACATAATACATAATACACATATTCCTTAAACCAAAACATTGCGATATAACTAGATTTACCCTGCATCTTGGTTATTTTAAAGTTTTGTAATATAGACTTGAAAATTAAAATTATCTAATTTTTAGGATACTCGTTGATATTATAATATGTAAAATATTTGGTCGACTGGAGTCCACTTCATCGTGACACTGCTGTCAATTTTTGTTCGTGTCATTATTTATCATTTTAAGTTGTGTTTTCCTCCTCTGATTATTCCGAAATGATGATTATCGCTTTCCCGATCGCCAGGGGACTGTTCTGCGTCGTAACGAAATTGAAGGTGATCCTTTGATGCAAATAGTAGGAAGAGCATGAGGGAAGTTCCCTTACAGAACTGGTTGTTTAATTTATATTTATATTCGGTCTAAAGAATATGTGGTATCATTTTTTGTACAGGATTTCAGGAACACTTTGTATAGCGTTTTAGTGCATGTTGTATTTTTTCCACTAAATTTGTGCAAACAAATAAATAATTATTATTTTGACACATTTTTTATTTTCTTTTTTAGTAGGTATTAACACAAAACACATTTCAAGCATGTTTGCTATACATTGAAGTAGTTCATTATTAAATCACAATGAGAGTGTAAATGCCTAAAAAATAAACAATCAATAGAGTATTTTAAACATACAACTTATGGCGTTTATATTCTTTTTTAATTTAATTTTCTTCAATCATTCCAAATTGTTTGTTTTTTGCCTATCAGTGGAAATGGCAGCGTACGGCATGAACCAGCCCTTCAACCCCTTTTTACAGAACCTATTTTACCAAAACATGCAGGGTGGCGCCCCCTGGGGGGGCCAACTCAGCAGCAAAGCCGTTCAGTCGATGTGGATGAATCAAGTCGACAATAAACCCATGCAGCATCAAGAAGAAGAAGAGGTAAAGTAATTTTTATCAAATCGCAAGTTTTTTAGAAAATGGTGTTACACGCTAAAGTTCTCAGGTTAAACTTTAAACATTCAATTGGTGTAATTAAATCCCACAACTGGGCCCATAACCTAAAATTTGAAAGAAATGCACTAGATTCTGTCATAAGTTGCCAGATTTTGTTTGAATTTACCTTCATTACAAAAATGACACAATCAACTATTTCTAAAAACGCCAAATTAAGCTATGATTCTTTAGCGTATCAAATATTTTACATCTGGAAACTTGGAAACAGTAATTAATAAACTCTTTTTTATTAAAAAAAAAAAAAAAAAGGTTGACGACGAAGAGATGGGCGTAGCAGAAACTTATGCGGACTACATGCCGTCGAAATTAAAACTAGGTAAAAAACACCCTGATCCAGTGGTGGAGACGGCCTCTCTGTCATCAGTGGCGCCCGCCGATGTTTGGTACAAACTTTCCATACCCGACGAGACGATCAGGGCGGGTCATTTGTCGGCTCTGCAGCTTGAAAGTATAACCTACGCCTCTCAGGCGCATGAGCACATACTGCCTGGCGGGAGTAGGGCTGGATTTTTAATAGGCAAGTAAAAAAACTAAAAAAAAAAAAAATGTGGGGTTGAGAGTTTGTCGATACGTATGATACGTACTTTTAAAAACACTACAGGCGTGTCAAGACTTACGATTGAAGTATAGGCGCAAAATAAAGATACGAACGTAATCAATAAACTTCTCAAAATTGTCGCAATAAACATTTTTGCGTTTATAGTGGTTGCCGTAAATATTACTTCATGCAAATTATACAGAAATATTTATATCACCACTATATACCCCTTAAAGTGCTTATTTGAGGAGTTTATAAAGGTTATCTTTAACTGTGTTTAGTAACACTATAAAAACCAAGTTTTATTTCTAACGGTAACAGAAATATTTTGGTAACCACTATATGACTTCTTAAAGAACTCTTTTTTAACGTTGATTTGGTCAATTAAGTTGTTTTTGTAATAAAATTTAATTGACATTTATTTATAACCTAAGGTGTTAATTAAGTTTGATAGTAGTATCTATTTTACTTAAAGCGTTATTAAATACATTGTATCACTGTAATATTTTCTTTCCAACAAATTTTTTATTAAAATTGTAATGTACTAAAACAGGTAACGGTTACTATAAATTATTTAAAATGTTTGTGTAAACAATTATATAACTTAAGGTTACAGTAAACTTATATTACCATTATAAAACTCGTAAATTAAATGGCGGTTTTATAGACTCGATTAAATTCACTTTTAAAATATTTGTTGTTAATTAAATTACTTTGCAATTTTTTCTAAACAAATTTTTTAAATTATAAAAAAGCGTAGCATAGTTAACACTATGCTTATTTTTTTTATTTATCACATAAAAAATTAATGACTTAAAATTTTTATTAAAAAAATTAAAAACAGGTGACAGCAAACTTTATAAAACTGTTTTAAAAAACTTATATAAACCTACTGGTAACGGCATCAATAAATTATATAAAATGTTTGTGGAAACAATTATATAACCTAATTATATAACTAGAGCTTACTGTAACCTTATATTACCATTATAAAACTCGTTATGTTATTAACTACTTAATATTTTCTTAACAACAATTTTTTTAACAAAATTATTGAAAAGCGTTGCTTCAAAAGTAAATTGCATACGGTTTTTTTTATTTAGCAAACTTTATACAACTGTTTTAAAAACTTTTATAAACCTACTGGTAACTTACTTGTGGAAGCAATTGTATAGCCTAATTAAAAAACTAGAGGTTACAGTACTCTTATATTACCATTATAAAACTCGTTATTTTATTAACTACCTACTTAATATTTTTTTCTCAACAATTTTTTTAAAAATTAATAAAAAGTGTTTCTTTGAAACTTAATTACATAAATAAATTTTATTTAGCACAATTGGTAACTTACAATTTTTATTAAAAAAAATCACAACTTAAAGTTTTATTAAACAGGTAACCGCAAACTTTATAAAACTTTTTAAAAAACTTATATAAACCCACTGGTAACGGTTACTATAGATTATATAAAATGTTTGTGGAAACAATTATATAACACAATTATATAACGTTTCAGTATTGCCATTATAAAACTCTTAAACTAAATGGTGCTTTTATAAAACCTTGTTATATTCGTATATACTTTGACTAACCTTATGTAACCTTTATATAACCTATCGTTACCATAATTTTCAAACGATTTAAATACTTTGAAGAAAATAACCTTAAAAAAGTTCATTCGTAAGTCTTGACACGTCTGTTACAGCATTTTCAACTAAAAATTTAATTTTTAAACGGTTTGGTTGTTTCTATAATAGAAGTGCCTTCACACTGATTTTTATCATGTCTAAGGTTTTAAAATTTCCGGAAAAATTAAGCCGGCAGAAAAAAAACGTGTTTTCTTTTCGAAATATTTTGAAAATTTTCAGAAATTTTTTTCATATTTTAAATTATATTTAAAGGGTAATATGAAAAATGCAAAATGCAATTTTTTTGTAAAAAAGGATTTTTTTTTTAAATTAAAATATGTTATGTTAAGTTGTTCTTTGCTACTTTTTTTTCAAATGTCTATATTTTTCAAAAAAAAAATCAAATTTTTCCAAAAAAGCAAATTTTTCCGAAGCTCTGGGACAAAAACGAAAAAAAAAACAGTTTCATTCCCAAATTTTCCGTTTTTTTTTCGACGCAACTTTTGACATTGACAACGTCGCTTTTTAGGCGACGGCGCGGGCGTGGGTAAAGGCCGCACCATAGCCGGCGTGATTTTCGAGAACTACGTGAAAGGCCGCAAGCGCGCCATCTGGGTGTCGGTGTCGAACGACTTGAAGTACGACGCGGAACGCGACTTGCGCGACATAGGCGCCGGAAAAATCGACGTGCACCCGCTCAACAAGTTCAAGTACGCGAAAATATCGTCCGCCGTCAACAACAACGTGAAGAAGGGCGTGATTTTCAGCACTTACTCGGCTCTCATTGGTGAGAGCAATTCTGCGGGCGGGAAGTATAAATCGCGGCTTAAGCAGCTCCTGCAGTGGTGCGGGCAGGACTTCGACGGGTTGATCATCTTCGACGAGTGCCATCGCGCCAAGAATCTGTGCCCCGTGGGGTCTTCCAAGCCCACGAAGACCGGTCTGACGGTGCTGGAGCTGCAGAACAAGCTGCCCAAGGCGCGGGTCGTTTACGCCTCCGCCACTGGTGCCTCCGAACCGCGCAACATGGCGTACATGGTGCGTTTGGGGATGTGGGGCGAGGGCACGCCCTTCAACGAGTTCGCCGATTTTATATCGGCGGTGGAGAAGCGAGGCGTCGGCGCCATGGAAATCGTCGCCATGGACATGAAACTCAGAGGTGAGTGCCAATGTTTCGTTTCAGTCGTTTTAAGTCGACTGACTTTGCTGGTCCATAGCACGGCTTATATCTACGGGTTTTAACGAAACCGCGGTGAGATGTACAGTTACGAAAAATACCTGCTGGTATTGAATTAATTATTTTGGGTGTATATTTAACCGTATTTTTATTAACTCGTTCATTTTTTGAAATATTTTTTTATAGTTTTATAAAATTTAAACATTTATTCTGTGAAAAAATTTCCAAAAATTCCCAGAAGCTAAATTTTTTTTGCGACGTTGCCAAATTTTCCAGAATTACCAGAATCTTGGATTTTTTTTATATTTTTATTGGGATTTAGCGATATTGCAAAATTTCTTTATTTTAAAAATGTTGGAAAAATAAAATAAATAAATAAAGTTTTCCAAATTGTTTAAAATTTGCAAATTTTTGAAAATATTTAAAAATTTTAAATCTTTATTTGGATATTTTTTAAAATATTCAAAAACCTTCCAACATTTTTCAATTTTTTGTTTTCTTCCAAGTACTGACTTCAAAGAAGATTCGCCCGTATTTGGCCAGTCGTTGTTTACTAAGCTGAAAAGTTAAAAGGCAGATATGCCGTCGAAATTATATTGTAATTTTTGTTGCCGAATTTACAAAAATTCCCAGAAGCTAAATTTTTCTAGAATTACCAGAATCTTGGATTTTTTATATTTTTATTGGGATTTTGCGATATTGCAAAATTTCTTTATTTTAAAAATGTTGGAAAAATAAAATAAATAAATAAAGTTTTCCAAAATCTTTGAAATTTACAAATTTTTGAAAATATTTTAAAAAATTTAAATCTTTATTTGGATATTTTTTAAAATATTCAAAACCTTCCAACATTTTTCAATTTTTTGTTGTCTTCCAAGTACTGACTTCAAAGAAGATTCGCCCATATTTGGCCAGTCGTTGTTTACTAAGCTGAAAAGTTAAAAGGCAGATATGCCGTCGAAATTATATTGTAATTTTTGTAGCCAAATTTACAAAAATTCCCAGAAGTTAAATTTATTTATTCGACGTTGCTAAATTTTCCAGAATTACCAGAATCTTGGATTTTTTTATATTTTTATTGTGATTTTGCCACAGACCACCAAAACAAATGGACGGATTTGTTTACGTTTAAAAAGCGAGTAAAGCATAGTTTCACATTCTAAACACCGTCGAAAGAAATACGGCTTCCAACGTTGTCAGAAGTATAGATTACACGCCTTTTTGGACGTTCATCATAACATAATGAACATTAATAATTACCAGTAATTCGTTTGAATAATAAAAAAATTGTAAAAAGGATTTCTTCATCATTTTCTTTAGATATTTTTCTCTATTTAAAGAAAGTAAATCATTTAATAATTATTAAAATTAAATATTAACAACGTTGTTAAATTCGTCATATTTGACAGCATATAAAAAGGTTGACAGCTTGTTGTTTTTTGTTTTCGTTTGTGTATTTCTATTGTGTTTAAGTTAATTATGGAGTTTAAATACATTATTTTTTACAAAAAATACCAATACATGGAAATATCGTTTGTAAGTACCTACCTACTTATTATTTTTTTAATCCCAATACGTCTCTGGAAAAAACATAAAATTCTATCTCCAATTTGACGCTTAGACTGTGACCGTTTGTTGACCGCAAACAAAGCATTGTTATTGAATGGCAATGCGCCGTCCATTTGTTTTGGTAGTCTGTGGATTTTGCGATATTGCAAAATTTCTTTATTTTCCAGAACACCTTAGCCATAACATATATTTTTTTTTCAAGGAATGTACATAGCGAGACAGCTATCTTTTCACGGGGTGGCTTTTAAAATAGAGGAGGTACCGTTATCGAAGGACTTCGAAAAAGTGTACGATTTGAGTGTCAAGTTGTGGGTGGAGGCGATGCAAAAGTTCCACGAAGCTGCCGAACTGGTTGATGCGGAAAACCGCATGAGAAAAACCATGTGGGGGCAGTTTTGGTCTTCGCATCAAAGGTTAGTGGAGTTTTATTTAGAGCGCCATCTGGCGGTTGTATCGACTTTTTTTTACAAGAAGCACAAGGCAATATCTGTTTGTCGGTGGAATTACAAAAAAAACTCTCGAACACTTTTTTCCCACTAGGTTCTTCAAGTACCTCTGCATAGCTGCCAAAGTTCCTCACGCGGTCGCAGTGGCGCACGAGGCTATTAAAATGGGTAAATGCGTTGTTATCGGTTTACAAAGTACCGGCGAGGCCAGAACTTTGGAGCAACTGGAGCGCGACGACGGGGAACTGACTGATTTCGTTTCGACTGCTAAAGGTAAGTGAACCGTTTCAGCGCAATTTTGTTTGTGCAGACAATAAACCAATACTTGTTTTATTGTCGCACCTCAAAATTAAAGATACTCGAGGTTTAAGTGGAATTTACTTCCATGGAATGTTGCCATCGATTTTCCGTAAACATTGTTTACATCGTAGTCTGTTTCTTCCTAATTTTTGCTGCAACCTGGTTGAGAATTGGAATAGTTTTGTTCAGGAATTGTTGGCAGTGTTTTTATTGCACAATCGTTCTTATTGGATATGGATTCTTCATTGTACTGCTATATTTCCTCCCACCATGGCTTTTAAGGCGTCTGCCCCTCCATCTACAAAAAGTGCTGCAGATATTCTTCTTAAGCAATGTACTCTAAATTCCAATTTGGAAATTTCAAAAATTCAGCCGAATCTTCAGGCACACGACCTGTTCTATGGATTCCCATGATATGTGACCACATTGCCGAAGATTTCATTTTTCTGACGGTTGTGAGTTTCAAGAAATACATTTTTTTAAAGCTGTTGACGACTTAGTTTGGCATTAAATTTTGGCAGGGGAAGTACTAATCATAAAATCTTCGTCTGACATATTAATTATACTGCAAGAAGTAAGTTTAAGAAAAAAATCAATAAATCCCTAAGAAAATACTTGCAGATCAAAAAAAAAAATTACTTTTTTAGGGGTGTTTCAAACTCTGGTGGAGAAACACTTTCCCGCGCCCGACAGAAGTCGCATACAGCGACTTTTAGGTCTCGAACCTCTGGGCGGTGGCGTGGGCGGTCACAAGAAGGCCGCCAACGGCGGCGGCGGTCACGACGACGGCCAATCGGGTAGCAACAAGCGCAAACCTGTCAGACAGGCGGCCGCCAAGGCCAATAAGCGCAACAAGTGGTCAACTTCCGACAGCGATAACGACAGCGCCAAAAGTTCCGATTCCGAGTTCATGGTCAGCGGGCCCGAGAGCGAGATATCAGGTAGGATATTTGAATAAGTTATTACGTTTTTTCAATAATTTTACCATAAACTTCCAAAGCAGTTAATTTTTGGTAAGACTATGGGTAAAAATACGGTTGTTACGATTTAAATCGCATAATTTAAATCGCGATTTAAATCGATTGATTTTTTTATTTAAATCATGGTTTAAATCATAAATTAAACAAATAAATTTATTTGGTAGAGAACAGATGAAATACTACACCTTTGTAATAAAATCTCTTACACAATTTAGGAAGTAAACGAAAAGGTTGTTGTGCATTTTTGGAAAATTCTGCGAATCTGACGAATCGATTTCTTTTCCTTTTTGACTATAATATCCCTGGAGTATCAATTTAAATAATTTGACTATAAACTTCTAAAGCAGTTAATTTTTGGCAAGACTATGGGTAAAAACACGGTTGTTACGATTTAAATCGCATAATTTAAATCGCGATTTAAATCGATTGATTTTTTTGTTTAAATCATGGTTTAAATCATAAATTAAACAAATAAATTTATTTGGTAGAGAACAGATGAAATACTACACCTTTGTAATAAAATCTCTTACACAATTTAGGAAGTAAACAAAAAGATTGTTGTACATTTTTGAAAAATTCTGCGAATCTGTCAAATCGATTTCTTTTCCTTTTTGACTATAATATACCTGGAGTATCAATTTAAATAATTTTACCATAAACTTCTAAAGAAGTTAATTTTTGCTAAGACTATGGGTAAAAACACGGTTGTTACGATTTAAATCGCATAATTTAAATCGCGATTTAAATCGATTGATTTTTTTTGTTTAAATCATGGTTTAAATCATAAATTAAACAAATAAATTTATTTGGTAGAGAACAGATGAAATACTACACCTTTGTAATAAAATCTCTTACACAATTTAGGAAGTAAACAAAAAGATTGTTGTGCATTTTTGGAAAATTCTGCGAATCTGTCAAATCGACTTCTTTTCCTTTTTGACTATAATATACCTGGAGCATCAATTTAAATAATTTTACTATAAACTTCTAAAGCAGTTAATTTTTGGTAAGACTATGGGTAAAACACGGTTGTTACGATTTAAATCGCGATTTAAATCGATTGATTTGTTTGTTTAAATCATGATTTAAATCATAAATTAAACAAATAAATTTATTTGGTAGAGAAAATATGAAATACTACACCTTTGTAATAAAATCTCTTACACAATTTAGGAAGTAAACAAAAAGATTGTTGTGCATTTTTGGAAAATTCTGCGAATCTGTCAAATCGACTTCTTTTCCTTTTTGACTATAATATACCTGGAGTATCAATTTAAATAATTTTACTATAAACTTCTAAAGCAGTTAATTTTTGGTAAAACTATGGGAAAAAACACGGTTGTTACGATTTAAATCGCGATTTAAATCGATTAATTTTTTGTTTAAATCATGGTTTAAATCATAAATTAAACAAATAAATTTATTTGGTAGAGAACGTATGAAATACTACACCTTTGTAATAAAATCTCTTACACAATTTAGGAAGTAAACGAAAAGGTTGTTGTGCATTTTTGGAAAATTCTGCGAATCTGTCAAATCGATTTCTTTTGCTTTTTGACTATAATATCCCTGGAGTATCAATTTAAATAATTTTACCATAAACTTCTAAAGAAGTTAATTTTTGCTAAGACTATGGGTAAAAACACGGTTGTTACGATTTAAATCGCATAATTTAAATCGCGATTTAAATCGATTGATTTTTTTGTTTAAATCATGGTTTAAATCATAAATTAAACAAATAAATTTATTTGGTAGAGAACAGATGAAATACTACACCTTTGTAATAAAATCTCTTACACAATTTAGGAAGTAAACAAAAAGATTGTTGTACATTTTTGAAAAATTCTGCGAATCTGTCAAATCGATTTCTTTTGCTTTTTGACTATAATATCCCTGGAGTATCAATTTAAATAATTTTACCATAAACTTCTAAAGAAGTTAATTTTTGCTAAGACTATGGGTAAAAACACGGTTGTTACGATTTAAATCGCATAATTTAAATCGCGATTTAAATCGATTGATTTTTTTGTTTAAATCATGGTTTAAATCATAAATTAAACAAATAAATTTATTTGGTAGAGAACGTATGAAATACTACACCTTTGTAATAAAATCTCTTACACAATTTAGGAAGTAAACGAAAAGGTTGTTGTACATTTTTGAAAAATTCTGCGAATCTGTCAAATCGATTTCTTTTCCTTTTTGACTATAATATACCTGGAGTATCAATTTAAATAATTTTACCATAAACTTCTAAAGAAGTTAATTTTTGCTAAGACTATGGGTAAAAACACGGTTGTTACGATTTAAATCGCATAATTTAAATCGCGATTTAAATCGATTGATTTTTTTGTTTAAATCATGGTTTAAATCATAAATTAAACAAATAAATTTATTTGGTAGAGAACAGATGAAATACTACACCTTTGTAATAAAATCTCTTACACAATTTAGGAAGTAAACAAAAAGATTGTTGTGCATTTTTGGAAAATTCTGCGAATCTGACGAATCGATTTCTTTTCCTTTTTGACTATAATATCCCTGGAGTATCAATTTAAATAATTTTACTATAAACTTCTAAAGAAGTTAATTTTTGCTAAGACTATGGGTAAAAACACGGTTGTTACGATTTAAATCGCATAATTTAAATCGCGGTTTAAATCGATTGATTTTTTTGTTTAAATCATGGTTTAAATCATAAATTAAACAAATAAATTTATTTGGTAGAGAACAGATGAAATACTACACCTTTGTAATAAAATCTCTTACACAATTTAGGAAGTAAACAAAAAGATTGTTGTACATTTTTGAAAAATTCTGCGAATCTGTCAAATCGATTTCTTTTGCTTTTTGACTATAATATACCTGGAGTATCAATTTAAATAATTTTACCATAAACTTTTAAAGAAGTTAATTTTTGCTAAGACTATGGGTAAAAACACGGTTGTTACGATTTAAATCGCATAATTTAAATCGCGATTTAAATCGATTGATTTTTTTATTTAAATCATGGTTTAAATCATAAATTAAACAAATAAATTTATTTGGTAGAGAACAGATGAAATACTACACCTTTGTAATAAAATCTCTTACACAATTTAGGAAGTAAACGAAAAGGTTGTTGTGCATTTTTGGAAAATTCTGCGAATCTGTCAAATCGATTTCTTTTCCTTTTTGACTAGAATATACCTGGAGTATCAATTTAAATAATTTTACCATAAACTTCTAAAGAAGTTAATTTTTGCTAAGACTATGGGTAAAAACACGGTTGTTACGATTTAAATCGCATAATTTAAATCGCGATTTAAATCGATTGATTTTTTTGTTTAAATCATGGTTTAAATCATAAATTAAACAAATAAATTTATTTGGTAGAGAACGTATGAAATACTACACCTTTGTAATAAAATCTCTTACACAATTTAGGAAGTAAACGAAAAGGTTGTTGTGCATTTTTGGAAAATTCTGCGAATCTGTCAAATCGATTTCTTTTGCTTTTTGACTAGAATATACCTGGAGTATCAATTTAAATAATTTTACTATAAACTTCTAAAGAAGTTAATTTTTGGTAAGGCTGTGGGTAAAAATACGGTTGTTATTATTTAAATCGCGATTTAAATCGATTGATTTTTTTGTTTAAATCATGGTTTAAATAATAAATTAAACAAATTAATTGATTTGGTAGAGAACATATGAAATATTACACCTTTGTAAAAAAATTTCTTACACAATTTAGGAAGTAAACCAAAAGGTTGTTATGCATCTGTCTTCTTTTTGACTATAATATACCTGGAGGATCAATTTAAATAATTTGACCATAAACTTCTAAAGAAGTTAATTTTTGATACACGGTTTTTATGATTTAAATCACGGATTTAATCGCGATTTAAATCGTTGATTTTTTTGTTTAAATCATTGATTCGGTAGAGAAGGCGCATTGAATTAGCGAAACTGATTATTTTAGACGGTAACTCGGACTCGAACGCTTCGAGCGACTTTAACCCGTTCAACTCGGATTCGGATTCGGACAACGATCCGTGGTCGCGCAGCAAGAAGAAGGGCAAGCTAAAAACCAAGAAGGCTAAAAAAAAGAAGCCGACCTCTACGCAGGACAAGCTGTCGCAGCTCATCACGCAGAAGACGATCAAAGCTAAGAGCAACGGGGGCGCCCTGGGCGCCATGGACTACAACAGGGCGGCCGCCCCGCCCAAGGACGCCATCGAGCGGGCGTGCAGCATGAAGGAGGAGCTGCTCGTCAAGATTGAAAGGCTGGGTAAGTGAAATAGAGTTGTGTAGTTCGCGAACGAACTAGTTCGGAAGAGCGCTCTTTTAGATGAACTATGCGAACTAGGTCCCTGCTCTGACCGGTTTTAGTTCGTTCGTTCCTTTTAATTTTTAATTTAAAAACGTTGTTTATTTAATACAAAATTTGTAAGTTAGTTTATAAAAAAATTAGAAATATTTTTATTAGTAGTACTTTTTTATTATCAGAACGCATTAAAAAAAAAACAAAAGTCGCTTGTTTAGATCGTTAGTTCAGTGAACTAAAGAACTAAAAGAGTTCACAGCTCTAAAGCGCTTTACTAAAACGGCTTTAGATCTGCGAACTAACGAACTAAAAGAGCGAACTAGTTCGTTAAAAAGACACGAACTAAAGTGATCGCTGCCAGTCGCGACCTATAATGCCCAAGCCTAAAGTGAAACCGTCGCACTATACGCTAAAGAAGTATCGCTAGTAGCGCCACCACTCGGCTTTTATCATCACTTTTAATAATCAGCTGTCAAAAGCTTATGTTACAAACGAGTGTTTTTGAGAATAAAGCCGGAAAATGTTAAAAAACATCGAAAAAAAAAAACCGTGGCACAATTTGTTGTGTTGTTGGGTGTATTTCGAGAGGAAATCCTGGGTTGAGTTTTTACCGGTTTTCAAATAAACAGTGTTAATCCGAATGAAGAAATAAATTGCATACAGTCTCTGTAAATATAAATTGTACCTATTAGATACAATAAATACACATTTTAGTAGTGATTAACGCGAAAAGTGTAAACATTTCAATTCAGTAAAAATCGTCAAACAAATAAGTCTTCTAAATTTAAACAGCATTTAGCATTATTAAAAGCGTTGATTAAGAAAGTCTCCACTCAACGGTAAAATACCATTATATTATGTATTATATATAATATTATGTTGCCATGAATTAGTAGGTGTATTTTGTTGTTTAAAATGCAGTTGTCGGCGTTTTTTAGAGAACTCAAATATAAAAATGCAAAAATTATTTTTTACCAATTTCCTAAAAATGTCCAACTTAAATATAAATTATATCAGGTAAAGTTATCATTAGTTAATTCTGCACCAACAAATGTACTTACCGAATTGGATCCTTTGGCAAAACATGAAAATGCAACGATTTAGTTCTTGAATTTTATTTACAATTAAAAACGCAATAATTCACCATGATCCCTCAGATAAAATACACACACTAACGTAACTGTATAAGCATTTAAGCGTTGAGTTTCTTAATCAATGATATAAAGAATAATCAATCGAAATCGAGTACTAAATCAGTTTTTTAGTTTTTTCCTTGCAACGTAATACACAAATAACGTGCGCGATTTAGCTGTGCAATTGAACAAAATTTGTCGAGTAAGACTCTCTTTTGTGAAAAAACTACCTATTTATTTAAAAATGATGTACAGTTCGTATGCTTTAAATGTATTGTTGACAATTCTTAAATTCACGCAATGCTTTTGAAGTCCAACAGATGGCGCGCGCGTTGCGAAAACCCGATACTTCTTAGCGTATGGTCAAAAAGCAGAGTTTTGCGGAAAAAATTCAATAACTTTTTTATTACGAATAAATATTAATTTTTTCTCTTTTTAATGCGTTAAATAGGAGTTATTGCGTATAATTAACTATATTTTAATCGAAAATTTAAAAGGTTTTTATTTTTTAAATGCGTTTTTAGATGTTCATAAAGCGTCAATTGCGGAAATAACCCAATAATTTTTTTTTGCAAAAAATATAATTTTTGTTATTTTTTACCTTGTTAAATAAGGCTTATTACGTATAATTAACTTTATTTTAATTAAGAAACATAACAATTTGTATTTTTTAAATGCGTTTTAAATGGTCCTAGAGCATCAATTTGTGAATTATTTCTGCAAAACAGTGCTTAATGATCATCTAAAAAAGCATTTTAAAAATAAAAACCTTTAAAATTTTCGATTAAAATATACACTCACAGGCAAAATAATCGATCCACACAAATTTTCGATGAATTTCAATCGCAAATAACTTTTTTATTTGATGTCGGATTTAAACGAATATTAAAGAATATTGTAAATAAATTAATGGACAATCGCTCACATTTTAAAAAATTACTAAAAAATAGACGTACGTTTATAATATACAGGTTTAAACAAAAAGATGTTTTTACCATAAGTTTAAGACACTCTGTAGAGTGGCAAAACCGTATATTGTTTCAAATTAAGTTTTATTTATCAAGTCACCTCAAAATTTAAACATTAATTTGCAAAAAACAATTTGATATCTTTTGAAAGCTGTATATGACATGTCCAAATATGGGATGATTCAACAAAACTGTCATTCTCCATAGCATATGGATTAACCATAGCAACCTTAGTTCTTCATACAGGAAAAATATTGGAAATTGCAATGTTTTTTAAAAAAATCCATATTTTCCACGAAAATAAATATATCGAGGTGAACCAAAAACAAAACTATTAAGAATAGATGTGACTTGATAAATAAAAGTTAATTTAGAACAATATACGGTTTTGCCACTCTACAGAGTGTCTTAAACTTATTGTAAAAAACATATTTTTGTTTAAACCTGTATATTATAAACGTACGTGTATTTTTTAGTAATATTTTAAAATGTGAGCGATTCTCCATTAATGTATCTACAATATTCTTTAATATTTGTTTAAATCCGACATCAAATAAAAAAGTTATTTGCGATTGAAATTCCTCGAAAATTTGTGTGAATCGATTATTTTGCCTGTGAGTGTAGTTAATTATACGTATTACTTAACTCGTATTTAACACTTTAAAAAACAAAAAAACGAATATTTATTTCTACGCGAAACTTTCAGGCGACAAGTTGCCGCCGAACACGCTGGACCAGCTGATCGACGAGCTGGGCGGGCCGGAGAACGTCGCCGAAATGACGGGTCGCAAAGGTCGCGTCGTATCGACGGAAGACGGCGGTATTCAGTACGAGAGCCGTTCCGAGCAGGACGTTCCCTTGGAAACGCTCAATCTGACGGAGAAGCAGCGATTCATGGACGGGGAGAAGGACGTCGCCATCATATCCGAAGCTGCCTCGAGCGGTAAGAAAAAAAAAATTTTATTTTTTTTTTTTGATTTTTTTTAAGTCAAATCTTTTGGGATTCTTTTGGGTAAAAAATAATTAAAAAATAACAAAATTCTTTGCATTGGATTTTTGGTAAAAAAAATTTAAAAAAATATGTGTTTTTTTTTGCAAAAAAAAAACGATCTAATTTTGACGATATTTTTTTAAAACTTTTTCCTTAATATTTTTTAAGGAAATAAGGTTTTATAAAAATACTGTTTTTATGAAAAAAATCCTAAGCTTTCAGAAAAATACATCAAATAATAATTATTATTATTGTAACTTTTTTTTTTCGTCAAATAATTGAGGTTATGCATCTGTCAATTTAACGCCAATTTTGTCTTATTTTCTGAAAATAACATAATATACGTTTTTGTACAAATTTTTTATTTTCAATCTAATTTTAACGATATTTAAAAAAAAAAATTCTTAATTTTTTAAAGGAAGTAAAGTTTTATAAAAATACTATTTTTTTGTGAAATATTCTTATCGTTTCAACGAAAATATTCATTATTTATTATAAGTAACAGGGGACCCTCAAAAATTTAATAGAAATCGCTATTTTTCTGGACTTACGGCATTTTTTTTTCAAATTTGATATTTTTTCCGAAAGCTGAGGATTTTTCACAAAAAATGTCATTTTCACGATGGGATTATTTTTTAAAAATTACAACATCGTGAAAAGGACATATTTTTTGTGAAAAATCCTCAGCTTTCAGAAAAATACTTCAAACAATAATTATTGTTGTAACCTTTTTTTTGATATTTTATTTTTCTCAAAAACGGTAACTTTTACAAAAAATCTTATATACAATAAAGATAGCACGACAGATTTTTGGTAAAATTTCAAAAATATAGTAGTTTTTTGCATAAAAAACACTTTCCTAGTAACGATCGAATTTTGACGATATTTTTTTAAATCTTTATCGTTAATTTTTTTTGGATAGAAATAATATTTTATAAAATGTTTTTTTGTTAAAAATTCTTAGATTTCCAATGAAAATACTCATTTTTTATTGTAAGTAAAAGAAGACCCCCTCAAAAATGTAATCAAAGTGAAAAACGCGATTTTTTGGCCTTGCGGCAACTTTTATTTCAAATTTTGTATAAGCTGAGGATTTTTTACATAAATTTCTTAGCTTTCAAAAATAGATATCAAATAATATTTATTATTATTTTAACTGATTTTTTTCTTTAAATATGCATATCTGTCAATTTAACGACAATTTTGCATTATTTTCTGAAAATAATATAATATACGTATTTTGTAACTTCTTGATTTATGTCACAAAAACATACATACAGAGGTATATTAAAATATTTTCAAAAAATAAGACGAAATTGGTGTGAAACTGGCAGATACATAACCTTAATTAATTAAAAAAATATTTACGATAATTAATAATTATTATATATATAATTATAATTATTAATAATAAAAAATATATCCCCATCTTAAAAATTATATATTTGGTGTAAGAAAATCTCAACTTTCAGAAAAACATACCTATCTATAAAATTTTAAATAAAAATCCTTACTGTTTGTCTGGGTCACAATCTATAAAAAAATTATTTGGTGAAATGACCCTTATATTATAATTTTATTTTACATATAATTATTTTATGGTATTTTGTGATTTTTTAAATAATTAGACTTTTACCATTTATGGTTTTCTTATCTTTGTTTTCTCCTCTTCTTTTGAGACTTTGGCTCCCATACCTTTTTTACTATTTGTAGTTGACTTCATTCGTTTCACAGAACATAATAACACTGCGTAAAGAAATGTCACTGCAACTGTCAAAAAGGAAAACGAAATAATCAAAATTGGGCAAATACAAAATTTCAAACATTTTATTAAATTAATAATTTTTATTTACATAAATAACTATTTAACGTATTTTTCAATTGAAAGGAAGAAAACATGGCCTCCTTTATAGTCTTCCATTGCAAACCAATCATTAACATCAAATAGTTGTTTATATCCAATTACACCCCTATACAAAGTGTCGTTTATATTGGTGGTGATTATTTCGATATATATTCGAGGTGAATTATCATCAAACGATATAATAAATAAATTAGAATCAAACCATATCCATTTGTCGGTATAGTTTGTAGTTTTTGTTGTTATTATTTCGGTTTTCTCCACACATTCCATTTCCTTATGGTTACTCCTCAAATGATCCAAAATAAATTCAATGCTACCAGTGAAATTTCCACATAGGGGGCAATGATATTGCTGTAAGGGACAAACAATTTCGTGATTGGTTATTTCATTGCAAACGCCGAAGTTTTTGCACCCATGTTTATTATAAATGCACGGAAACTTGATACCTTCAGTTAAATTTTCTATAAAGTAGTTCCTTGCAAAGGTAATTTCTTCCTTACATATGGGACATTTTACGAGATCGTTCCTGCACAACGAGCAAATACTGTGGCCCCTGGTACAATTATAAACATCCGGTCTCATGATGGTCATACATACGGGACATTCCAGTAACTTCAACATGCTTTCGTTAATTCCTTTAGGGTTCAAATTGAATTCGTTGGCGATCACATTTTTTTCGTCCGCGAGATGTTTTATCGAGTCGATGTCCACCGCAGTCGCGTTGGGGTTTGCATTCAAATTTTCTTCGTTATAAATACCGTTCAGTTTGGTTATGGTGCCCACAGTTTTCAACACCGAATGGTTGGTTGTTTTAACACTTTTGTGCTTCACGGAATAGTCCATATTCTCTTCGCATTCTTCTAGTGGATTTAGAGCGTAATAAAACTTATCATCAACCACTGAGGTCTTCAAAAGGCACTTTTGGTGATCGCTAGTCAATAATTTTACATTGACTGATTCGCACAAGGTTGTTTCAACATTGAAAATATTGTTGTCACTATAAACCACTTCATCTCGATGATTTTCCGAAAAATGCCCGGCAACTTCGAAGCTGCTTCCACTCCAATCGCAACCTTCGAGATTTTTCATCGGGCACGGTTTAATTTTGAAGTCGCAAGTGGCGACGTGCTTGGAATATTTTTTCGACCCCACTCTGTTGTCGCAGCCTTTGGCTTGAAACTTGCACGGCAACATTAGCTTGGCTATGATTAAGATGAGGGCTGCGTTTAATTCAGCCCTGGATTTCATTTCCTCATCGCACTTTTCTTCGAAACATTTTCCGCACACGTTTCCTTCGCCTTTCACCAGGAAAATATCGAACGTGCACAGTTCATCGCAAATGTTGCAGTGGAATATTTTTTCGCTCAAAAGATCATCGGTGAATTGCTCCTTGGTCTGTTCTGCCATGTCTGAGTTTCAGAACACCCTGTAAATTAACATTATTTTAGTATATTGTTTTTGTGTATGTTTTTTTTATAAAGTTAAGCTAGCGTTTTTACAAACTAGAATTGTTTAAACATTTAATTTAATTTAATTGTTTATTATGCATAAAGATGTACATACAAAATAAAAAAACCCAAAACACTCGAACTATTAACTTAAAACTTGAAAAAGAATCTAATTCTCGGCAGTAAAATGCAATTTACAACTGCGTACCATGAGCACAGACTGAACAATGACGTGAACAGTTCTGCAAAAATTTTATCCCCACGAATCCATATACAGTGTGTACACAAGAGAATTTACTTTGTTACTTTATTAAATTTGATTTTAAAAACACCCAATTTTCTAGCTTTTATTATTATGTTTTATTTGAATACAAAAGGCACTATATAAATACAGGGTGTTATGTAATTAATGTTATATATTAAAATACTGAATACCTTTTGACATAAGCAATAAAGGAAAAATATTTTAAAAAGCATTTTTCCAAAGATAAAGAAAAAATATGCATTAGAAGTTTTTTATATTTTTTGTGATACGCCACTGGTTACACACTTCGTTTATCCCTGCACACTTGTATTTTGTGAGTACATTGATACCAACCAACAAAGTAGCTATGCGTTGCCAGATGTAAAAAATTGTTACTAAAAATTTTTCTTGCAAAAAATAAATAAAAACTCAATAAATACAAAAGTTTTATGCCCTTAAAGCTCTAATACCCTTCTGTATTTATTTACTAATCCAGCTATTAGCTTAAGCAATGATTAGAAAATTTAGTACCTTTGAAATTTGAAATCCATAACCACAAAATTAATTTTTTCATCAGATTTTTTCTCTGTTTACTCAGATGAAATTGGGACCAGTTCACAGGTTAAACTTTAAACATTTAATTTGTGTAAATAAATCCAAAAGCACTTCCCTTAGTTAAGATATTTACAATTTGAAAACATAACCTAAAATTTAAAAGAAATGCACTAGATTCTGTCATAAAAGTTGGCAGATTTTGTTTGAATTTACCTTCAGTACAAAAATGAAATAACCAACAATTAATAATAACGCCAAATTGACAATTTGCATTGTTAATTTTGTCATTTTTGTAATTAAGCTAAATTTAAACAATGTTTGTCAACTTTTTTGAGAGATTTTGGAAACACTGTTACCAACCATAACATAATAAATCCACCAGATTAACCTAAAGTTCCTATTCGATCAGTGGCGTACTTTTTGGTAGGATAAAGGTTATTATAAATTATTTTTAGACTTTGGAATTTAGAAAAAAAAAGTTTCAGGTGCTTCTTTATGGACCCTAAGGAACAACACATTTTAACAACAACACATTTTAATGTAGTTTTTAAGTTATGTACCGGACCTATGTACAGGTAATTTTATTACCTCCAATAGGCAGAAATTATTTTCTGTACACGTGTATCTGGATGTTAAATAAATAAATAAATAAATAAATTACATAACACCCTGTATATATTGTGACACAAGAACTTGACAACATTCGCTTTTGACCGTTGTGTGCAGTTGGTTGCATAACGTGATTTTTAGGGAGATAAAACAAGATTGTGGTAGGTAGGTACTAGGTTATAAAAAAACAACAAAGTTAGACATTTTTTTAATTACTATTTTAACCAACTTCACGGAGGTTAAGATTTCCTATGTTTTTTTTAAACACCTTATTATTTTTAAAAATACAATTGTACATACTGAGATATTACACTTCACGGTGGATAGGTTTTTAAATAGCAAATTAATGAACTTTTGAATTATAAAACACAAATTTAAAACAAAAACAGATTCACGGAGGATAGAATCAATTTTTGTAACACCTACATAAATGGTTACAAAAATTATTTCTTTTAATTTTTAATAATATTTTATATTTGATGCGATTGCTTTGGATGTGTTTAATTTACTTGGTGAACTGATATTTTTAGTAAGCTTTTACTACCTCAGATATTTGAAAACGTATAGGTTAACCTAGAAAGAGCAACAGTCACGGAGGATAGGTTTTAGACTAAAACATTGTAAAAAATAATTAATTGCGGTTTAAAATGTGGAACCTGAGCTGTAATATCTACTTAATTATGAAAGATCAAAATACAATAAAAGTGTAGGTCAAACTCATTTAGTTTTAATAAATATCACGGGGTAACCCCATCGGGGGACATTTTAATGATTTTAACATTTTAAAATTTGTTTTGACATTTAAAATTGCGTTTGACCTTATTCCTTATATTTTAGAAAGTCTAAAATTTTGTATTTTAAACATAAATAGGTTTTTATGATTTTGACATTGTAAAATAAGCCTTGGACGTTTTAAAATGGTTTCTGACATTTTAAGAAGTTTTTTTGACAATCTTAAAATGTTTTCACCTTCTTTTATATAGTTTTTATATTTTTTAATGTTATTTTTACATGTTTGTCATTCTAATATATGTTTTTGACATTCCCAAATGTTTTTTGAAATTATTCTACATTTTAATGATTTTGACATTTTAAAATTTATTTTGGGCATTTAAAATTGCTTTTGGCATCTTTCCTTATATTTTAGATAGTCTAAAATTTTTTATTTTAAACATATGTAAATAGGTTTTTATGATTTTGACATTGTAAAATGGCATTTGAACAAATTTTGTTGACAATCTATATTTTTAAATGTAATTTTTACATTTTTGACATTCTAATGATTTTGACATTCTAATATGTGTTTTTGACATTCCCAAATGTTTTTTAAATTCAAAAATGTTTTTTGAGATTATTCTACATTCTAATGATTTTGACTTTTTAAAATATGTTTTTGATATTTAAAATTGCGTTTGACCTTATTCCTAATATTTTAGATAAAATTTTGTATTTTAAACATAAATAGGTTTTTATGATTTTGACATTGTAAAATAAGCCTTGGACGTTTTAAAATGGTTTCTGACATTTTAAGAAGTTTTTTTGACAATCTTAAAATGTTTTTACCTTCTTTTTTATAGTTTTTATATTTTTTAATGTTATTTTTACATGTTTGTCATTCTAATGTATGTTTTTGACATTCCCAAATATTTTTTGAAATTATTCTACATTTTAATGATTTTGACATTTTAAAATTTGTTTTGGGCATTTAAAATTGCTTTTGACATCCTTCCTTATATTTTAGATAGTCTAAAGTTTTTTTATTTTAAACATAAATAGGTTTTTATGATTTTGACATTGTAAAATGGCATTTGAAGAAATTTTGTTGACAATCTATATTTTTTACATTTTTGACATTCTAATGATTTTGACATTCCAATATGTGTTTTTGACATTCCCAAATGTTTTTTAAATTCAAAAATGTTTTTTGAGATTATTCTACATTGTAATGTTTTTGACATTTAAAATTGCGTTTGACATCTGCCGAAAAAGTAGTAGACACAGTATGATTTTGTAGGTATATCCTTACAAAGCGATCGAAGGGTTAAAAATCAGCGCAGGCGTGTCCACATTACGCTGGAGCTTCCCTGGTCGGCCGACAGGGCTATACAGCAGTTTGGTCGTACGCACAGAAGTAACCAAGTCAACGCCCCTGAGTACATTTTCCTCATATCCGATTTGGCGGGAGAAAGGAGATTCGCTTCAATCGTTGCAAAAAGGTAGTCGTCTAGTTTTGCACTACTCACAATCCACACAACAAGGTCTGTTCTATCTCGTACTAAAAATACAAAAAATCTCTGCAACACTGCACAGAGTTTAACGGCGGCCATTTTTGTTGTTTACAATTTTTGTGCTTTGGGTTTGTGCTCTGTTTATACAGATTAATAATCGTTTTAAACGTTGTGCTTCTCTTAGTAAACCTTAAAAGAGTCCTTAAAGTGCTAAGAACAACCATTTAACTCCTCTATTGTAAAAAATAAACTTTGTTCTATCAGGGCTGTCATAAAACTGTCAAATGTCAATTTTAAGGTTAAATTATAACCCACAAATTAACCTTCAAATTGTCATTTGACAGCCCTGATAGAATAAGGTATATTTATTATAAAAGAGGAGTAGTAAAATGGTTGTCCTTAGCACATAAAGGCCTTATTTGAGGCTTACAAGTGCCTCTGTAAGAAACACAACGTTTAAAACAATTATTAAACAGCACAAACCCAAAGCACAAGAATTGTAAACAACAAAAATGGCCGCCGTTAAACTCTGTGCAGTGTTGCAGTGATTTTTAGTATTTTTAGCGTGAGATAGAACAGACCTTGTCTGAGAGGTGATTTTTGGACTTTCTGTGAAACCTAATTTTTTTTATATTCTTGTTAATTAGGTCATAACTAAAATTTTAAGAGCAAAATAAAAAAAATTTGACGGTTTGAATTGTTTTAATTGACTGTTTATTAAAAATATTATGCACTCTTTCAATTATCCAATTAAAACTAGCGATTTAATTTAAATATTTAATTTTTGCATAACTAAAAAAAAGGTTTTTACAATTTTTTTTATATATTTTACTGTTTTGTTGCAATAAACGTTCAAACTTTTAATCTAACCTTTGACGTATACATTTATGTTCCCTTAATTAATATATCCTTAAAGGTTGCCATGAAACTTAGATCTATTAAAAATTTATTTGATGTTTGAATTGTCATTTTCAGTATACGTATTCTATAATTTTTGTTTAGTTTTTTAAAGTGTTTTTTATAAACAAAAATGAAAAATTGTAGTAAAAGTTTCGAAGAAATTCATGAAATTTAACTAAGGACCGGTTTATTCATCTTTAGTAAAGTTTATCGGGACGATAACTTTCATGTCTTGGCAATATCTAGTATCCAAAGAAATTATTCGTCAAATAAATCAAAAATGAATAAATCGGCCCTATATAAAATGTGGCACCCTTAGAATTATTGTTTAATAAATTTATACTACATTTAACCTTAAATTAAAACTTTAAACGTGTATTACAACAAAACAGTAAAAGAAATAAAAAATGTATAGACCTTTTTTTAGGAAATTAACTAATCTTTAATCTGATTTAAAAAGTTATGATAATATTTAAAAAAAATCGCAAGTTTTAATTGGAGAATTGAAAGTGTGCATACATATTTTTAATAAACAGCCAATTAAAACAATTCAATCCGTCTTTTTTTTTTATTTTGCTCTTAAAATAACAAGAATATAAAAAAAACTTAGGTTTCACAGTAAGTCCAAAAATCACCTCTCAGAACAGCACCGTGGTGTGGGTTGTGGCACTACTTAAAAAAAACACAACTGCATTTCTCGCTGTACTTTTAGACTGGAAAGTTTGGGAGCGCTCACGCATGGGGACAGAAGAGCTACGGAAACGCGAGATCTAAGTCAGTTCAACATCGACAACAAGTATGGACGCTCGGCCTTAGAGGCGACCATGAAGGCTATCATGGGGTACGACGCGCCGCTAGTGGCGCCACCTGCCGACTACAAGGGCGAGTTTTTCAAGGTAACCGCCGCGGGTTTTTTGTTTTTCGGCGTGTTTGATTTTTTTTTCGTTTTAAGGACGTCGCTGCCGCGCTTGTCGGTGTGGGGATAATAGTTAATAGCGAAAGCATGCCCGGAGTTTTGTCCCTGGACAAGGACTATAATAATATGAGCAAGTTCCTCAACAGGATACTGGGGATGCCGGTGGAATTGCAAAACAGACTATTCAGGTAAGCTAGTCAACATAATATTTGTTTTTGACATTTAAAAATTTGTTTTTGACATTCTTAAATTAATTTAAAACCTTTTTTTTACATTTTAAGCCGTTTTTGGACATTCTCAATGTGTCTTACCTTCTTATTAATAGTTTTTATATTCTTAAATCTTATTTTTGCAATTTTATTTATAATGTGTTTTTGACATTCCCAAATATTTTTTAAATTCAAAAAATGGTTTTAGATTATTCTACATTCTTATGATTTTGACATTTTAAAATTTGTTTTTGACTTTAAAAAATGCATAAATATCATTTTATGATTTTGACGTTCTAAAATTTGTTTCTGGCATTAAAAAGTTGTTGACATTCTTCCTTATGATTTTCATATTTTAAAATTTGTTTTTGGCATTCAAAAATACATGTAACATCCTTCCTTATATTTTAGTTTGTCTAAAATTTTGCATTTCGAACTATAAATAGGTTTTTATGATTTTGACATTATAAAATTAGCCTTGGACGTTTTAAAATGGTTTCTGACATTTTAAGAACAATCTTTAAATGTTTTTACCTTCTTTTTAATAGTTTTTATATTTTTAAATGTAATTTTTACATTTTTGACATTCAAATATGTGTTTTTGACATTCCCAAATGTTTTTTAAATTCAAAAATGTTTTTTGAGATTATTTTACATTCTAATGATTTTGACTTTTTAAAATATGTTTTTGACATGTAAAATTGCGTTTGACCTTATTCCTTATATTTCAGTTAGTCTAAAATTTTGTATTTTAAATATAAATAGGTTTTTATGATTTTGACATTCTAAAATTAGCCTTGGACGTTTTAAAATTTGTTTCTGACATTTTAAAGAGTTTCCTGACATTCTTGAAATGTTTTTACCTTCTTTTTAATAGTTTTTATATTTTTAAATGTATTTTTTACATTTTTGACATTCTAATGATTTTGACATTCAAATATGTGTTTTTGACATTCCCAATGTTTTTTAAATTCAAAAATGTTTTTTGAGATTATTCTACATTTTAATGATTTTGACATTTTAAAACTTGTTTTTGACATTTAAAATTGCGTTTAACATCCTTCCCTATATATGAGTGTCTAAAATTTTGTTTTTAAACATAAATAGGTTTTTATGATTTGACATTGTAAAAAATAAGCCTTGGAAGTTTTAAAATGGTTTCTGACATTTTAAGAAGTTGATGTAAAATTTTGTAACATTAAGTTGGTTTTATGATTTTGACATTCTGACGTTTTATATTTTACATTATTTAATGTGGGTTTTTCCTTCCTATTTATAATTTTGTATTCTTAAATGAAATTTTTACATTTTTTTGACATTCTAATGGTTTGAAACTCCAAGATATGTTTTAATATTTCTAAATGTGTTTTTTTTTCATTTAAAAACACTCCTATGATGATTTTGACTCTTTTAAATTTATTTTTGACATTCATAAATGTATGTCATATCCTTATATTTCATTTAGCCTAAAAATTTTTATTTTAAAAAAATATGTTTATTGATGATTTTGACATTTTAAAATTAGCTTTGGGCATTTTAAAGAGTTTCTTGACATTTCTAAATGTGTTTTTTACCTACCTATTTATAATTTTTATATTCTTTAATTTAATTTCTATATTTTATTTATATTTTTGACATTCTAATGGTTTTGACATTTCAAGATGTATTTTAGATAGATAGGCTTGATATGTTTTTCAAATTTTAAAAATTTTTTGAGATTATTTTACATTCTTATGATTTTGACATTTTAAAATGCGTTTGACATCCTTTCTTATGATTTTGACATTTTAAAATTTGTTTTTAGTCTCCAAAATTTTAAACAAATATGTTTTTTTATGATTTTGACGTTCTTAATTTTCCTTTTACGTTTAAAATTAAATTAAAAATTACGTTCCTAAATGTAATTTTTATTTATATTTTTTACATTCCAAGATGTGACTTTGGTAGTCCTAAATAAGTTTTTAAGATTATTTTACACTGTTATGATTTTGACATTTTAAAATTTGTTTTTGGCATTCGAAAATGCATTTGACATTCTTCCTTATGATTTTAACATTTAAAAATTTTTTTGGCTATAAAAAATGCGTTTGACATCCTTTATTATGATTTTGACAGTTATATTTTATTTATCCTAAAATTTTGTATTTTAAACCAATAGGTTGATTTATGATTTTGACATATTAAAATTAGCTTTGGGCATTTTAAAGATTTTCTTGACATTCCTAAATGTGTTTTTTACCTACCTATTTATAATTTTTATATTCTTTAATTTAATTTTTACATTTTTAATTATATTTTTGACATTCTAATGGTTTTGGCATGTCAAGATGCATTTTCGATAGGCTTGATATGTTTTTCAAATTTTAAAATGTTTTTGAGTTTATTTTATATTCTTATGATTTTGACATTTTAAAATGCGTTTGACATTCTTTCTTATGATTTTGACATTTTAAAATTTGTTTTTAGTCTTCAAGATTTTAAACAAATATGTTTTTTATGATTTTGACGTTCTTAATTTTCCTTTTACGTTTAAAATTTGTTTCTGACATTAAAAAAAATTACGTTCCTAAATGTAATTTTTATTTATATTTTTTACATTTTAAGATTGGACTTTGGTAGTCTTTTGACTTTCAAGATGCGTTTGAGCGTTTGACATCCTATTTGGAACTATAAATAGGTTTTTATGATTTTGACATTTTAACATTAGTCTTGGGCTTTTTAAAGAGTTTCTTGACATTAAACGTGTTTTTACCTTCCTATTTATAATTTTTATATTTTTGACATTTTCAATATGTATTTTAGATAGGCTTGATATGTTTTTCAAATTTTAAAATGTTTATGAGATTATTTTACATTTTTATGATTTTAACATTTTAAAATTTGTTGTTTCTTTCAAGATGCGTATGAAATCCTTCCTTATATATTAGATAGATAATAAAATGTTGCATTTCGAACTAAAAATAGGTTTGTATGATTTTGACATTCTAAAATTAGCCTAGGACGTTTTAAAATTTGTTTCTAACATTAAAAATTCTTAATTACTATTCTCCGACCATGTACCCCACCAGGTACTTCACCGACACCCTGGCGGCCATCATAACCTCCGCCAAACGCTCCGGGCGCTTCGACCTCGGCATCCTAGACCTGGGCGCCGGCGGCGAGGTGGTAAAGCGCGTGCGCACCGTCACCTTCCTGCGCAAGCACGCCACCGGTAAAGCCCCCACCGAGCTGCACACCGTGCACGTGGAGCGCGGCATGGCGTGGCCGGAAGCGCTCGACAAGATGTCCGACCTCATCGGCGAGCCCGAGGGCTTCTACCTCTCGCACCAGGTGAGTCGCGTTAAATTTTTTCCGACCTATACTTTTTATGGTTTTATTCGAGGCGTTTTGTAATATTAAACGTTTCCGTGAAATCGGAATTTCAATTGAGTTTACCGTTTTCGAGATGTTTACGAAAAATATAAATTTTTATGACGTCACAAACCTCGCCATGTGACCAACATTCTAAGATTTCTATTGGTTGAAAATTACCCCGTTGTCAAGTTGTCTTGTTAATGATTTCATTCGGTTATGTCAGAAAATACCCGAAGAGGTTATGTACAAATACTGTCACTGTCAGTTGAGTGAAAGATGGTCACCAAATTCATTAAGTACCTATCTTCCTTATTACGAGGTATCATATTACTGTTTGATATTTTAAAGTCCAAGATATATCTAAAAGAATATTAAGAACTAGGCATTATACTAATGAAATGCATTTACGACAAAATATGATTATAATTATAGGTACTTACTTTATTTGTTTAAAAGCTCCAATGTTCAATGTAACCAACCATTCCACAAGATTCCTCTGCTTTGGAGTCCGTTATTAATAAATCACTTATCTAATATCAATTACAAATAACATTGATTTTCAATAATCTAAATTTAAAAAAACATAACCCGAAAAAAAGAAACGTCAAAAAATCAATTCTTCTTCTTCTTCTCAACTAAAATTATAGATCAAGTGGTTTTAAAACTAAAATATTATAACGTGGCGCCATCTATCGTAAGAATCTTAAACTAAGCACGCTGGCAACCATAGAAAAAGCTGGCAACGTTGTCAATAGCCTAGTGACGTAATTAGGAGATTTTTTTTTGTAAATATCTCGAAAACGGTAAACTCAATTGAAATTCCGATTTCACAGAAATGTTTAAAATTACAAAACGCGTTTTGTAATATTAAACAACATTTCTGTGAAATCGGAATTTCAATTGAGTTTGCCGTTTTCGAGATATTTACAAAAAATATAAATTTTTATGACGTCGCAAACCTCGCCATGTGACCAACATTCTAAGATTTCTGTTGGTTGAAAATTACCCTGTTGTCAAGTTGTCTTGTTAACGATTTCATTCGGTTATGTCGGAAAATACCCGAAGAGGTTATGTACAAATACTGTCACTGTCAGTTGAGTGAAAGATGGTCACCAAATTCATCAAGTACCTATCTTCCTTATTACGAGGTATCATATTACTGTTTGATATTTTAGAGTCCAAGATGTATCTAAAAGAATATAAAGAACTAGGCATTATACTAATGAAATGCATTTACGACAAAATATGATTATAATTTTAGGTACTAACTTTATTTGTTTAAAAGCTCCAATGTTCAATGTAACCAACCATTCCACAAGATTCCTCTGCTTTGGAGTCCGTTATTAATAAATCACTTATCTAATATCAATTACAAATAACATTGATTTTCAATAATCTAAATTTAAAAAAAACACAACCCGAAAAAAAGAAACGTCAAAAAATCAATTCTTCTTCTTTTTCTCAACTAAAATTATAGATCAAGTGGTTTTAAAACTAAAATATTATAACGTGGCAAAAAAAAAAAAGCTGGCAACGTTGTCAACAGCCTAGTGACGTAATTAGGAGATTTATTTTTGTAAATATCTCGAAAACGGTAAACTCAATTGAAACTCCGATTTCACGGAAATGTTTAAAATTACAAAACGCGTTTTGTAATATTAAACATTTCTGTGAAATCGGAATTTCAATTGAGTTTGCCGTTTTCGAGATATTTACAAAAAATATAAATTTTTATGACGTCGCAAACCTCGCCATGTGACCAACATTCTAAGATTTCTGTTGGTTGAAAATTACCCTGTTGTCAAGTTGTCTTGTTAACGATTTCATTCGGTTATGTCGGAAAATACCCGAAGAGGTTATGTACAAATACTGTCACTGTCAGTTGAGTGAAAGATGGTCACCAAATATATCTAAAAGAATATAAAGAACTAGGCATTATACTAATGAAATGCATTTACGACAAAATATGATTATAATTATAGGTACTTACTTTATTTGTTTAAAAGCTCCAATGTTCAATGTAACCAACCATTCCACAAGATTCCTCTGCTTTGGAGTCCGTTATTAATAAATCACTTATCTAATATCAATTACAAATAACATTGATTTTCAATAATCTAAATTTAAAAAAAAAATAACCCGAAAAAAAGGAACGTCAAAAAATCAATTCTTCTTCTTCTCAACTAAAATTATAGATCAAGTGGTTTTAAAACTGAAATATTATAACGTGGCGCCATCTATCGTAAGAATCTTAAACTAAGCACGCTGGCAACCATAGAAAAAGCTGGCAACGTTGTCAATAGCCTAGTGATTTTTTTTTGTAAATATCTCGAAAACGGTAAACTCAATTGAAATTCCGATTTCGCAGAAACGTTTAAAATTACAAAACGCCTCGAATAAAACCATAAAAGTATAGGTCGGAAAAAAATTAACTACCCCATTCTCCTTTCCTTTCGTTACGGTGCGCGTCTTCTTTTCTTAGGTTAGGAACGGCAAGCACACCGCCATTTTGGCCGTGATGCTCGAAGGCGGTACGAAGAAGAAGAACGAATCGAAGAAGGATCAGATGTTCTCGGTGTACAGGCCGAACACGGGGCTGCAGTTTCGGCAAGAAAGTCTCGCCGAGCTGGAGAAAAAGTACAAAAAGGTGAGTGAAATTTTAATTCTAAATGTTTTTCAAATTTTAATGATTTTGACATTTTAAACTTTGTTTTTGACGTTCAAAAATATGACTTTCTTTCTTATATTTTAGATTGTCTAAAATTTGTTAATTTTAACGTTAAATATGTTTTTATGATTTTGACTTTCTAAATTTGCCTTTGACGTTGTATAATTTGTTTTTGACTTTTTTATTTATATTTTTGACATTCCAAAATATGTTTTTTGCAGTCCTTAATATGTTTTTCAAATTTTAAAACATTTTTTTAAATTATTTTACATTTTGATGATTTTGACATTTTAAACTTTGTTTTTGACATTCAAAAATACGACTTTCTTTCTTATATTTTAGATTGTCTAAAATTTGTTAATTTTATCGTTAAATATGTTTTTATGATTTTGAAATTTTTATTTATATTTTTGACATTCCAAAAGTTTTGACATTCCAACTTATGTTTTTCAAATTTAAAAATGTTTTTTCTACGACCACTATGTAAAAGTCACTTTTCATGATGGCATCGTTGCTTAGAAAATGAATCTTTTCATTGGCAAGGCAAAACACGAATGTAAAGTGACATTTCTGTGTGAAAAGTGACAGGTCTGTGTGAAAAGAACCGGAAAGCATCGTTTGACATTCAGCTGTCAAAAAAGTTTTTAGGTTTTTTGTTTTGTATTTAAAAATAATAAAAAATAAAAGGGTCGCAGAAAAAACAGTGTGTTATACTTGTGAGAAAAGCTCGCATGAAAAAGTCGCTTTTCAACACTTGTAAAACAAATAACTAGTTTAAATTATATTACATTTTGATGATTCTAACATTTTAAACTTTGTTTTTGACATTCCAAAATGCGTTTGAATTCTTCCTTATATTTTAGATTGTCTAAAATTTCACTTTTATCGTTAAATATGTTTTTATGATTTTGAAATTTTTATTTATATTTTTGACATTCCAAAAGTTATGACATTCCAACTTATGTTTTTCAAATTTAAAAATGTTTTTTAAATTATTTTACATTTTGATGATTTTCACATTTTAAACTTTGTTTTTAACATTCCAAAATGCGTTTGACATTCTTTAGATTGTCTAAAATTTTCACTTTTATGATTTTGAAATTTTTATTTATATTTTTGACATTTCAAAATTTATGACATTCCAAGGTACATGTTTTTCAAATTTAAAAATGTTTTTTAAATTATTTTACATTTTGATGATTTTGACATTTTAAACTTTGTTTTTGACATTCCAAAATGCGTTTGACTTTCTTCCTTATATTTTAGATTGTCTAAAATTTTGCACTTTTATGATTTTGAAATTTTTATTTATATTTTTGACATTCCAAAATTTATGACATTCCAAGGTATGTTTTTCAAATTTAAAAATGTTTTTTTAAATTATTTTACATTTTGATGATTTTGACTTTTAAACTTTGTTTTTGATATTCCAAAATGCGTTTGACATTCTTCCTTATATTTTATATTGTCTAAACTATCGTTAAATATGTTTTTATGATTTTGAAATTTTTATTTATATTTTTGACATTCCAATGTATGTTTTTCAAATTTAAAAATGTTTTTTAAATTATTTTACATTTTGATGATTTTGACTTTTAAACTTTGTTTTTGACATTCCAAAATGCGTTTGACATTCTTCCTTATATTTTAGATTGTCTAAACTATCGTTAAATATGTTTTTATTATTTTGAAATTTTTATTTATATTTTTGACATTCCAAAAGTTATGACATTCCAAGGTATGTTTTTCAAATTTAAAAATGTTTTTTAAAATTATTTTACATTTTGATGATTTGACATTTTAAACTTTGTTTTTGACATTCCAAAATGCGTTTGACATTCTTCCTTATATTTTAGATTGTCCAAAATTTGTCACTTTTATCGTTAAATATGTTTTTATGATTTTGAAATTTTTATTTATATTTTTGACATTCCAAAAGTTATGACATTCCAACTTATGTTTTTCAAATTTAAAAATGTTTTTTTAAATATTTTACATTTTGATGATTTTGACTTTTAAACTTCCAAAATTCCAAAATGCGTTTGACATTCTTCCTTATATTTTAGATTGTCTAAAATTTGTCACTTTTATCGTTAAATATGTTTTTATGATTTTGAAATTTTTATTTATATTTTTGACATTCCAAAAGTTATGACATTCCAAGGTATGTTTTTCAAATTTAAAAATGTTTTTTAAAATTATTTTACATTTTGATGATTTGACATTTTAAACTTTGTTTTTGACATTCCAAAATGCGTTTGACATTCTTCCTTATATTTTAGATTGTCCAAAATTTGTCACTTTTATCGTTAAATATGTTTTTATGATTTTGAAATTTTTATTTATATTTTTGACATTCCAAAAGTTATGACATTCCAACTTATGTTTTTCAAATTTAAAAATGTTTTTTTAAATATTTTACATTTTGATGATTTTGACTTTTAAACTTCCAAAATTCCAAAATGCGTTTGACATTCTTCCTTATATTTTAGATTGTCTAAAATTTGTCACTTTTATCGTTAAATATGTTTTTATGATTTTGAAATTTTTATTTATATTTTTGACATTCCAAAAGTTATGACATTCCAAGGTATGTTTTTCAAATTTAAAAATGTTTTTTAAATTATTTTACATTTTGATGATTTTGACTTTTAAACTTTGGTTTTGACATTCCAAAATGCGTTTGACATTCTTCCTTATATTTTAGATTGTCTAAAATTTGTTACTTTTGTCGTTAAATATGTTTTTATGATTTTGAAATTTTTATTATATTTTTGACATTCCAAAAGTTATGACATTCCAAGGTATTTTTTTCAAATTTAAAAATGTTTTTTAAATTATTTTACATTTTGATGATTTTGACTTTTAAACTTTGTTTTTGACATTCCAAAATGCGTTTGACATTCTTCCTTATATTTTAGATTGTCTAAAATTTGTCACTTTTATCGTTAAATATGTTTTTATGATTTTGAAATTTTTATTTATATTTTTGACATTCCAAAAGTTATGACATTCCAAGGTATGTTTTTCAAATTTAAAAATGTTTTTTAAATTATTTTACATTTTGATGATTTTGACATTTTAAACTTTGTTTTTGACATTCCAAAATGCGTTTGACTTTCTTCCTTATATTTTAGATTGTCTAAAATTTGTCACTTTTATGATTTTGAAATTTTTATTTATATTTTTGACATTCCAAAAGTTATGACATTCCAAGGTATGTTTTTTAAATTTAAAAATGTTTTTTAAATTATTTTACATTTTGATGATTTTGACGTTTTAAACTTTGTTTTTGACATTCCAAAATGCGTTTGACATTCTTCCTTATATTTTAGATTGTCTAAAATTTGTCACTTTTATCGTTAAATATGTTTTTATGATTTTGAAATTTTTATTTATATTTTTGACATTCCAAGGTATGTTTTTCAAATTTAAAAATGTTTTTTAAATTATTTTACATTTTGATGATTTTGACATTTTAAACTTTGTTTTTGACATTCAAAAATACGACTTTCTTTCTTATATTTTAGATTGTCTAAAATTTGTCAATTTTAACATAATATAAATATGTTTTTATGATTTTGACGTTCTAAATTTGCCTTTGACGTTTTAAAATTTGTTTTTGACATTTTTATTTATATTTTTGACATTCTGAAAGTTTTGACATTCCAAAATGTGTTTTTTGCAGTCCAAATTTAAAAACATTTTTTTAAATTATTTTACATTTTGATGATTTTGACATTTTAAACTTTGTTTTTGACATTCAAAAATGCGTTTGGCATCCTTTCTTATATTTTGTATTTTAAACATTAATAGGTTTTGATGATTTTTACATTTTAAATTTGCCTTTGACGTTTTAAATTTGTTTTTGACATTCTTAAATGTGCTTTTTACTTTCTTATTTATGATTTTTATATTCTTAAATGTGTTTTTTACATTCTTATTTATATTTTTGACTTTCTACATTTTTTCAAATTTTAAAATATTTTGAAGATTATTTAACATTCTTATGGTTTTGACATTTTAAAATTTGTTTTTGACATTGACGTTTGACATCCTTCCTTATATTTTGTATTTTAAACATAAATAGGTTTTTATGATTTTGACATTTTAAATTTACCTTCGACATTTTAAAATTTGTTTTTGACATTGACGTTTGACATCCTTCCTTATATTTTGTATTTTAAACATAAATAGGTTTTTATGATTTTGACATTTTAAATTTACCTTTGAGGTTTTAAAATTTGTTTTTGACATTGACGTTTGACATCCTTCCTTATATTTTGTATTTTAAACAAATAGGTTTTTATGATTTTGACATTTTAAATTTACCTCTGAGGTTTTAAAATTTGTTTTTGACATTGACGTTTGACATCCTTCCTTATATTTTGTATTTTAAACATAAATAGGTTTTTATGATTTTGACATTTTAAATTTACCTTTGAGGTTTTAAAATTTGTTTTTGACATTGACGTTTGACATCCTTCCTTATATTTTGTATTTTAAACATAAATAGGTTTTTATGATTTTGACATTTTAAATTTACCTTTGAGGTTTTAAAATTTGTTTTTGACATTGACGTTTGACATCCTTCCTTATATTTTGTATTTTAAACATAAATAGGTTTTTATGATTTTGACGTTTTAAAATTTGTTTTTGACTTAACACTCGCGTTGGCAGGTGGAGTCTTCGGAGGCGGAGAAGGCCTGGACGGAGCAGTACGACGCGTCGGTGAGCGTGTGCTCGCACGCGTACTGGCGCGGCAACTGCCGCAACGCCACGCTGGGGCACGATTGCGAGGTGGGGCTGCGCAGGCGCACCTACAACGTGGTCAGCGGCTCGGTGCTGTCCGTTTGGAGCCGCGTGGAGGGCGTGCTGGCGAGCAAGAACGGCTCGCAGCACAACAAGATGCAGGTGATAAGGCTGAGGACGAAGGACGACCTCAAAGTTGTGGGTGAGTACCGAAAAAAAAATTATACTTCTTCTTTCTTTCAGCGCTGAGAGTGAAATTTTGGCATGCAACGAAATTTACAACATTTTAAAAATTTATGTTTTTGCTAAATGTAATTTTTACTGTTTTTATGATTTTGACATTCTAAATTTGCCTATGTTTTTGACATTCTAATGATTTTGACATTCCAAGATGTGTTTTTTGCAGTCCTTAATATGTTTTTTAAATTTAAAAATGTTTTTTTACATTTTTAACTTTGTTTTTGACAGTCAAAAATGCGTTTGACATATGTAGATTGTCTAAAATTTTGCACTTTTAACATTGAATATGTTTTTATGATTTTGACATTTTTATTTCTATTTTTGACATTCCAAGATGTGTTTTTAGTAATCCTAAATATGTTTTTCAAATTTAAAAATATTTCAAACTTTGTTTTTGACATTCAAAAATGCGTTTGACATTTTATGATTTTGGCATTTTAAAATTTGTTTTTGACATTTTTATTTATATTTTTGACATTATAATGGTTTTGATATTCCGAGATGTGTTTTTCAAATTTAAAAATTGTTTTGAGATTGGCAGTTTAAAATTTGTTTTTGACTATCAAAAATGCATTTGAAATCATTTCTAAAAAATTTTGACGTTTTTATTTATATTTTTGACATTTCAAAGGTTTTGACATCCAAGATGTGTTTTTGGTAGTCCTAAATATGTTTTTTAAATTTAAACTTTGTTTTTGACAGTCAAAAATGCGTTCGACGTAGATTGTCTAAAATTTTGCACTTTTAACATTGAATATGTTTTTATGATTTTGACATTTTTATTTCTATTTTTGACATTCCAAGATGTGTTTTTAGTAATCCTAAATATGTTTTTCAAATTTAAAAATGTGTTTTAAAATTATTATACCTTATGATGATTTTGACATTTTAAACTTTGTTTTGACAGTCAAAAATGCGTTTGACATCATTACTAATATTTTTTGTTGTTTTAATTTATATTTTTGACATTTTTATTTTTAACATTATAATGGTTTTTCAAATTTAAAAATTGTTTTGAGATTGGCAGTTTAAAATTTGTTTTTGACAATCAAAAATTCATTTGAAATCATTTCTAATATTTTTTGACGTTTTTATTTATATTTCTGACATTTCAAAGGTTTTGACATCCAAGATGTGTTTTTGGTAGTCCTAAATATGTTTTTTAAATTTAAAAATGTTTTAAAAAATTAAAATTATTTTACTTTTTCATGATTTTGACATTTTAAACTTTGTTTTTGACATTCAAAAATGCGTTTGACTTTCTTCCTTGTATTTTTGGCAATTTTATCATTAAAAATGTTTTTATGATTTTGACTTTTTAAAATTTTCCTTTTACGCTTTAAAATTTGTTTTGACATTTTTATTTATAATTTTGACATTCCGAGATGTGTTTTTGATGGTCCTAACTATGTTTTTCAAATTTAAAAATTGTTTTGAGATTGGCAGTTTAAAATTTGTTTTTGACAATCAAAAATGCGTTTGAAATTCTTCCTAATATTTTAGATTGTCTAAAATTTTTCACTTTTAACAATAAATATGTTTTTATGATTTTGACGTTTTAAAAAGTTTTTTGACATTTTTATTTTTTTATTTTTGACATTCTAAAAGTTTTGACATTCCAAGATGTTTTTCAAATTTAAAAAAGTTTTTTAAAATTATTTTAAATTTTGGCTTTATATTTGAAAATGTCCAAAATGTGACAATTTTAACATTAAATATGTTTTTTTGATTTTGACGTTCTAAATTTGCCTTTGACTTTTATATTTTTGACTAATTTTTGTTCAAATTTTAAAATATTTTGGATAATATTTAACATTCTTATAATTTTGTCATTTTAAAATTTGTTTTTGACATTCAAAAATGCCTGTGACATCTTATATTTGATGATCCTCTAAATTTTTGTATTTTGAACATAAATAGGTTTTTATTCTAAATTTGCCTTTAACATTCTAAATTTGCGTTTTACATTCTAAATGTGCCTTTGACATTTTAAAATTTGTTTTTAAAATTTTAAAAAGTTGTTGACATTCTTTAATGTGATTTTTACATTCTTATTTATGATTTTATATTCTTAAATGTGATTTTGACATTTTAAAGTATTTTTGAGATTATTTTACATCCTGATGATTTTGACATTTTAAAATTTGTTTTTGACATTCAATAATGCGTTTGACATCCTTCCTTATATTTTAGATTGTCAAAATTTTGCACTTTTAACATAAATTTGTTTTTATGATTTTGACATTCTAAAATTATTGGAGGTTTTAAAGTTTGTTTTTGACATTTTAAATATTTTTTTGATATTTTTAAATGTGTTTTTTATGTTCTTATTTATAATTTTATATTCTTAAATATATTTTTGACATTTTAATGGTTTTGATATTATTTTACATTTTAAAATTTGTTTTGACATTTTTAATATATTGTATGTGATTTTTAATTTTTATTTATATTTTTGACATTCAGTTATGTTTTTTGAGATTATTTCACATTCATATGATTTTGACTGCGACTTTGTATAAAAATAATGCTTAATTTATTTCAGGCACATTGATACCCAAAAACTGCGTAAACTCTTTAATAGAGGCTTTATCGTCGGACGCAGAAAAGACCGAAGAAAAAACATTCGACTAGTTTTCAAAACAGTACGTTTTATTTTCACACGCGAAAAAAAAAACTAGCAAAATAGTACACACGCAACTGAAAAAATAGTTTTTCCGTAAACGTAAACGATATACAGGGCATAAAATAGTATTCTAATGGCACCACGTGTGGCATTGTTGAAAAACCGAGTTTGACGTGAATGTGACGCACGGTGTGCTAAAGTGGATTTTTAGCGGGAAAATAAAAAAAAAATTTTGCGCTAAAAATCACTTGCAAATCACTGTAGAATGTATGATACGTAGCGTAGTAGCAAATTCCAAGTATTTTTTAAACGTGTCCGAGACACTTAATAAATGAGGAATCGAAAAATATACCAAAAATCGAGAATCATCACTTTTCAAAATTGTGCGGGGATTCCCCCGCATACAGTGTTGCCAACGGTTAAAATATCCAACCGTGAAATAAACCAAAAAAAAAAAATTCAAAATCACCCAGTTAATTTCATCACCTTGTAAACCGCAGTGTTGCCGTACCATTTAGGTGTTGCCGGTTTTACGAGCTGCGGCAAAATATCACGTTTTGAGCTAATTTGTTAATTAATTGTATAAATATAATATGAAAGGTTAGTTCCTCAAAAAAATCTGTGAAATAGTTAATTTAGGTATTACTTGTGTATTTATAGGTTTTTTTTATCTATTAGTTTAAGCCCCCTCGATTCATGTATAAATTTTTTTTAGTGTAAAAATTTTCGAGAGATGCTGAGACTTTTGCTATATAATTTTTTTAAGTACATAAATACTTATTTAACTTAAATATGTATATTTGGATGTGTTCAGTATAAATTAAAAATTATCCTCAAAAACGCTTTTTATTTCAAAATCCTAAATTTTACCATCTTTGAAAGAAAATACAGGGGTAAGTACTTAGAAACATCAGAAGTGGGATACAAACTTGTTAAATTACCACAAGTACCATTGACCATTAAAACTTTGGAAGAATTTTACATATGATGGTAAGTAATTAAAAAACAATAGAAAACACATTGTTTTGGGTTAATTCATTCATATTTTCAAAATTTCTCAATTCGTCCAGCGTTTCTCAACTCTTTCGATGTTTTGGCCTTCGAATAAGTGTTTTTCACCACGTGAAACTCGTTTTTCATCATCCGAAAACATCAGAAGTGGGATACAAACTTGTTTCGTTACCACTAGCGCCATCTCTTTAATTTTTGTTGACTTATTGATCTCCCCTCGTATAAACTTTGTTAAAAGTATGTTGTTACACAAAAAAGTCTTGAGTAGTAAAATGTAAACCTTTTAATATTCATTTAGCAAATATTACAAAAATTAACAAAAAAAATTAATTTCTGGCAATACTTTGATTTTTCCTGTACCAGTCCACAGTTTCTTTGATAGCCGTTGGAAAGGGTGTAAATTTAAAATCCGGCAAAAATTTTCGTAATTTTTCATTGCTGGCGGTTTTTTTAAACTGCCCATCAGCTTTTGTCGTATCAAAAACTATTTCGCCTTTAAAATCAAATGCTTTTACCAGTTCTTGCGACATTTCTTTAATACTGACCTCGGCGGATTCATCCACTAAAAAAAAAATATTTTGTTACTCATTCATTCCACAATATTTTTTTCTTTACCTACCTGATAAAATTATGGGTTCAACACTGTCATAGTCCCGTAAAACCCATAGGAAAAGCCTTGCCAAATCCAGTGAATATATAAACTGTCTTAGGGGTTTCCCTGTACCCATAACAGTAAAAGTATTGCCCCCTTTTTGTATTATATCATTCAACTTTCTTATTAAACCTGGGATTACATGACTCGACTCTAAATTAAAGTTATCATGTGGGCCGAAAACATTACAGGGTACAACTGAAGTAAATAAACAATTGTGTTGCTCGTGATATGCTTTATTCATAACGTCAATCATTCTTTTTGCGTAGCTGTAACCGAAATTTGAAGGGTGTGGTGGACCATTGTGTATCTAAATAAAACAATTAAGTACATTATTTTGTTATAAGTAGTGTTTTTTTACCATTGTCTCATCAATGGGATATTCAGTTTTATCAGGAAATATGCAAGTAGATAAACATGATACAACTTTTTTAACCCCCATTTCATAGCTTATTTGTAGGACATTATCATTCATATGTAAATTTTTTCTCTAAAAAATATTTATAAAAAATTTATACAAACACTTTTTAAAATTATTATACCATAAAATCCAAATTATGGGACATGTTATGGAACAAACCCCCAACCATGGCAGCCAGATGTATAACATGTGTTGGATGATGTTTTTCAAACAACTTTTTCGTTGCGTTGTAGTCGCTAACATAAAAAAAATATTTGCACGCCCTATTATATTAAACCGTATTTTTCTTACCATAAGTCAGCATCCTTACTGCTTAAAAAAATCCAATTTTCATCCGTTCTTTTTTCCGACAAAACAACGGTTTCTATAGCTTTTCCAACTAACCCTGAACCACCAGTTACTAAAACAACCTTTCCGCCCGACATTTTACTTCTGCTTATACAAATAATCAAATAAAAAGGATTAAATATCTCGATTACATTACACGTTGCAGGTTATGTCACAGAACATATGGGATATGTAAACAAGAGTAGTTCTGGTGTATTATCCAAAGTAGTTCAAATGAACATAACTGTCAAAAGAGTTCGAATACGGGGGAGAACGAAAAAGTTCCTTTATTACTTTCAGAATAAGTTTCAAATATTATTAATTTTCTTGATAAAATTTATGAAATAAATCAGTAAAACACGGTTTCTACAAAATATATAATTTTTATTTGTACTAATACAAAAAATACAGTCTGAAATTAAAAATCTAACTCTAAATAAAAAGAGGGTTAATAATAATAGTAAAAATTATTACCAAAAAAATAATAAATATATACACATAATAAAGAGATATTATACATCTATAAAAAGAGAAACAAACGATATTAAGTCTTTTTGATTATTGCCAATAATTAAGTATACATTTTTTTCAGAGTAAAAGTTTTGGATCACAAAATTGTAATACTTACATTTAAAAATACTATTTATAAAAAATCTACAGTTAAATATAGACCTAAAAGTACGGTTATTAGAAATATTTAAAAGCTATCCAAAAATGATATGATTTAATTATTTGATTATACAGGTGTCCCGTAAATTTCACATTTAAGGTTCACAAACTAATTTTTGAGAGATTTAAAGTTTGATTCGTCGTTAATAATAGTGATATACGTTGATATGTATAAATGTTTTTAAAATTTACCTAAAACTAAAATAATACTTGAAATGATGTTCCACATTTTTTATGAGAAGTAAAATAAAATATGTGACCAAACAACAATGTGAATAATATTTTTATTAACATAGTAACGTAGTAACAATAGTTTATATTTTTTTCACAATTTTAATAGAGATTGTTAAAAACTAAAAAAAAAATAAAGCTTCCTAAAATGGCGAAAAAAACTAGGACTAAAAATTAAAACAAATAATTGGGATTTTAGTTTTTCCCTAAAGTTGTTTCTGATAGCAGATCTTGAATGAAAGTATCATAATACAAAAGATATGGTGGCATTTTATTTCTTATTTCTTCAAAAAACAATTTACTATTATTTTTTTTATTAATATTATAATTGTTGTAAAAGGTATCTGAATTATACGTTTTCTTGTATTTTGATGTGCAGATCAGTAACATTTCCTGCAAATAAAATATACAAAATAAAATTAACTCCACCCAATAGCTAAAATGACAAGCTAAACTAAAGACCGGTTACAGTAAAGACAAGCTAAAATGACCAAAAGTTTAAAATTATGACCAGCTTGAGTGTGGACAAGCTAAAAAAAGAATAGCTAGAATTACAAGCTAAAATGAAGACCATTTAAAGTAAAGACAAGCTAAACTGACAAGTTAAAATGATAACAAGCTAAAGTGTGGAAAAACTAATATAATGGGAAGCTAAAAGAAAAAATAGCTAAAATGACAAGCTAAAATAGGGACCAGTTAAAGTAAAGACAAGCTAAAATGACAAAAAGGTTAAAATGTGACAAACTAAAATAAGGAATAGCTAAAAAACAAGCTAAAATAATGACAAGCTAAAGTGTGGACAAACTGAGATAATAATAAGCTAAAAGAACGAATAGTTGAAATCAAAAGCAAAAATAAAGATCAGTTAAAGTAAAGACAAGCTTAACTCACAAGTTAAATTTATTGCAAGCTAATGTGTGAAAAAACTAATTAATGAAAAGCTAAAAGAACAAATAGCTTAAATCACAAGCTAAAATGAAGACCAGTTAAAGTAAAGACAAGCTAAAATTACAAAAAGGTTAAAATCATGACAAGCTTGAGTGTGGACAAACTAAAATAAGGAATAGCTAAAAAAAACAAGCTAAAATAATAAATAACTAAAATGACAAGCCTAAAATAAAGACCGGTTAAAGTAAAGACAAGCTAAAATGACCAAAAGTTTAAAATTATGACCAGCTTGAGTGTGGACAAGCTAAAAAAAGAATAGCTAGAATTACAAGCTAAACTGAAGACTATTTAAAGTAAAGACAAGCTAAACTGACAAGTTAAATTGATAACAAGCTAAGTGTGGAAAAACTAATAGAATGGGAAGCTAAAAGAAAAAAATAGCTAAAATGACAAGCTGAAATAAAGACCAGTTAAAGTAAAGACAAGTTAAATGACAAAAAGGTTAAAATTGTGACAAACTAAAATAAGGAATAGCTAAAATGAGAAGCTAAAATAATGACAAGCTAAAGTGTGGACAAACTAAGACAATAAGAAGCTAAAAGAACGAATACTTGAAATCACAAGCTAAAATAAAGACCAGTTAAAGTAAAGACAAGCTAAAATTACAAAAAGGTTAAAATTATGACAAGCTTGAGTGTGGACAAACTAAAATAAGGAATAGCTAAAAAACAAGCTAAAATAATAAATAACTAAAATGACAAGCCTAAAATAAAGACCGGTTAAAGTAAAGACAAGCTAAAATGACCAAAAGTTTAAAATTATGACCAGCTTGAGTGTGGACAAGCTAAAAAAAGAATAGCTAGAATTACAAGCTAAAATGAAGACCATTTAAAGTAAAGACAAGCTAAACTGACAAGTTAAAATGATAACAAGCTAAAGTGTGGAAAAACTAATATAATGGGAAGCTAAAAGAAAAAATAGCTAAAATGACAAGCTAAAATAGGGACCAGTTAAAGTAAAGACAAGCTAAAATGACAAAAAGGTTAAAATGTGACAAACTAAAATAAGGAATAGCTAAAAAACAAGCTAAAATAATGACAAGCTAAAGTGTGGACAAACTGAGATAATAATAAGCTAAAAGAACGAATAGTTGAAATCAAAAGCAAAAATAAAGATCAGTTAAAGTAAAGACAAGCTTAACTCACAAGTTAAATTTATTGCAAGCTAATGTGTGAAAAAACTAATTAATGAAAAGCTAAAAGAACAAATAGCTTAAATCACAAGCTAAAATGAAGACCAGTTAAAGTAAAGACAAGCTAAAATTACAAAAAGGTTAAAATCATGACAAGCTTGAGTGTGGACAAACTAAAATAAGGAATAGCTAAAAAAAACAAGCTAAAATAATAAATAACTAAAATGACAAGCCTAAAATAAAGACCGGTTAAAGTAAAGACAAGTTAAAATGACCAAAAGTTTAAAATTATCACCAGCTTGAGTGTGGACAAGCTAAAAAAAGAATAGCTAGAATTACAAGCTAAAATGAAGACCATTTAAAGTAAAGACAAGCTAAACTGACAAGTTAAAATGATAACAAGCTAAAGTGTGGAAAAACTAATATAATGGGAAGCTAAAAGAAAAAATAGCTAAAATGACAAGCTAAAATAGGGACCAGTTAAAGTAAAGACAAGCTAAAATGACAAAAAGGTTAAAATGTGACAAACTAAAATAAGAAATAGCTAAAAAACAAGCTAAAATAATGACAAGCTAAAGTGTGGACAAACTGAGATAATAAGAAGCTAAAAGAACGAATAGTTGAAATCAAAAGCAAAAATAAAGATCAGTTAAAGTAAAGACAAGCTTAACTTACAAGTTAAATTTATTGCAAGCTAATGTGTGAAAAAACTAATAAATGAAAAGCTAAAAGAACAAATAGCTTAAATCACAAGCTAAAATGAAGACCAGTTAAAGTAAAGACAAGCTAAAATTACAAAAAGGTTAAAATCATGACAAGCTTGAGTGTGGACAAACTAAAATAAGGAAAAAAAACAAGCTAAAATAATGAATAACTAAAATGTGGACAAACCAAAATAATGACGAGCTAAAAGAAGGAATAGCTAAAATTACAAGCTAAAATAAAGACCGGTTAAAGTAAAGACAAGCTAAAATTACCAAAAGTTTTAAATTATGACCAGCTTGTGGACAAGCTAAAAAAAGAATAGCTAGAATTACAAGCTAAAATGAAGACCATTTAAAGTAAAGACAAGCTAAACCGACAAGTTAAAATGATAACAAGCTAAAGTGTGGAAAAACTAATATAATGGGAAGCTAAAAGAAAAAATAGCTAAAATGACAAGCTAAAATAAGAACCGGTTAAAGTAAAGACAAGCTAAAATGACAAAAAGGTTAAAATTGTGACAAACTAAAATAAGGAATAGCTAAAAAAAAGAAGCTAAAATAATGAAAAGCTAGAGTGTGGACAAACTGAAATAATGAGAAGCTAAAAGAAGGAATAGTTGAAATCACAAGCTAAAATGAAGACCAGATAAAATAAAGACAAGCTAAACTGACAAGTTAAAATGATGACAAGCTAGTGTGGAAAAACTAAAATAATGAGAATCTAAAAGAACCAATAGCTAAAATGACAAGCTAAAATAAGAACCAGTTAAAGTAGACAAGCTAAAATGACAAAAAGGTTAAAATTGTGACAAGCTCAAAGTGAACACTAGCTCGAGTGTGGACAAACTAAAATAAGGAATAGCTGAACAAACAAGCTAAAATAATGACAAAGCTGAAGTGTGGAAAAACTAAAATAATGAGAAGCTAAAAGAACGAATAGCTGAAATCGCAAGCTAAAATAAAGACTATTTTAAGTAAAGTCAAGCTAAAATTACAAAAAGGTTAAAATGAAGACAAGCTTAAGTGTGGACAAAAGAAAATAATGACAATCTAAAGTGTGGACAAAACAAAATAATGACAATCTAAAGTGTGGACAAGCTAAAACAACGAATAGCTGAAATGACAAGCTTAAATATGGACCAGTTGAAGTAAAGACAAGCTAAAATGGCATAAAGGTTAAAATGATGACAAGCTTAAGTGTGGACAAATCAAAATAATGAAAAGCTAAAAGAATGAATAGCTAAAATAACAAGCTAAAATAAAGATAATTTAAAGTGAACACAAGCTAATAGTTTGTGTTTACTTTTAGTGTGGACAAGCTAAAAAACGAATAGCTAAAATGACAGTTAAAGTAAAGACAAGTTAAAATGATGAAACCTGTTCACTGTTGCCAACTTAGTTTAAATAAAATAATTTGTTAGCTAAAATGACAAGAAGGTTAAAATTATGACAAGCTTAAGTGTCGACAAACTAAAATAAGGAATAGCTGAAAAAAAAACAAGCTAAAATAATGACAAGCTTAAGTGTGGACAAGCTAAAACAACGAATAGATAAAATGACAAGCTTAAATAAAGAACAGTTAAAGTGTGGACAAGCTAAAACAACGAATAGCTGAAATGACAAGCTTATATAAAAAACAGTTGAAGTAAAGACAAGCTAAAATGACATAAAGGTTAAAATGATGAGAAGCTAAAGTATGGACAAACCAAAATAATGAAAAGCTAAAAGAACGAATAGCTAAACTAACAAGCTAAAAGAAAGATAATTTAAAGTGAACACAGGCTAATAGTTTGTGTTTACTTTTAGTGTGGACAAGCTAAAAGAACGAATAGCTAAAATAACAAGCTAAAATGAAGACAAGCTAAAACAACGAATAGCTGAAATGACAAGCTTAAATAAAGACCAGTTTAAGTAAAGACAAGCTAAAATATTGACAATCTGAAGTGTGGACAAGCTAAAACAACGAATAGCTGAAATGACAAGCTTAAATAAAGACCAGTTGAAGTAAAGACGAGCTAAAATTACAAAAAGGTTAAAATGATGACAAGCTTAAGTGTGGACAAACCAAAATAATGACAATCTAAAAGAACGAATAGCTAAAATAACAAGCTAAAATGAAGACAAGCTAAAACAACGAATAGCTGAAATGACAAGCTTAAATAAAGACCAGTTGAAGTAAAGACGAGCTAAAATTACAAAAAGGTTAAAATGATGACAAGCTTAAGTGTGGACAAACCAAAATAATGACAATCTAAAAGAACGAATAGCTAAAATAACAAGCTAAAATGAAGACAAGCTAAAACAACGAATAGCTGAAATGACAAGCTTAAATAAAGACCAGTTTAAGTAAAGACAAGATAAAATATTGACAATCTGAAGTGTGGACAAGCTAAAACAACGAATAGCTGAAATGACAAGCTTAAATAAAGACCAGTTGAAGTAAAGACGAGCTAAAATTACAAAAAGGTTAAAATGATGACAAGCTTAAGTGTGGACAAACCAAAATAATGACAATCTAAAAGAACGAATAGCTAAAATAACAAGCTAAAATGAAGACAAGCTAAAACAACGAATAGCTGAAATGACAAGCTTAAATAAAGACCAGTTTAAGTAAAGACAAGATAAAATATTGACAATCTGAAGTGTGGACAAGCTAAAACAACGACTAGCTGAAATGACAAGCTTAAATAAAGACCAGTTGAAGTAAAGACAAGCTAAAATGACATAAAGGTTAAAATGATGACAAACCAAAATAATGAAAAGCTAAAAGAATGAATAGCTAAAACAACAAGCAAAAATAAAGATAATTTAAAGTGAACACAAGCTAAAATAAGGAATAGCTGAAAAAAACGAATAGCTAAAACGACAGTTAAAGTAAAGACAAGTCAAAATGATGAAACAGTTCACTGTAGCCAACTTGGTTGGTTACAAAATGGATTAATTTTTCGCGCGCAAAACAAAATCTCAAAAAAAAAAAAAACTCACCCGAACCGTCGTCTGGCGCGCGGCGCCCCCTGCCGTCGACGTCGAGCATCTCGGTGCTCGCGTAGGGCGGCGGCGGCTCCGACATCAGGCCGCCGCTGCGCAGCACGTCGACGTACGACGGCGGCTGGTCGTCCATCGGGTCGGCCGCGAAGCGAGGCGGAAACAGCAGAGGATCGCCGACGTCGGAGCCGCCTTCGACGAGGCGGCGAGGCGTGCGCGAGTTCCTGTAGAAGCCGTAGACGTCGCCGTCGGAATGCGCGAGCTGCGCCGTCTGGCTGCGCAGCGCGATGTTCTCGCAGTAGCGGTGCCGTTGCTCCTGCACCACGGCCTTCTTCGCGTAGATCACGAGCACTTTCGAGAGGATCAGCAGCAGGAGCACTACCGAGAATAGAATGCTGAGGATGCCTGTAATTCGAAGCGAGGACGTGACAAAAAAAATCTAAAATGAGCTGACATGCTAAAATAACTAATAGCTGAAATAAAAGGACAAGCTAAAATGACAAACTAAAATAAATACCAGTTAAAGTAAAGACAAGCCAAACATACAATTTAAAATGATAGAGAGTGAAAAAACTAAAATAATGAGAAGCTAAATGAACGAATAGCTAAAACAACAAGCTAAAAAAGACAAGTTAAAATGAAGGAAAGCTAATGTGTGGACAAACTAAAATAATAAGAAGCTAAAATGACAAAAGGTTAAAATAATAACGAGGTTAAGTGTGGACAAACTAAAATACAAGCTAAAGTAGGACATGCTAAAATAAGGAATAGCTAAAAAGACAAGAGTTAAAATGATAACAAGCTAAGTGTGGACAAGATAAAACAAAAAAAAGCTAGAATAACAAGTTAAAATGATGACAAGCTAATGTTTGGACTACCTAAAAAATGACAAGCTAAAATAAGTAATGGCTGAAACGACAAGCTAAAATGGCCATCAGTGAAAATGATGACAAGCTAAAATGATGGCAACCTAAAATAATGAAAAGCTGAAATGACAAGCTAAAATAGCCAGCAGTAAAAATGATGACAAGCTAAAATGGCCACCAGTGAAAATGATGACAAACTAAAATGGCCACCAGTGAAAATGATGACAACCTAATATAAAGAAAAGCTGAAATGACAAGCTAAAATGGCCACCAGTAAAAATGATGACAATCTAAAATTGCCACAAGTAAAAATGATGACAAGCTAAAATGGCCAATAGTGAAAATGATGACAAGCTAAACTTGCCAGCAGTAAAAATTATGACAAGCTAAAATGGCCACCAGTGAAAATGATGACAACCTAAAATAATAAAAAAGCTGAAATGACAAGCTAAAATAGCAACCAGTGAAAATAATGACAAGCAAAAATAATGACGAGCTATAATGACCAGCAGTGAAAATAATGACAAGCTAAAATAATGAAAAGCTGAAATGACAAGCTAAAATGGCCACCAGTGAAAATAATGACAAACTAAAATTCCGACCAGTGAAAATTATGACAAGCTAAATTGGCCAGCAATGAAAATGATGACAAGCTAAAATAGCCAGCAGTGAAAATTATGACAAGCTAAAATGGCCAGCAGTGAAAATAATGATAAGCAAAAATAATGACGAGCTATAATGACCAACAGTAAAGATGATGACAAGCTAAAATAATGAAAAATGAAATGACAAGCTAAAATGACCAGCAGTGAAAATGATGACAAGCTACACTTGCCACCTGTAAAAAATTATGACAAGCTACACTTGCCACCTGTGAAAATGATGACAAGCTAAAATGGCCAGCAGTGAAAATGTTGACAAGCTAAAATGGCCAGCAGTGAAAATGATGAGCTAAAATTGTCACCAGTGAAAATGATGACAAGCTAAAATAATGAAAAATGAAATGACAAGCTAAAATGGCCAGCAGTGAAAATGATGACAAGCTACACTTGCCAGCAGTGAAAATTATGACAAGCTAAAATGACCAGCAGTAAAAATGATGACAAGCTAAAATAATGAAAAGCTAAAATGGCCAGCAGTAAAAATAATGACAAGCTAAAAAGGCCACCAGTAAATATTATGACCAGCTAAAATAATGAAAAGCTGAAATGACAAGCTAAAATGGCCGGCAATAAAAATGATGACAAGCTAAAATTACCACCAGTGAAAAAGATGACAAGCTAAAATAATGAAAAGCTGAAATGACAAGCTAAAATGGCCAGCAATGAAAATGATGACAAGCTAAGATAACAGCAGTGAAAATGATGACAACCTAAAACAATAAAAAGCTGAAATGACAAGCTAAAATGGCCAGCAGTAAAAATAATGACAATCTAAAAATGGCCAGCAGTGAAAATGATGACAAGCTAAAATGGCCAGCAGTGAAAATGATGACAAGCTAAAATGGCCTGCAATAAAAATAATGACAATCTAAAAATGGCCAGCAGTGAAAATGATGACAAGCTAAAATGGCCACCAGTGAATATGAAGACAAGCTAAAATTGCCACAAGTGAAAATGATGACAATCTAATGAAAAGCTGAAATGGCCACCAGTGAAAATGATGACAAGCTAAAATGGCCATTAGTGAAAATGATGACAAGCTAAAATGGCCACCAGTGAAAATGATGACAACCTAAAACAATGAAAAGCTGAAATGACAAGCTTAAATTGCCAGCAGTAAAAATAATGAGAATCTAAAAATGGCCAGCAGTGAAAATGATGACAAGCTAAAATGGCCAGCAGTGAAAATGATGACAAGCTAAAATGGCCACTAGTGAAAAGTGAGGTTAAACTTGTCTGACATATGTCATTATTAATAATTATTAACAATTAAAATCATTGCTTAATAATAAAAATACTTACACACTAGCACAAACAAATATCGAGCTCCATTTATTTGTGTTTGGTTGACATTTGGAAATCCAAACTCCTCGTAAGCTAAAAGTTAACAAAAAAAATCACAAAGGAAAACAATAACCAAAAAAACTTACATTCAGATAAAATCTGACAGCATTTTGGTCTGTTTGTGACTGTACAATTCAAATCGTGATTCCTATCACAGCACCAAGATGTTGGAATGCATCTCCCTTCATCGCAAGGAATTTTATCTAAAAAATATTTTTTTAGGAATTTTTTATTATTGGTACTATAAAAATTACCTCTACATGGATCTCCTTTGCATGTTTCCTCACTTTCATCAGATCTATCACGACAATCTGCTACCCCATCACAAACATAGTGTGAGATTATGCACACCCCGTTACTAACACATTGGAACATTTGATCGTTGCAGAAATTGGTCTCGAATAGCGGTCTTGGTTCCAAACGTTTAATATCGTGCCTTACCCGAAGGTCGATACTCTTAAACAAGTTGAACTTAAGGCTCACACAGAAGTACGTTCCTTTATCTTCAATACGGAGAGGACGAAACTCTTTTTCGGCCTCGTTGATCGTTTTCCGACTCGTGACAGGTTTAAAACGGTTCACAATGTTGCTCGAGTGCAAGTCTTTCGCTTTCTCACCTTTGGCCCACGATAAATTCTCATCATACTCTTTAGTGTCGTTATCTGTGGTTATTAACTCGCAAATAAGGGAAAAAGCTGTACCAGCCTTTTCTTCAACATTCTCACTGGACACTGGAGAAACATATCCCTCCATGTCTTTAACAATTTGTAACTTAAAATCACCTAAAAACATTTACAGCATATTGAATATTTATTTACGTTTTTTATGGTATTTACTTACATTGCACAAAGCTAACTAATCCTAAAACTAAAAAATAATAATAATACAGAGGCATTTTTATAACATTTTTTAGCTTATTTTTATTTATTGGAAGCCATTTTTTGCTGTAAAAATAAATGACGCCACAGCGACCTGTTTTACCTGCAATAGACGTCAAAATTGAGCGACATCTATACTCAACCTAACAAAGTCAAAGAAAGTGGTGTATGTTTTGGTTTTTACATGATAGATGGCGCTAATCATGCAATTATTTTTATACAATGTTATAGCAACACAGTGAATTCGTCAGGGCTTCCCCCATATACCAAGTTTGTTTCTTAAAACGCCATTGTTCGGTTCAAGCATTTGTAGGTTGTGTATTTGTTAGTATCAAAGATGAATGATCTTGTAGAAAGCGTCCAAAATCTAAACCTAACTTCTAGAAGTGTGAGAGGTCCCAAAGTTATAGGAAAAAACGAAGCGTTCCTGAAAAATCTGTTGGAATTGGCTCCGGAATTTAAGACATGGAAAAATCAGACGTTTGATAAACCTTTTCATTTGGTTTTGGCTCACTTTCCCCATGTTACTACAGCATATGACTCATCTAACACTTCTAGGAAGAACCCATATTATAAATTAAAACATGTTTTTCGCGTTGAAAATCCTTTCATTTTGGCCCAGTATTATTTAAAGAAAGTACAGATAGGAAAACGAAATAGTACAGTTATGGAATGCAACTATTTTCATGGGACTAAAGGGGAAAATTTGGAGCCAATTTGCTTAAACAATTTTAATTGGCGTAAGTATTTTATTTATAACACTGATCGACAAAGTAAAATGTTTTGTTTTCTTATTTTTTTAATATTTTAGGCAAGGTAATAAAGGGAAAATTTGGGAGAGGTGTAAGTTTTTCTCCAAGATCCGATTATTCCAAGCATTCCACCAGACTTTTTAACATCTCCATTACACCAATGCTAAAAAACTCTTTGTTAGCAATTAAGACAAATGAACAACAATTTAATGCCATGTTTTTATGCAAAGTTCTTCAAGGAAAGTGCCAAGGGGGTGCCCCATTCATTAAAGTCCCCCAAAAACAATTTGATACTACTACAAATGGAAAGGGTACAGTATTTGTTAAATATGAAGATTTCGAATTTTATCCTCAATACATTATTCTAATGAATTCTGCAGTTAATCCAAATGTGGTTGGTAAAAAATATAATTATGATGATTTTGATGAGCATTTTGATGATTTTGATGATCATTTTGATGATTTTGATGATCATTTTGATGATTTTAATTATCATTTTGATGATTTTGATTATGATTTTGATTAATATTTACCTATTTTAATTATAACATTGTAGTATTTTGTATAATGTTTTTGTTTATGTATGCCACAGTGGTATTACCACATAAGTTTGAAAATATAATATTTAAGTGTAGGTTCTTATATTTTGTAACATATTATTTATTTTTAAAAATAAAACAAATAAATATAGTTTTTGCTTTTATTTTATCTAATTATAGTAACAAAGCTGTAAATTTTGGGTTTTGGTTGATAAATACAGTTGTCAAGTTGGCCGCATTGATTAAAAGAAACTAAGCTAGTTATAAATCTAATTGTGGAAAATATAGAGTTATATGGCAAAATGTAGGCCTTAATTACTCACAATTTATCTATATCCATACTAAACTTACAAAATTTCTTATAGACCATGAAATTCCTTACAAATGTAAAACCTGATTTATAGATTGCCTTCCTTCCTCCCGTAAAAGATAAACAATATGAAAAACGTAGTGCCATTTATAGTTATCCGTACGGAAATTACAGTTGTTTACTTTTTAAATGGAGATAACTACTACATTAAGATTAACTTAAAATTAAAATTTGTTTATTATATTTTACTGATTTTAAGATGAGATCAAATTCGAATTTGACAGATATTCGGAGAATGTGTTTATGGTAGGGGGAAAAATAATAACGTTGGCAACACTGCTAAGTAATGTGATTCTTTAAACTGTCATTTGTTTTTAATTTTTATAATGTAAATATGAAATGCAATATGTTATAAACATATCTTAAGACGTTTTATGCAATTTTTTTGCGTATTTTTAGTGGAATATTTGTAGAAATTAGGATCTTTTTTGAAGGCAAAAATAACGTTTTACTTTTACTACTTTGGCACCACTGAATTTGCTGTCACAGCCTACTGTTATTTATATATCAAAATCTTTAAATGGAGATAAGTTTATATTATTTACTTACATTGCAACAAGATAACTAATCCTAAAACTAAAAATAATATAACGGAGGCATTTTTGTAACATTTTTTATCTTATTTTTATTTATTGGAAGCCATTTTTTGTTGAAATGACGCCGCAGCGACCTGTTTTACCTGCAACAGACGTCAAAATTGAGCGACATCTATACTTCAACCTAACAAACTCAAAGAAAGTGTGTGTTTTGGTTTTTATGGGATAGATAACGCTAACATGCAATTATTTTCATAAAATGACATAGCAACCCAGTGAATTCGTGAGGGCTTCCCCCATTTACTGAGTTTTTTTCTTAAAACGCCATTGTTCGGTTCAAGCATTTGTAGGTTGTGTATTTATTAGTACCGAAGATGAATGATCTTGTAGAAGGCTTCCAAAATCTATATCTAACTTCTAGAAGTGTGGAAGGTCCTAAAGTTATAAGAAAAAACGAAGCGTTCCTGAGAAACCTGTTGGAATTGGCACCGGAATTTAAAACTTGGACAAATCAGACGTTTGATAAACCGTTTCATTTGGTTTTGGGTTACTACCCCTATGTTAATAGAGAATATGATGCATCTAACACTTCTAAAAGGAACCCATATTATAAATTAAAACATGTTTTTCGCGTTGAAAATCCTTTCATTTTGGCCCAGTATCATTTAAAGAAAGTACAGCTGGAAGAACGAAACAATGCAGTTATGCATTACAACTATTTTCATGGTACTAAAGGGGAAAATTTGGAGCCAATTTGCCTAAACAATTTTAATTGGCGTAAGTATTTTATTTATAACACTGATCAACAAAGTAAAATGTTCTGATTTTTTTTTTTTTAATATTCTAGGCAAGGTAAGAAAGGGAAAATTTGGGAGAGGTGTAAGTTTTTCACCAAGATCTGATTATTCCAAGCATTCCACCAGACGTTTTAACATCTCCATTGCACCAGTTCTACAAAATTCTTTGTTAGCAATTAATCCAATTGAACAACAATTTAATGCCATGTTTTTATGTAAAGTACTTCAGGGAAAGTGCCATGTAGGTGCTCCATTCATCGATGTACCCCTAAATCAATGTGATACTACTACAAATGGAAAGGGGACAGTATTTGTTAAATATGAAGATTTCGAATATTGTCCTCAATACATTATTTTAATGAACTCTGCAAAGAATCCAAATTGGGTTGTTAAAAAGATAAACTATCATCTATTTGATAATTATATTAACTTAGATTAAACTTTAATATAATCTTCATATATTTTTAATCCTTACTATTATGTGATTAATATAATTAATGTAGTATTTTGTTTTATGTTTTTGTTTATGTATACAACTTAAGTTTTATAATATAATATGTGGGTGTACATATTATATCTTTTTACATGATTCTTTTATTTATAAAAATAAAACAAATAAATATCGTTTTGCTTTTATTTCTTCTTACTATAGTATTATAGTAACAAAATTGTATTAGCTTAATACTATTTACCTGTTGCTTGGGTTTAATATTACGTTAGGCAACACAGGTTGCTAACATGAGAAACAGCAGTTGCCTACATAAAAACAATGAAAAAAACTTAAATTTTGCGCTTATATTAACAAATTATTAACAATTTCTATTGTTACGTATTTACTTTTAATGCTGTTTGTAGTTTTTAATGATACTTTAATTAGTAATAAATTGGTACGTTGATAATTAAAAAACAACGTTTTATTTCTACTACATTGGCACTACTGAATTTTTTGCCACGGCCTACTGTTATTTATATATCAAACTCTTTAAATGGAGATACCTACTACATTAAGATTAACTTAAATTTAAAATTGGTTTTTGATTATATTTTACTGATTTTAAGATGAGGAGAATTTGATAGATATACGGAGAATGCGTTTATGGTAGTGGGAAAAGTAATAATGTTGGCAACACTGCCAAGCAGTGTGATTCTTAAACTGTCATTTGTTTTAAAAAATGACAGTTGTTTAGTTTTATAATGTAAATATGAAATGCAATTTGTTATAAACATATCTTAAGACGTTTTATGCAAATTTTTGCGCATTTTCAGTGAAATATTTGTATAAATTAGGAGATTTTTTAAAGGTAAAAACAACGTTTTATTTTTACTACTTTGGCACCACTAAATTTGCTGTCACAGCCTACTGTTATTTATATATCAAACTCTTTAAATGGAGATATGTTTATGTTATTTACTTACATTGCAACAAGCTAACTAATCCTAAAACTAAAAAATAATAATACATAGGCATTTTTATAACATATTTTAGCTTATTTTTATTTATTGGAAGCCATTTTCTGTTGTAAAAACATATATCTGTACGTAACAAACTCAAAGAAAGTAGGTGTGTGTTTTGGTTTTTACGGGATAGATGGCGCTAATCATGCAATTATTTTCATAAAATGATATGACAACACAGAGAATTCGTGGGGGATTTCCCCAATTACTAAGTTTTTTTCTTAAAACGCCATTGTTTGGTTCAAGCATTTGTAGGTTGTGTATTTGTTAGTATCAAAGATGAATGATCTTTTAGAAGGCGTCCAAAATATAAACCCAACTTCTAGAAGTGCGGAAGATCCCAAAGTTATAAGAAAAAACGAAACGTTCCTAGAAAATCTGTTGGAATTGGCTCCGGAATTTAAGACGTGGAAAAATCAGACATTTGATAAACCGTTTCATTTGGTTTTGGATCACTTTCCCCTTGCTACTACAGCATATGACTCATCTAACACTTCTAAAAAGGAACCATATTATGAATTAAAACATGTTTTTCGCGTTGAAAATCCTTTCATTTTGGCCCAGTTTTATTTAAAGAAAGTACAGATGGAAAAACGAAATAGTACAGTTATGGAACGCAACTATTTCCATGGAACTAAAGGGGAAAATTTGGAGCCGATTTGCCTAAACAATTTTAATTGGCGTAAGTATTTTATTTATAACACTCATCGACAAAGTAAAATGTTGTGTTTTCTTATTTTTTTAATATTCTAGGCAAGGTAAGAAAGGGAAAATTTGGGAGAGGTGTAAGTTTTTCGCCAAGATCCGATTATTCCAAGCATTCCACCAGACGTTTTAACATCTCCATCACACCAATGCTAGAAAATTCTTTGTTAGCAATTAATCCAAATGAACAACAATTTAATGCCATGTTTTTATGTAAAGTTCTTCAGGGAAAGTGCCATGTAGGTGCCCCTTTCATTAGAGTCCCCCAAAAACAATGTGATACTACTACAAATGGAAAGGGGACAGTATTTGTTAAATATGAAGATTTCGAATATTATCCTCAATACATTATGTTAATATATTCTGCAACGGATCCAAAAGTAATTGTTAAAAAATTTGATCATCATCTTTTTAATGAAAAGGCTTTACATGATATTCAGATGATGATTAGGATGAGGAAGATTCGGAGAGGAGAACTTGTGGTAGGGGTGGAAAGTATGAATGTTGGCAACACTGCTAAGTAGTGTGAAACTTTTTAAAAATGACAGTTGTTTAGTTTTAATAAAATATGATGTTTTAGTGTTAAATAATGCAAAATTATGCGGAATTTGTAAAATCAGTTTATTTTTTGAGCACTTTTAGTGAAAAATTGCAGAAATTAGGAGAATTTGTGAAAGTAAAAACAATGTTTTATTTTTACCGCGTTGGCACCACTGAATTTGCCATCACGGCCTACTGTTTTTTATATAACAAACTCTTTTCATTTAGATTTAATTAATTTTAAAATTTGTTCTTCTTGATTTTAAGATGAGGAAAATTAAACTTTTTAAAAATGACAATTGTTTAGTTTTAATAATGCAAATATGATGTTTCAGTGTTAAATAATCCAAAATTATATGGATTGTAAAAAAAAACAATATATTTTTTGGGCATTTTTAGTGGAAAATTGCAGAAATTAGGAGAATTTGTGAAAGTAAAAACAATGTTTTATTTTTACCACGTTGGCACCACTGAATTTGCCATCACGGCCTACTGTTTTTTATATAATAAACTTTACATTTAGATTTAATTAATTTTTTCTACTCCCTTCTTTAAAACGCCCTTTATCTTACATGTTACCTTTTAAATACACATTGAAAGGTTGTGGCTTTACGGCGCTTTAGTCACGGGCTGAAGTTAGTAAGAGGTTTTTAGTCACTGAAGTTAGTTAAAATTTTAAGTTAGTTGACAGTTTTCAAATGTCATACAATCGTTATGAAAATTATTTTATTATCTCATTACAAAAAAAAAATATTAAATAGTTTCTCAACGCCAATATTTGAAAAGTTTATATGAACATTGTACTGACCTTTTAATTTCGCCGGCAGTAGGTAAACTTAATAACTTAAATTCGGGCACGGACTCCACTGTAAAGTCCTCATAAAACATTTTCTTTACTCTCACTGTGAAAAATTGTAAATTTTCAAGAAATACATTTCGATTAATAACCTTTATAATTGTGTTTATAATACAAAAATGTGACATTTGACGGTGACACACAGATTCCCCTATTGTTTCATAGATGGCGCTCTATACAAATTTTTGATTTAAATCATTTTAAGATAATAATAAGTATTTGTCGTAGAAAAAGTATAGTATGCACCTCGTTTATAAACTTTTCTGTACACTCATTAATTTAAGCACTCGCTCGCAAGCCAAAGTCGCAAGCTCGCTCGTACCTAAATTAAATTCGTGAATAAAATGGCGTTTATCAAACTTGATACATAATATACTATTATATGGACCCTCCTAATACATATAAACATTTGTGTTTTTTTAAATGGCATAGAAAAACTGTTTTGTTGTATTTTAAAAATACCATCAGGGTATACCCTAACGTACAATTACACAATTTTGAGCATTTTTAGCGTCACGAGATTATACTTGAAGTGGAAGCATTTATTTATTGTATAATGTGTTGCCTAATAGTTGTCAAGCGTATAAATATAAATTTAATCAATACAATAGATCAAATGATTAATATTTACAAAATATCGTTCACTAAATACTGAATGTTTTACTTATATTGATACTGAAATATTTCAAAAAAACTTCCTTAAATTTTGCATTGTAATGATTCATTACTATTAATCCATTGACATTTGGCAACGCTGTGTTTATCACACTATTCAGCTGATAAGTCGTTTTTATCGAGTGTTGTTCAATATATTTCCTGTGTTCTTGCAGATTTGGTTTTCGAAGAAAAACATTTGTTTGTTGCTAGTTTTGGTTTAAGGTAAGGTTTATGCATGTTTGTTTATTATTTGTGAGGCGCTATCAAATCAAATTTCATTTGGTAGGTACCTTTTTAAACAGTTTTTTATGTGGTTCTCTCTCAATTTGTCCATGTTTATGTTTATAACAAAACCGGAAGAATGTCAATACAATAAATCGTAAGTTTATGTTTAAAAATTAAAATGTTGTCTTTAAATGTTACAAATTTTATATATTGAAGCCCCCAAGGCTATAGATAAACTTGGGGGATTCCCCATGAGATACTATTAGATTTTTTTCCGACAAGCAGTCTGAGACAACTTTATCCACATTGCTAGTCGATTCAAGGTTTTTTTAGATAAAAAACTTAAACAATTTTTTTTGCTGTAAACTGTTGACTTTAAATACATTTTTGTAGTAAAATTAAACTCCAGCAAGAATAGTACCTATAACATATAATATATACATATATATATATATATATATATTATAATATTTGAAGTCAATAAAATTTTTAATATATTCTTTAAATATTATACAAATTTCAAATGTTTTTGGCACTTAAAATATAAAATGAGTATAAAAACATTGTTAATATAAATATTATTATTTTTTTTAAATTTCATGACTTAATTTCGTAAATCTCTTAAAATATTAATATTAAAGGGGTCAAAAGGCCAGAACTATGCTTGAGGCCTCTTATATAATATATAAAATTTTCATTATGGACCAATATGTTCTTCCAAAACAAGCATTTAAAAAATTATATCCCATAGAGGTGAAAATAACAGACTGGTCGAAAAAATAGAGGTTGGGACAACATTTCCTGAAAATATCAAATTTTGATTTATCCCTCTACATACCTACCTAATGATTTTGAAGGGCAAAGTTAGCTAATTTTGAAAACTATTAAGATTTGTTTTCTCTAAGAGAATAAAAGTCCAAAAACTTAAAACAACGTTTGCGTGTTCTAATAGAACAGTTCTATTATACAAGGTGTCCCTAAACTTAGTGGCATAAATTTAGGAGCAGATTAAGCAAATCAAAATAAGACGAAAATCTAAATAAATATTTTTCCTAATTACGTATGTTTAACACATTGACTGCCGTGT